TTCTGGTTTTGGTTTTTATTTTAGAGAGTGCAAGCAGGGGAGAGGAGCAGAGGGACGGGGAGAGAAAGAGAAAGAGAGAGAGAGAATGGGGCGGGGGAGTCTTAAGCAGGCTCCACAGTTAGCACAGAGTCCGACAAGGGGCTCGATCCCATAACTCTGGGATCATGACCTGAACGGAAATCAAGAGTCAGACACTTAAACAACTGAGCCAGCCTGGTGCCCTGTCATTTGTTTTAATTTAAAAGAGGATCTGGGGGCACCTGGCAGGCTCAGCTGGTACAGCATGCAACTCTTGATCTAGTGGTGGTGAGTTCAACTCCATGTTGGGTGTAGAGCTTACTTGAAAAAATAAAAAAAATGAATCTGGTTCTAGATCATCTGCTGTATCATCAGATTATGTTTGATAATCTACCAGAGAAGGGGAGAACTATATGAGTGTCAAAGAACACATGATCCTAACTGTAACCCTGTTGCAGGATGGAACCTTACAGAGTTTGTTTACCTTGCTCTAGGTGCTGTGCCCAACCTCCCTCCTGCCCCAGAGGGCAAAGGCAAAAGCCAGTGCTGCCTTCAGACACCAGACCTGGAGAGCTTCTTTACTCCCTTCATTCCCCATCCCCTCCGCTGACCCTTTTAGTCTACTAGTCAGACAGGGCTGGATAGTAAATGCAGTTTTATGGGGCGCCTGGGTGGTTCAGTTGGTTAAGCATCCAACCTTAGCTCAGGTCATGATCTCACAGTTCGTGGGTTCGAGCCCCGCAACAGGCTCTGTGCTGACAGCTCGGAGCCTGGAACCTGCTTCAGATTCTGGGTCTCCCTCTCTCTTTGTCCCTCCCCCGTGCATGCTCTGTCTCTGTCTCTCTCTCAAAAATAAACATTAAAAAATAAAATAAAATAAAATAAAATGCAGAGCTTTATGTGGTATTGTACTTAAGGTGCTTTAACATCTCACATCAATACCTGACTACAAAACAAAAACAAAACCCAAAACCTGACTAAAATATGCTGCAGAAACTGACCGAAACCAAAGAAATATAAAGTCCATTGACCTTTTCAGTTTTCTAGGAAAAGGAGAAGAAATTCACTGTCATTTAACTTATTCTTTTCTGTTTGTTCTGAGGGATTTTAATTGTACAAGCAAATTACGGTTTATTGGAAATAAAAGCTCTTTTTGTTACTTATTCTTTTGAAAGCTAAACATTCTCCATCTTTCTCTAGAAAAGTTCTTTGAACCTAAATGCCTACAAAGCATAAAACTGGAATTATAGAAATGTTCGTGGCTTTCAATATCTCACCTTCAAATTGCTCTCCTTTTCTCTCAGGTTCTCCTCAAACAACCATGTTAAACAAGGCCTGAAGAGCTTGGTTTTTTTTCTCCAGTTGAGGGAGGCCCCGTTTTAGTAACAGAAAAAAGAGTATCTGTAATGAAGCATTAGCTCGAGATAACTTACCTCTACCTTGGCTCCAGACCAACTTGGATTTCCGATTCCTTGAGCAGGTCAGTGATTTGGGGAACCAGTGAAAGAGCCGGGCTATTCTTCTTAAGGTCTTGTTGAAGTCACTTCTGATGGCCATGGCTAGAACTATGCATGTTCCAGAATGACTCCCTACAGAGCACGGGTGAGGAAAACACAGTAACGCCACATATGACACTTTAGCTATGAACTCTATTTCAGCCAATGTGTCTGGGGACCACCTGTTAGCCCTAAATCCCCCTCCCCTGTCATTCCTTTGGTTTGTCCTTTAGACCTTAGCCCTCCTAACTAGAAACTGTATTAATAGATGTTCTTTCTAAAGAAAGAGTTTTAAGCTTCAGAAACTTTAAGCTATTGTAACACTTGGTAATTTTTAAGCACACGATCCCCACCCCCTCCCGCCCCTCCTGCTTCATAAAGTTACTTTCGCAGAGGAGCGAAGTAACCAGTATCCACCAAACTCAGCATCCAGCAGAATTTCAGTGGCAATGTGTGGGACTTGGCAGGGATTACCTCCCAAAGCAATAGCCTTGGTCCCATTTATTTTGTACAGATTTAAAAATGTTTTATTTTGGGGCGCCTGGGTGGCTTAGTCGGTTAAGCGTCCGACTTTCGCTTAGGTCATGATCTCACGGTTCGTGCGTTCGAGCCCCGCGTTGGGCTCTGTGCTGACTGCCAGCTCAGAGCCTGGAGCCTGTTTCAGTCTGTGACTCCCTCTCTCTCTGACCCTCCCCTGCTCACGCTGTCTCTCTCTCTCCTAGAAATAAATAAAAGGTCAGTGTCTTTGTTTTCTATTCCATTTTCATTATACCTTAGGAATTTGGATTTTGAGTCTTTCTCTAGGTGACAAGTGGGGAGGAAGTCTGAGTAAAACAACAGCGTAAGACTTTTGCAGATGCTTTAGTCTTTTTCTAAGTTTATTTTTTTAATCTCTACTCCCAACGTAGGGTTTAAACTCATGACCCCAAGATCAACATTTGCACACTCTTCCGCTGAGCCAGCCAAGCGCCCCAACTTCAGTCTTCTTAAAAGTGGGATGTAGGGTGGTGGATCCAACTAAGAGTTTTATAAGTTCTTTATATTTTCAACACTTCTCAGTTTTAAACACTTGAGTATATTTCCCTCAGCACTTCCTGAAAGACAAAGCATAATGCGTAAGAGGCACTTCTGAGTGGGGTGAAATAAGAAATAAAAGGCTAGCCTTGGTTGTGACTGTGATTCTGAAGAGAGAATAGACATTTCTTTAAAAAATTTTATTTTTGAGAGAGAGACAGAGTGAGAGCGGGGGAGGAGCAGCGAGAGAGAGAGGGAGACACAGAATCCAAAGCAGGCTCCAGGCTCTGAGCCGTCAGCACAGAACCTGATGTGAGGCTCGAACCCATGAATCATGAGACCATGACCCGAGCCAAAGTCGGACATTTAACCCACTGAGCCACCCAGGCACTCCGAGAGAATAGATTTTTGATACTTCAGTTGATTTCAGTTGTTTATTTCTACCGATAGTGCCTTTCTTAATTCCAAACAACTTAACTCATATTTTTAGCATAGAACACGAAAGTGAACCTATTGCTTAGAAATGTAACAGGAGGCATACATAGGTGGCTCAGTGGGTGAAGCATCTGAGTTTGGGTCAGGTCATGATCTCATAGTTCATGGGTTTGAGCCCCACGTCATGGGTTTGTGAGTTCGAGCCCGCTTCTGGTGAGACTGAGCCCCACTCTGACGTCTGCACTCTCCCTCCCTCTCTCTCTGCACCTCATGGGATTCTCTCTTTCTGCTCCTTACTCACTTGTGCTGTCTCAAAAACAAACAAACAAAAACAGGAAAACAAGAAAAACCCAAGATTATTATAATTTCTTTCTGGCTAATTTACTGATATATTTTAAAGAAGTATTTTGAGGAAAAGGTCTTTTGTATCTAAGAAGAGCCACACTGCTTGACAAAGTGTAATGAGGTCCATAAGCCACTATAATACAGTATTTGGTAATTTCCAAAATAATTGAACCTGGAACTTCAGAAGGTGTTATGCGATTATTTTTCACATTTCCTCCCTAACCTGTAATTCCTTTTTTATTTACTCAAAATTATCTTTTTTCCCAAAGGCTTTACATTCACTTATTTCATTTTTTTTCTTCTGCTGTTAGAACTGCAACCTGAGGCACCTAGTGGCTCAGTTAAGTGTCCAACTCTTGATTTTGGCTCAAGTCATGATCTCACCATTTGTGAGATCGAGCTCACCTTGGGATCTCCACTGATAGCACAGAGCCTGCTTAGGATTCTCTCTCCCTCCCTCTCTCTCTGTCCCTCCCCAGCCTTTTCTCTCTCAAAATAAGTAAATAAGCATTAAAAATAATTGAAAAAAAGAACTATAACTTAAAAAGCTAAATCCACTAACTATATACTGCTTTAATATCATTAATCCCTACTACTTGAAAATATATCCCAATTATTGAAAAAAAGGCTATTAGACTGGAGATCAACTTGTTAAATTATTATGAGGTTAGCAGAGTAGTATCACCATGTATTTATTAATTTAAAATGTTCTGAGAGTTATGTTTCTGAAGGTAAAATATGAAAAGCAACAATGGTTGGTTTCCACGTTGCTGTAATGAGGAATAAAACATTAACTCTTAACCAATATTAACACAGAATGGATTTGTTCTTAACAATACAACTCCTAAAATTTCAATCCCCGCAGCAAGAGTTTGTTTATTGGAACCCTTTCCTAGAAGTGCTGAAAACCAAATCTGCAAACATATTATGTAAGTAAAATTTTACTTGGTGTTCAGTGATATGAAGATTTAAAAACTATACAATTAAATACATATACGTCAGATAGTCAAATGGAAAATTAAAATCAAGAGGGATTAAACAAATACCTCCACACCCCACAAACTCTAAGACCAAACAGGTATTTGACACAGACCATTTACCTATCCGTGCATATACTTCTAGAATGTGTACAGATGATATTTAAAAATTTCCACTACGATAATGCATTGAGATTTCAAAGTAAGTCTTAATCCATTTTCAGTTTTCCAGTGTTCACAGGAGTGGGATTTACTCTTCGGGACATGGGATCTTTGTGATATGCAGGTGTATGCACTCACACTTCAGTAATCTGCTAAGGCAGAAACCGAAACCAAAACCACATCCTCGCTGGGGAAATGGTTTCTTGGTGAACATATCCTTTAGCATAGGACTCTGGGAAGATTCTTCAAAGAGAATGTTCTGTTTGGATTTGGATAGATTTATGGGAGAACTTATACTAAACTTGGAATCAGATTTAGAAGAAAACAAAACTGTCCATATATCCAATGGTCTGAGAATAACTAACCATCGCCACCGATATTCTTTCTTTCAAAAGACAACTTTTGTTTCTCAAACTGTTGTACGCAGAAAAATACAAACTCTTTACATTAAAATTGAGAAATTTATTGATATTTTTTCATGATGGAATAAGCAGAATTAAATTAAACAAGAAATATACAGCTTGGAACAGCGGAAATAATCCTAAAATTTTTATGACAGTTCTACACTTATGACCAAAACAAAACAAATAGTTTTTGATAATTAAATCACTTTAAAAATTTTGCTCAATAATTTACCTGAAATTAAACAGACATGAGGATAACTGGGAACTGGGCACCTTGTAAAATGAAAAAATGTCACTTTCTCCTTCCCCCAAAATTGTGATCCTAGTAAAACAGTGGTTTGGTTCTGCTCTTCACCCAAAGAAGCCACTTCTCCGTCCTATCACTTACAAACCTGTCCACCATCAGTCTTTCCTGATTTGTAAGGATGACAATTTTGGTTCCACTTAAAACACGGTTTCCAGTAGGCAGTCAGAGAAATAACCCAGTTAGCCTTACTCAGAGGAGTCGAGGATCAGTATTTCAACATTTCGGTCATGGCTTTCTTCTAGTGCTCACTGAGGTCAAGTGTCCTCATATAATTATAAATGTTAAAAGGTAAAATTACATCTTAACAGCAGCCAAAAATTTATATATTTTTTGTGTATTTACAATACTGTACATATTTACATGACCACATCAAATACTGAATTGTAGAAATAAGAGATCACTTAGAGAGGCACTCATTTAATGAATGTCTCAGCATTATTTTCTTGTGCAAACTAGAACTGTTCTCGAACTTCCCAGAAAGCTAAAGACAGTCAACATTGCGAAGGCCACCATCCATGGTTAAAGAGCCAAACCTAAAACACAAGAGAAAACAGGAAATCTCAGAAGATTCATTTATTTGGTCTCCAACATTTTAAAGAAGGATATAGGGTACGTTTCAGATGAATAAGCTGTTATTTAAGAGTTTAAGCAACTAAGATTTCCCCAATTTTTACTGAAATAATGTGAAAAAATAACAATCAGTGGCTTAGGAGGACTTCTTAAGAGAAAAGGGTGAGTGATGTGATCTACAAAGTGTTAGAAAGAATTGGACAACTTCCTTTTGGTGGGGTGGGATTTAGAAAGCGAACACAAGGAGTTGGGAGTAGGTGTGACACACTTAATGGATAGTAAGGAATGGGACTTTTCTACAATGGAATGTTGTTTTGGGGACTAGTGGGAAATGAAAGTGAGTGAAGAGGCTGGCCAGAGTACTATATTCTGTGATTTCAAGTATGAATTTGGACTTGACCTTTTAGGTAACAGGAGTTTAGAAACTGTTGAGTCAGAGTGGCATGGCATGATTAGACCAGCATTTGGGAAGACTGTTTTGGTTGTCCCAGCTAGGACAGATGGGAAAGGCATGGGCTTAGAAGACAGATGGTAGTTTATCACCACAGCTCATATGGGAAGAGGAAAGGTGGTCTGATGAGGCTGAGAGGGGGAATATGGAAACATTTTGGAGGAAGAACACCAAACATAATGAAAGGCAATAAAAGAGAGTGTCTAAAATAACTTAAGTTCACTGGGGCGCCTGGCGTGGCTCAGTTGGTTGAGCGTCCCACTTCAGCTCAGGTCATGATCTCACAGTTCGTGGGTTTGAGCCCCATGTCAGGTTCTGTGCTGACAGCTCAGAGCCTGGAGCCTGTTTCAGATTCTGTGTCTCCCTCTTTTCTCTCTGACCCCCTCCCCACTGCTTGTGCTCTGTCTCTCTCTCAAACATAAAGATTTAAAAAAAACCTTATGTTCATGGAAGCAGGAGAAAGGTGGTTCCATCAAAGAGAATGAGGAAAAAGGAAGGGAAACTGAGTTGGGAAGGGCACTAGTACGTGAGTTTTAGATACGAAAGAAATGAAGTAATAATAAGACAGCCATATGGAGACAGAGCTCAAGACCTGGATTCCGTTATTAGTTCTGGCACTAATCCTTACGTAGTCCTTTAACATTTAAGTAATGATTACGTCATGTCATACCACCCATTTACTATAAAATAAACTTGAAAATAAAACAGGAAAATGACTTATGGGATGTGCTTTGGGCAGTGGGGATTTCTTATGCCTAAGAGAGTGAGTATAAAATCTTGTTTAAGTGTTACCTAACAGTCTCTCTCTTTACTCCTTGCTGATGTTTAGCTAAGGTTGTGAAGAAACTAAACTGGGTACTAAATAAAATTAGATAATTACTATGTAATTGCTATAAAGCAATACAAAAAAGATTATAAAACCAATAGGCAATTCACACACACATATAAATTTGAATAAATAGGGGGACCTGGGTGGCTCAGCTGGTTAAGTGTCCAACTCTTGGTTTGGACTCAGGTCATGATCTCACAGTTCATGAGTTTGAGCCCTGAGTCAGGCTCAGTGCTGCTGTTGCAGATCCTGCTTGGGATTCTCTCTCTCTGCCCCTACCTCACACTCTCTAAGTAAATATATAAACTTGAAAAAAATTGGGGTGCCTGGGTGGCTCAGTGGGTTGAGCATCCAACTCTTTATTTCGGTTCAGGTCATGATCTCAGTTTCATGAGTTCAAACCCCATGTCAGGCTCTGTGCTGACAGTGTGGAGCATGCCTGGGTTCCTCTCCCTCCCTTTCTCCCATCTGTGCTCTGTCTCTCTCAAAATATTAAAAAAGTAAATAAAAAAGAAAAAATTAACAAAACTTATCAAAATTTAGATGTGATACCCTCTGATCCAGCAATTCCACATCTAGAAACAACTCGAAATTGAACCCTGAAACTTTTTTTACTTATTAAAAATTTTTTAAATGTTTTTATTTCTGAGAGAGAGAGAGAGAGAGAGAGAGAGAATGCAAGGGGGGTGGGCAGAGAGAGAGGGAGACACAGATCTGAAGCAGGCCAGGCTCTAGCCTCTGAGCTGTCAGCACAGAGCTCAACGTGGGGATCAAACTCGTGAACTGTGAGGTCATGACCTGAGTTGAAGTCTGATGCTCAACTGACTGAGCCACCCAAGCACCCTTATTTAAACAATATTTATTTATTTTATTTTTTAAAGTTTATTTATTTATATTAGGAGAGACAGAGAGAGTGTGAATGGCAAAGGAGCAGAAAGAAAGGTAGAGGAAAAGAATCCCAAGCAGGCTCCGTGCCGTCAGTGCAGAATCCACACACCATGAGATCATGACCTGAGCTGAAACCAAGAGTTGGATACTTCATCAATCAACTGAGCCACCCAGGTACCCCAAACAATTTTTTTAAATGTTTATTTATTTTTGAGAGAGAGAACATGAATATGGGAGGGGCAGAGAGAGAGGGGGACCCAGAATCCGAGGCAGGCTCCAGGCTCCATGATATCAGCATAGATCCCAAGGAGGGGCTTGAACCCACAAACTGTGAGATCATGACCCAAGCCAAAGTCAAGTGTCAGATGCTCAACTGACTGAGCTACCCACACACTCCAATCCCTCAAATATTCTTTTTTCTTTCTTTTCAATTTTTTAATGTCTTATTTATTTTTGAGAGAGAGATAGAGACAGCATGAGCAGGGGAGGGTCTGAAGACAAAATCTGAAGACAGGCTTCAGGCTCTGAGCTAGCTGTCAGCACAGAGCCTGACGCGGGGCTCAAACCCACAAACTGTGAGATCATGACCTGAGCCGAAGTCGGATGCTCACCTGACTGAGTCACCCAGGTGCTCCCCTCAAATATTCTTATACAAGTACATGTAGGTATGCATACAAATATGTTCACTGAAGCATGGTTTATAATCAAAAAAAATTAGATACAACTTAAATCCCCAACAAATAGGACAGCCAAATAGACATGGGAGAGCCATACACTGGTGTATCAGGAAGCTGTTGAAAATGAGAAAAAAGAGGCACCTGACTAGCTCAGAGTATGCAACTTTTGATCTTGGGGTTGTGAGTTTGAGCCCTACAGTGGGTATAGAGATCACTTAAAAATAAACTCTTTAAATGGAGTGCCTGGGTGGCTCAGTCGAAATATCCGACTCTTGATTTTGGCTTAGGTCATGATCTCAGAGTCGTGGGATTGAGCCCCATGTCAGGCTCTGTGCTGAACATGGAGCCTGCTTAAGATTTTCTCTTCCTCTCCCTTTGTCCCTCCCTCCACTTGCTCTTGAAAGAAAGAGAGAAAGAGAGAAAGAGAGAAAGAGAGGAAGAGAGAAAGAGAGAAAGAAAGAAAGAAAGAAAGAAAGAAAGAAAGAAAGAAAAGGAAGGAAGGAAGGAAGGAAAGAAGGAAGGAAGGAAGGAAGGAAGGAAGGAAATGAGAAAACAATAGTTATATGTATGGATGTGAAAAAGTTCCCACGATATACATAGTTAAATGAAAAAAGACCAAACCTGTATGAAAAGAATGATTCCATTCTCATAAAACGTAGGTGCACAACAAACTATTGATAGTAATTACTTCTGCGGGGGTGGGGGGAACCATAGAAAAGGCAGGTAGATCCTTTCATTTCCAGATTTTTACAAGCATATACTATATAAAATCTTTATAGAATGTATTCTAAAAACCAATTCATTAAGAAAAAGTTGATAATACTACAGTGGTGTTGAACAGGGCACCTGGCTGGCTCAGTCGGTAGTGTGCTGCACTTGATCTCAGGGTTGTGGGTTGTGAATCTCAGGGGGGCTCAGCCAGTTGAGCGTCTAACTCCTGATTTCAGCTCAGGCTATGATCCCAGGGTGGTGGGACGGAGCCCTGCGTCGGGCCCTGTGCTGAGTGTGGAGCCACTTAAGATTCATTTTCTCTCTCTCTCTCCCTCCTTCCCTCCATTTACCTCACTGCACGCTCTCTAAAACAAACAAATTTTTTTTTAAAAATCAAATAACTTTCTGCACTTAGCTCAAAAATCATGTGACTTCCTGACAATCTTTCTAAACCACAGGAAAGTTTCTTTGGTCTTTGTATTTGCAAGACCAGACGAGGGCATAGGAGGCTAGACTGCAGCGCGAGCTCACATCTCGGGGTGCGGACTTCAGCACCCGTACCACGCGGACAGAGGCGGCCTGCTTTGTGGCTGTACGAGGCCAGAATGTGCGGGAAGTAAGCTAGCACAGTGTTACAGAGCCCTGCAAGCGGACAGAACAGCACTAAATGTGAAGTATTTTCATCAGTATTCTAGGAATTAGAGAACATATCGATAAGCACGTAAGGGCTTCAAAGAGAAGGGTTCTACTAGAAAGGCAAGTATTCTTTCACTTCCCTGAGGAACCAGGATGAGGAAAGAGCATCCAAAAGTGGGTTTACTGGCTCTGGGTGTTTTCCAACCCTCTCTCTCTCTGATTTGTGAGGATTTTTACTTTTTGAAGTTTTATTTAAGTAATCTCTACACTCAACGTGGGGCTTAAGCTTACAACCCCAAGGTCATGGCTCTTCTGCCCGAGCCAGCCAGGCGCCCCTCCCTGATCTAAGAGGATTCATCAGAAAAGCAGAGGCCCAGCTCCCAAGGAGCTGCATTGACAGATGGCGCTCACCTGCACGAGGCCTGCAAAGGGCTTGTAAGTTACAAAGCACCAGAGTACCAGCATCTTATAAGTCTCTCTCTCTTTTTAAACACGTTGTTTTTAAGTAACCTCTACACCCAGTGTCAGGCTCGAACTTACAGCCCTGAGATCAAGAGTCGTACGCTCTGACTGAGCCAGCCAGGTAGGTGCCTCTTATAAGCCATTTTAGTCCAAAATTTAAAATTCCAATTCTAATGAGAGAATGTATGAAAAATAATATGCAGATTTTCATTTTCACAAACTGATTCAAATAAGCAAACAATTCTATTAACCAGTGCTTTAGTATACAATAGAATCAATCACAGTTGCCTTGTTTTTATCCAAGCAACCCCACGCACATTAAAAGGCACCATGGAAATCACAAAAACATAAGGGTTCTGACTTGATATCTATCCCTTTCCCACTACATAGCCTACAACTACAGACAGACAGGTACAAGTTTAGATGTATATGTGCTCCACTGCATGAAAAATCACAGGGCAGAATGGTCTTTCCATTACTCACCTTTCTAAAATATGATTATTTTCAGCAAGTTCTTTAACCACTCCTTCCATCTCTTCCTTTAATTTCTTCATACTATACAAACAAAATAGGGATAAATGTCTCTGCTCAAAAAAAGTTTGCAAGTGTTATAGAATTACATCATGTTTTAGTTCTCTTGATTGAACTAAGCCATTAAATACATTAGGAAATATATTCACCACAAATACAGAAAATTTCAAAGTAAAAGAGCAAGATCACAAACTGAAATAAAAATGAACAGGAACACCATTGTTACCAAATAATAAATTTCTTACCCAAGAGTCATTTCCACTAACGTATTAGAACATGGATAAATTGGGGTCATGGTATGTTTGATTCCACTGGAGGCTGCAAACATTTTTTGAGGCAAAGTTTCTTGTAACTAAAACATCAAAAAAAACCCATGTCAATCACTGAACAAAGTACAAACTATAGATCTTACATCAAATGTTCCAGGTTTTAATAAGCCCTTTATAGCTTTTACATTTTAATTTCAAAACCATGAATGATGCAGTACTTAAATCCATACTCTAAAAAAAATTTTAATGTTTTATTTATTTTTGAGAGAGAGCCAGCACAGAGCCTGACATGGAGCTCCAACTCACAAACTGTGATATCATGACTCGAGCCTAAGTCTAACGCTTAACCGGCTGAGCCACCCATGCGCCCCTAAAGAAAGCTTTTCTTATAGATGATAAAAGAATGGTCTATCATATGCTTTAAAAATTTTATTTTATCATATGCTTTTAATTGTAAAACATCTAAGTTCTGAAAACTTGGCTCAAAACACATATTATAAATGGGTAAAAAGAAGTGAATATAAAGCATATTATGTCCTATTTCTCCCTTTTCGATCATTTCAAACTAAGAAGAAATGTATTTTTTCCTAATAGGAGAAAGGTATTTTTTCTAGATACTTTTCATAGTTATACCTCATTCGTATAGTCTTGATACTTTGAGACTTCTTCTTCAATATCAAAGCACTGATTAGTTAGGGATAATAACTGTTTCCTAAGATGAAGCATCTTTCTGAAAACCAAAAAGAATCAATTAATAAGCAGTCTAGTATTAATCTTAAAATATACAATATTCACTGAACTATATACTGTGCAGTCAACCACTAAGTTTACTTACCTCATCCATTCTTCTGACTTATCCAAAAATACCTCATATTTTTTCACACATTCATCTGTAAAGTGGGTCATAGCTTTTGTTGCATGGTAATACAGTTTTTGCCTATAATTTAGAAAAACACAGGCTTAAACCAATGCCATGACTTCTATTTGCAATACTGAAAACTCTTCAAATATATAAAACTTATGTTTCTTAATAATGACTGTTATGGCATTAGAATATGTATAGCAGAAAGCCCCAGGTTTCTAAGATCGACATTATAGCAGCAAGAAGTGGAAAAGAAAGTTCATAATGGAGAATGGTCACGAGTATTTATTTAATGAAGTTAAGGTACAAAGGTGGTTAAGCCCGGCCTTGCGTATGTTCTCTATTATTTGTCCTTCTGCAATCAGAGCACATGAAGCGGTAGACCACCTCCTCATTCTCCCTTCTCCTTAACCTCTCAATCAGGGACCAGACACGTGGACCTCAAATACACGTAAATAAATGGTAACAATTCTGTAAAGCCAAGATGAAAATGTATTTTTTATTGTAATTAATTTCAACTTCAAGAGGAATTATATTAATAACATAACCCTAAAAACCATTATTAAACATAATATGGACACTTACTTATCAAATTTGTGGATCTGTTCTTCATTATAAGCTAGTCCTACAAATAAGAAATATTACTTCTGTAAGTGTAGATTCACAGAATTATGCAAAACTTTTTATCTGTTGAAATTTTGACTTCAAAAAGGGTAAGAGGTTTTTCTTTTTAAGATTTTATTTTTAAGTATTCTCTACACCCACCGTGGGACTCAAACTCACAACCCCAAGATCAAGAGATGTGCGCTCCACTGACTGAGCCAGGTAGGTGCCCCCAAAAGGCAAGGAATTTAGAGGAGATGTCACAAACCGGTGACTCATGGGTTAGATACACGGCCCACAAATGCTTTTATTTGATCTGTACAGTGTTAACATAAAAAGAAAAAAAATTAACTGCCGACATTAAAAATCAGGATATTTTTTTCTTTTCCCTTTTAACTTTTTTTAAATGTTTATTTTTGAGACAGAGAGAGACAGAGCAAGAGTTGGGGAGGGGCAGAGAGAGAGGGTGACACAGAATCCAAAACAGGCTCCAGGTTCTGAGCTGTCAGCATAGAGCCCAACGTGGGGCTCGAACCCACGAACCGTGAGATCATGACCTGAGCCGAAGTTGGACACTTAACCAACTGAGCCACCCAGGCGCCCCTATTTTTTCCTTTAAAAAAAAAAGATTTATTTATTTATGTGACCTCTAAACCTAGTGTGGGGCTCAAACCCATGACACCAAGAACAAGAGTCGCACGCTCCACCAACTGAGCCAGCCAGGTGCCCCCAGGATTTTTAATAAAACCTATACTGCCGGGTTGCCTTGAGAACAGGAAGGCTGGGCAGTCAGTGTGGCGAACCTGCGTAGCAGCTCTCCTCTTTAGACGGGGTATCTCCTCTCCTGTTCTCCTCAGTGCCCAGGGGCCGATCGTTCTCCTTTCTCTTACAGGAGTGGCCTCTACAGACTCTGGAGTTCAGGACTCTTGATTTAAAATATTCAAAAGGTAGTTTTTAAGAATAATGTTTAGTATATTCAACTTCTTTCCCAACAGAATCAAGTCTCTGAAATAAATAACTTAAGGAGCCATCCTTACAAACATACCAATCAATTCAATTGCATTACAACTAGTAGAGTTGATTCATTAGATTAACAAATGGCAGGTTTTACTTACTACGTTCTGCTTTGTCTTTCTTGAACTGATAGTAAATCTCTGTAATACAATTTAGCAGGACTTGTAGCTTCTCTACACTATGTAAGAAGAAAAATCCAAATAAATTAAAGGAATCAATGAGAAAAAGGACATTTAATAATAAGAGCAGAAACAAACTACCAATGAAATTATATAACCTACTGTCTATCTTTTGGATGAGTGCCTTCTTGATGGGCCCATGTGTCTGCCAGCAGTCCACCCGGAGATAATTTGCTCTCGATATCCTGAAGGCTGGTTTCTATTGTTCCCTGAGAACTGGAAAGCTAAATAAAACCAATGGGTTCAGATGCAGAGCAGCAAAATACAGAAATGATAATCAGAATGCCGACAGAGTCTAAAGTCTGAATCATACTTCTTTGGCAGATTACGTCAATTCAAAGTCAGAAAAATTATTATTTTATTTATTTTTTGAGGGAGAGAGAGTGTGTGAGCGCTAGGAAGAGGAGCAGAGGGAGAGATCCTATATGTAAGCAGGCTCCACACTCAGCATGGAGCCCCACAAAAATTATTTTTATTTTTAAATGCAAGTACACTTTCCTGGTTTGATTTCCCACAAAGAGTATCATAAAATAATAAAACAAGAGATTAGCTAGGGGCACCTGGGTGGTTCAGTTGGTTGAATGTCTGACTCTTGATTTCGGCTTGGGTCATGATCCCAGGGTCATGGGATCGAGCCCTGTGTGGGGCTTCATGGTCAGCGTGGAGCCTGCTTGGCATTTTTTCTCTCTCTCCCTCTGCCCCTCTGCCCTGCTTCTGCTCTCTCTCTATAAAAGGAAAAAAAAATACCCCACAAGAGATTAACTAGTATTCATACATTTTATAAAACATTTCTTAGATTAAATATCCTTTTTAGAGAATATACAAAATACTTTTTGTTTTTAGAGAGAGAGAGTGCAGTGGGGAGAGGGATAGAGGCAGAGTGAGAGAGAGAGAGAGAGAGAGAGAGAGAGGATCTCAAGCAGGCCTCACACTCAGTGTGGAGCCTGACTCAGAGTTCAATTCCCACAACCCTGGGATCATGACCTGAGCCAGATCAAAATCAAGAGTCAGGAGCCTAACCGACAGCCATCCCAGGTGTCCCATACGTACAAAATACTTTTAAGCATTCAATTAAGCTTCTGTTTCTTTACCTGTAAAATATGGTTAATAGTCTATTAGCACTCTACCCCACAGAGTTGTTGTGAAAGTCAAACAGGAGAACCATTAACAGAGTACCACATATAAATGTAGGTGTGTATGCCTCTGGGTTCTCTTTGTTTACAGGACAAAGTAACTCCTCCTAAAATTGAAAAGAAACTTCATCTACAATCCTGTTCTTTTTAAGCTTAGTAAATTCACTGCTTATCCATCACAAAACAGAGCATTTATAAAACTTTTGAGGAAAGGATGAGGTTAGACTTAGAAGGTAAATATGTGTGAATATTTTCAGGGTCTGAGCCACAGCACTACCCTCCAAATGAAGCGGTGGCGTACACTTCACAACAAATGAGGGTGTCCTTACTATGCTCTTGTCACCATCAGTACTATTTTTTTTTTTTTTAATGTTTTATTTATTTCTAGGAGAGAGAGAGAGAGACAGCGTGAGCAGGGGAGGGTCAGAGAGAGACTCTGTTTCACAGACTGAAACAGGCTCCAGGCTCTGAGCTGGCAGTCAGCACAGAGCCCGACGTGGGGCTCGAACCCACGAACCGCGAGATCATGACGTAAGCGAAAGTCGGACGCTTAACCGACTAAGCCACCCAGGCGCCCCTATCAGTACTATTTTTTAAGCCTTGCCGGTTTGAGAGACAAAAATAGTACCTGATCGTTACCACAAAATGCAATGTTCTTTTTTAATTTTTTTAAGGTTTATTTTTCAGATAGAGAGTACACAGGCACGCAAGTGGGGTAGGAGCAGAGAGAGGGAGACAGAGGATCTGAAGCAGGCTCTGTGCTGACAGCATAAATACAGGGCTCAAGTTTACCAACCGTGAGATCATGACCTGAGCTGCAGCTGGACGCTCAACTGACTGAGCCACCCAGGTGCCCCTCTGCAATTTTCTATTACTGTTGCTGTGTTAAACTTTTTTTTCCTTTTTTAAATTTCTGAGAGAGAGAGAAAGGCAGCACGAACAGGGGAGGGTCAGAGAGAGAGGGAGACACAGAATCCGAAACAGGCTCCAGGCTCTGAGCTAGCTATCAGCACAGCGCCCGATGGAGGGCTTGAACCCATGAACTATGAGATCATGACCTGAGCCGAATTTGGATGCTTAACTGACTGAACCATCCAGGTGCCCCTAAACTTTTTTATTCAAGAGTTTTATTGGATCTGTTTGTTTTAAAATCATTTCTAAATGTTGTCTATTTACTGATGATTTAATGTTTTCCTTATTAATCTGTATGAGCTATTTTTATCAAAAATAATTTTTTAAACATTTTATTTTTAAGCAATCTCTGCACCCAACATGGGGCTCGAACCCACAACCCCAAGATCAAGAGTTGCATGCTCCACTGACTGAATGAGCCAGGGACCCTTATAAAAAAACTTTATCACACTTTCTCAATCTGTTTGCTTTTTCTTTTTAATGTTTATTTATTTATTTTGAGAAAGAGAAAGAGAGGGAGAAAGAGAGAATCCCAAGCAGACGCTGGACTGTTAGTGAGGAGCCCAGTGTGGGTGCTCCATTTCATGAACCATGAGATCATGACCTGAGCCGAATCAAGAATCAGAGGCTCAAATGACTGAGCCAGCCAGGTGCTCCTCAATCTGTTTGCTTTTTAATGTACAGAGATCTTAAATTTTTATATAGTCAAATACGTATCTTGCTTTTCATGCTTTAGGTCTCTGTAACATTAATCTCAAGATACTGAAAATGGTTTATGTATCAAGTTTTCTTTATAGCATTACAGAGAAGTGTGAAAAACAGCAAACAGCCTGAAGGATCAACAACAGAAGGATAATAAACAAAACTATTGATGGCTGCAATATTACGTCTATTAAAAAAGTAGTGTTACCAAAAAAATAAAACAAAACAAAAAATCCCAACCTGGAAAATGTCCTTACTATATCATACAAAAAATTAAAGTAACAATTGTATGTGCATAGGACAATCTTTTTTTTTTAATGTTTATTTATTTTTGAGAGAGACAGAGCGTGAGCAGGAGAGGGGCAGAGAGAGAGAGGGAGACACAGATCTAAAGCAGGCTCCAGGCTCTGAGCTTTAGCACAGAGCCCGATGTGGGGCTCAAACCTATAAACTATGAGATCATGACCTGAACCCAAGTCAGATCTTAACTGACTTGAGCCAGGCAGGTGCCCCAACACTCTTTTTTCAGGTTTATTTATTTATTTTAAAATTTATTTATTTTGAGAGAGACAGAACATGAGTGGGGAATAGGCAGAGAGAGAGAGAGAGAGAGAGAAAGAGAGAGAGAGAGAGAGAGAGAGAGAGAGAGAATCCCAGAGAGCCTGATGCAGGGCTCAAACTCACAAACTGAGACTGTGACCTGAACCAAAATCAAGAGTCGGATGCTTAACTAACTGAGCTACCCATGCACTCCAGTTTCTTTATTTTGAGAGACAGAGCGAGAGAACAAGATTGTGAGAGCATGTGTAAGCAGGGGAGGGGCAGAAAGGCAGAAAGAGAATTCCAAGCAGGTTCTGAGCTGTCAGTTTAGAGACTGACATGGGACTCAATCTCACCAAACACAAGATCATGACCTGAGCCGAAATCGAGTCCGAGGCCTAACTGAGTGAGCCACCCAGGGGCCCCAGGATAACAATCACTTAATAATGTATATAAAAAGATGACTAAAACAGTGGTTGTCAAAATTTTAGCAGCACCAAAATCACCTGGAGGGTTTGTTAAAACACTGACTGCGGGGCACTACCATCAGAGTTTCTGATTTGCAGGGTGCGGCCCCTGAATTTGCACATCTAGCAAGTTACCTTGTGAGGCTGAGGCTGCGGGCCCAGGAACTACTATGAGGATCACTGTGCAGGACACTGAACAGAACTTTTAATAAACATTTTTTTGGGTGGTGAGCAATGTGTTATCTATTTCCTGTTTAGAAAGTTTATTATTTTTTTAATATTTATTTTTGAGAGAGCGAGAAAGCAAGTAAGGGAGTGGCAGAGAGAGGGAGACAGAGGATCCGAAGCGAGCTAGGTGCTGATGGTTGAGAGCCCAATGTGGGGCTTGAACTCATGAACTGCAAGATTAGGACCTGAGCTGAAGTTGGACACCTAACCAAGTGAGTCACCCAGGCACCCCACAAATTTTATTCTTATGGTCAAAAATAATTTCCTAATTTTCGTATTTATTTTTTTAAACTAAGCTCTATGTTCAACGTGGGGCTTGAACTCATGACCCTGAGATCAAGTGTCCCATGCACTACTGACTGAGCCAGTGAGGTGCCCCATGACTCATATTTTGAAAACCACTGTTCTAGACCTAAAACTGAGGAAAACAATAAACTAAAAAGCTGGGGAAGAGAAAGGAGGTATCATATCAAGTTCTTTTCACTTTTAATTTAACATCTATTTCATGAAAGAATACTTCAAATGCTAAAGACTTGTAGGAGTATAGCATTTTTATTTATCTATTTTAATGGGTACAACCTGTGAGATAAGTAGAGTAAGAAACTGTCCATTTTAAAGAAAAAGAAACCAAGGATGTAAAGAATTAAAGGCATTGTGCAATTAAGAAGCCAGACAGGAATAGCTAAGCGAATAGGGGGACATCTGGGATTAGTGGTCAGCTCTCACAATAATACCATAGTCTGTGCTCTTCTAGAACACATTTTAAGTTTTTTAATTTTAAAAATTTTATTTATTTATTAATATTTATTTGGGGGAGAGTATAAGCAGAGGAGGGGCAGAGAGGGGGGGACAGAAGATCCAAAACAGGCTCTGCACAGACAGGCTGACAGCAGCCAGGCCGATATGGGGCTTGAACTCACGAACTGTAGAACACGTTTTAATAAAAGATTCAGAGACTACCTAAAATGCTATTGTACTTTTCGGCAGAGTAGAGACCTTTGTCCCAACTCCTTTTTTAGTTACAGAAATTATTCACTGCCCCGAGGAACCCAAATCTTTCTTTCCTTAGTTTTTTTTTTTTATTTTAGAAAAGATATTTTTCTAACTTGTATCTATTTCTAAATAAGATTAAGCACTCTGCACATTTCTAAACAAGATTAAGCACTCCACACAGCAATTTACATTTACGAACTTGCTTTAATTGTCATAGCAGCATCATGAGAACATCACAGATTTTTTTTTAACTAAAAAAAAAATACTGGCTTATTTTTGAGAGCGAGTGAGTGAGAGAGAGAAGGAGAGGCAGAGAGGGAGGGTGGCAGAGAATCCAAATCAGGCTCTGCAATGTAAGTGCAAAGCCTGACATGGGGCTTGAACTCATGATCTGAGATCATGATCTGAGCTGAGGTCGGTTGCTCAACCAACTTGAGCCACCCAGGCACCTCCGACCCCCACCTTTTTTTAATAATGCTTATTTATTTGAGAGAGTGAGACAGCGAGCTGGGGAAGGGCACAGAGAGAGAGGGAGAGAGAGAATCTCAGCAGGGTCCATGTAGTCAGTGTGAACTCACGAATGAAATCATGACCTGAGCTGAAATCAAGAGCTAGATGCTTAACTGACTTAAGCCACTCAGTGTCCCAAGCATTATGGATTTTAAAAGGAGACTTGTGAGAGAAAAGGACTTAAAGCAAAGCAAGCACGTCATAAAGAATTTCATGTCATTAAGGGTATTTAAATATTGTAAATAGTTCCTAAAGATGGGAAAAGGCTACTCCTTTTCTGGAGATCTTTTAGGAATATCATCTTTCTAGGAAAGGTGAGATCTGATCTTACCAGCAAAGAAACAGGTTATGAGCCAATGGCTGTCATTATTGTGTAAATACTCACTCTCAACAATTTGGTGTGTATGTCTGAAATTTCACCTAACTCTGCTGCTTCCAGGTTGATCTTCATCAACTTTTCATATCTGTATGAAAACAAGCACAGAAAAATCAAATGAGTATGATGAATATACAGATTTTAAAATGTTTTATGAATTATATTTGAGTTCTTATTATCATAACTATTTAAGAATAAAACATAGAATGCAAAGTCTACAAACAACAGATTCCAAGAAAACTTGATGTCTCTGTAAAGAAGGGATTTTATATACTACTATTTATACATTTTTATACAAAAGACAACTTGATTTCCAACAGTCTTATGCCAGGACAATGGTCAAAATACTAGATTGCAGAATGGAGGTCATACTGATCTCATTTCTTGTATTGACTTTGTAGTACAAATAATACAGGGTAGGAAGAGGGAAGTCTAAAATATTGTTTCAAAACACAGTCTCAGGGATAAGATTAATAAGTAACAGTAAACTAAAAGTAATCCCCAAATTCTACAGCTACAACCAAAATACAGTTCTAGAATACCTCTTCCTACTTCCTTTGTTGACTGCAGGATCTATATTTTCCTATTCAGAGCGTCTGCTTTGCAAGATTAAAAAATGAGACGTATCTATGACAGATTACCTTTTCCTTTGTAAAGGGGAGGAGAAATGCCATCAAATGTTCATTTCTTACTGAGACAACTAAATAACTTTGGCTTTGTGAGGAAGTATTCAGTCTAAGGTGGTGTCTTGACTCAAACTCTTGCATAGCATGTTCTACTAAACCAAGGGTAACTAAATAAGTGAATATTTAACATTTTCACCATTATTGGCAAGGAAGTGATCTACTCACACTTTCACAGTTTTTTCAATGTTTCTGATGCAGAAATCCAGTGTGATCACAACTTCTGTCTTTTTGTGAACAGTTTCATTATAATCATCTTTAACTAATTCTCTAGAAAATAATAATATTCTCATTAGTTGTCTAAGGAATTATTTGTTTTCTCTCATCCATCGTTAATTACACTGCTGTTTCTACTCTTCAGACAAATTTATTAACAATCTTGTCATATTATGAAAGCCAATCATTTCTGTTCCTCTTGGCCTGAGTCTTGCCAATTCACTTTTTATTACTAAAAGTATCTCTGTGACCCTTATAGATATCTAGGGCACAGGACATTAGTTACTACTTATTACAATGACAATTTAGAAATCCAAGGCATTAAAATTATATTAAAAATATAAACTAAACTACAATCATACAAATAAGCCATATGTGTTATGCTTTATATCACCAAAATTAATTTTTACTGCTCATAAATTGTGATCTCTGAAGAAGCAGGATGACATAATTAATAATAAAACTGGAGGGCTTCTGGTCTACATTAAGGGTCAACAAACTAAGGCATGATGTTTGTTTTTGCTAAGAATATTTATATTTTTAAAGGTTGTAAAAACAAAATAAAAATAAAGAAGGGACCCTATAGGGCTCATAAAGTCTAATATATCTACTAACTGGCAATCCCTATCAAAGTACCATCAGCATTCTTCACAGAGCTATAACAAACAATTCTAAAATTTGTATGGAACCACAAAAGACCCCGAATAGCCAAAGCAATCCTGAAAAAGAAAACCAAAGCAGGAAGCATCACAATCCCAGACTTCAAGCTGTATTACAAAGCTGTAATCATCAAGACAGTACGGTACTGGCACAAGAACAGACACATACATCAATGCAACAGAATACAGAACCCAGAAATGGATGCACAAATATGTGGCCAACTAATCTTTGACAAAGCAGGAAAGATTATCCAATGGGAAAAAGTCTCTTCAGCAAGAGGTGCTGGGAAAACTGGACAGTGACATGCAGAAGAATGAACCTGGACCACTTCCTTACACCATACAGAAACGTAAACTCAAAATGGATGAAAGACCTAACTAAGACAGGAAACCATCAAAATCCTAGAGGAGAAAACAGGCAACAACCTCTTTAACCTTGGTTGCAGTAACTTACTTGACATGTCTCCAGAGGCAAGGGTACACACAAAGCAAAAATGAACTACTGGGACTTCATCAAGATAAAAAGCTGCACAGCAATCAGCAACATTAAAAGGCAAACTGATGGAATGGGAGAAGATATTTGCAAATGACATATTGGATAAAGGGTTAGTATGCAAAATCTGTAAAGAAGTTATCAATTTCACACCCATAAAAACCCACAAATAATCCAATGAAGAAATGGGCCAAAGACATGAACAGATACTTTTTGAAAGAAGACATCCAGATGGCTAAGACACATGAAAAAATGTTCATCACTCATCATCAGGGAAATACAAATTAAAACTACTATAAGATACCATCTCACACCTGTAAGAATGGCTAAAATTCACAAATCAGGCAAAAACAGATATTGGTGAGGATGCAGAGAAAGAAGAACCCTTTTTGCACTGCTGGTGGGAAGTCAAACTGGTGCAGACACTCTAGAAAACAGTATGGAGGTTCCTCAAAAAATTAAAAATAGAACTACCCTACGACCCAGCAATTGCATTACTAGGTATTTAACCAAAGGATACAAAAATGCTGATTTGAAGGGACACACACACTCCAATGTTTATAGTAGCACTATCAACAATAGCCAAAGTATGGAAAGAGCCCAAATGTCCATCAACAGATGAATGGATAATTACTCAACAATGAAAAAGAATGAAATCTTGCCATTTGCAACAATGTGAATAGAACTAGAGTGTATTATGCTAAGCAAAATAAGTCAGAGTAAGACAAATATCAAATGATTTCATATGTGGAATTTAAGATATGAAACAGATGAACATATGGGAAAGAAAGCAAAACTAATATAAAAACAGAAAGGAAGACAAACCATAAGAGACTCCTAAATACAGAGAACAAGCTGAGGCTTGCCGGTGGGGTGTTGGGTGGGGGGAAGTACTAAATGGATGATGGGCATTAAGGAGGACACTGTGTGGGATGAGCACTGGGTGTTATATGTAAGTAGTGAATCACAAAGTTCTATTCCTGAAAAAAAAATTTTGATTAAAGAAAAATTAACAACAACAACAAAGGGGTATGAGAGACAGGAGCTCAAGTTCATGGACCATCAGAGGCTTTCTTTGGTCACTCTCCTATCTCTTTGGATCATTTTTGTTTTTGTTAATCAGCAGAGCAAATAGTTCCCATAGTTAGAGGCAGAGAGCTGTATTTCTAATACAAAATTGTCGTGTTTGAAACATGGGACAGACACAGATTTCAAATATAGTCCTTTATTGATGGAAAAAAAAATTTACTAACTGAAAAAGTTTGCCAGCAGTGGTCTACATTAAAAACTAGTTAAAAAAAAAAACACACCCAAATCAAAAGCCAAATCAAAACAAAAACCTATTTTCTCATGACGTATTAAACTAAAAGTTAATAGGTATAAAAGCTTCCCGGAGCAGTGACTGTGGTGGATAACAAGATCTGTTGGTTACAATACCACAAACGTAAATGGAGTCAACACTCAGATTTTCCAGAAATTATTTAGTAAAAACAAAAAGACTTAATGGAAAGAGAAAAGCATACACTTAGAAGCTGGATACGTGAACACCAAAAAAAATAAAAGATAAATCTATGAGTTTAACATAAAAGTGGGAGGGAAAAAGTGTCATTCTCTTTTCTTCTTAATGTACCAGCAGAACGAGAATGATGAAATAAATGCTTCATCTGTGCTTTTGCAAGAAGGGGAGGAGAGGTGTGAGGGAGGTACATATAAACTGTCACAAGCACTAAGCCAAAGAGCATTATGAGCCCAGGGAACACGAGGCCATTGCTATGTGTGTATAAAATTCAAAAGCCTTAAATGATGGTGTACAGAAACTAGAGGCATGATGTTCAAAGAGATCATTTATTCCCCATTTCTATCAGATGGAAAGATAACATCTACAAATCATGTAAAGTAAAAAAAGGGCAAGTCATATTCATTCACAAAATATTTCTTAGGATGACTTTCAGGAAAAATATTATACTTAATTAATCAATATTCTGACCTAGAATAGCTATATTACATGATTTGCTTTAAAAAAAGCTTTTATGGCTTGTCAAGGTGAACGTGTACTCCACTGTATAATTTCATTTATGTGAAGTGTCTCGAATAAGCAAATCTATATAGACAGAAAGCATATGAGGGCTAGAACTCTAGAACAAGTCCAGACTATCTTGAATTATAACAATGCCAAAGCCTTCCTACCAAGAAAGTGAAATGACAGCCAAGTCAAAGTCCCTGGGAAAAGAATTCATTTACCATCACACTGTATACACAGTGTGGTGTCAGTTTTAAAATTCAGATACTATTTGTCCTATCTGTCTCACAAGCTGCTGTAGGAACCAAATAAAAAAACAGTTGCTAAACGTTTTGTACACTAAATGTTATAATAACACAGAAAGGGTGGTTGGCTGGCTCAATTGGTGGAGCCATGTGACTTTTGATCTTGGAGTCGTGAGTTCGAGCCCCACACTGGGTGCAGAGATAACTTTATAGCTTTCTTTTGTCTTTCTTTTTTTTTAACGTTTTATTTATTTTTGAGAGCACAAGTGAGCACTAGTGAGGGAGGGGCAGAGAGAGGGAGACACAGAAACCGAAGCAGGCTCTAGGTTCTGAGCTTTCAGCACAGAGCCCAAGGCGGGGTTCAAACCCAATAGTGAGATCATGACCTGACAGAAGTCAGATGCTTAACTGACTGAGCCATCCAGGTGCCCCCAAAATAAAGTCTTTAGGACTGAGCTTGGGTGACTCAGTTAGTTGAGCATCTGACTCTTGATTTCACTTCAGGTCATGGTCTCACAGTTTATGGGATCGAGCCCCACGTTGGGCTCCGCACAGAGCCAGCTTGGGATTCTCTCTCTCCCTTTCTCTCTCTCCCTCTAGCCCTCTTCTGCTCACATTCTGTCTCTTTCTCTCAAAAAAAAAAAAAAAATTAAAGAAAGGATAAAATCTTTAAAAACCAAACCAAACAATAAAAATCCCAAGCACTTGACTCTTCTTAGTCTGAAGAGGTCAAGTATCAATGATGGAGTGGTTACCACTTATTTTCAAATTTCAGTCTATTACTTACATCAACCATCGTATCCCCTTTCGCATTAATTCCTGATAAAGCAGCAAGGTATTGGCAATTTTACAGGCATAACACACAACTCCTGTTATTGCCTAATAAAGAAACACAAATGTCAGTATTTGGTGCTAATTGTGGTTCAGGATAAAAAATCTCTTACATAAAAATTTTCAAGCTTATATATTTTTATCAGGTTAATTTAAAAACACAAATTACCAATTTCTAAAAGCTAAGGACAGATACAATAAATATTCCATCCTTAATACGATAATGTTGAACATGTACTATCTCAATAGAGAAAACTTTCTTAGGAGTTTCAGAAAAGACATAAAGGAGAAAGAGGGGCGCCTGGGTGGCTCAGTCGGTTAGGCATCTGACTTCAGCTCAGGACGTGATCTTATGGTCTGTGGGTTGGAGCCGCATCGGGTTCTGTGCTGACAGGTCAGAGTCTGGAGCTTGCTCTGTGTCCCCCCCCCTCCCTGCCCCTCCCCCGCTCATGCTCTCTTTCTCTCAAGAATAAATAAATGTTCTCAAAATTTTTTTTAAAAACCCACAAAATAATGTGCAATGGATAACAATTTAAATGAATAATTTCTTAAATCATATAGGCATATGGAAAGATAATACATTTTATTGCTTCCATTGTTGATAAGACAATTTTAATTCAGATGTTTACAAAGTAATTTAATTAAACACTAACCTTAGCCATGCTAGCATCCCCATCTAAATCATAACGTGGATGTACTTTAGGGAGTGAAACTGAAATATGAAGTAAAATAATTAAAATGAGAAATAAAGTATTTTGAATAAATTACTATAGCCTTTATATAGCAATCTCTAAATTAAACATTAACCTCTAAATTACTCCCAAATTAAAAGTTAGTAATAAAACTCTTTTATGTTCTTTTTCTGGTTAAAAAAAAAAATCACCTGAAGCAAAAATGTTCATTCCTTAACAACTAAGAAATTACCTAAAATATTTCTAAGGAGTTTAGTTCTTTTCTTAAATATGTTCTAATGCAACAAGCTCAATGCTTCTCTTTAAATTTAAATCCAATCCCAAAGATCCAAACAGAAAAGTAAAAATTGGGGTAATTTTTTTTCCACCAATATAATTAATAATTTAAGATTCCAAAATGTAGATCTAATTTTTCATGGACTCCGAAGCCTGCCAAAGTGCCCTCTTCACAACAGACACAATAAATATTGGCTCAAACTTATGATACAACAGGTTATTTTGAGTGTTAGTAAAATACTAAACGCAAAGAGCTACAGTAAAACATACATGACAGACTACCATTTTATGAAACAAAATATTTAAGGTCAAATTATGTTCCTATAAGCCTTTTCAATTTTATTACTAGTTTCATTCAACTAATTTATGAAATTTTTAAGTTTATGAAAATTCTACATTACTGTCCTCATCAATCAACTTTATGAAGGTGCCAATCATTTTTATAGGTCATTTTTTTTTTTAACGGCTAGTTAGAACACTAGAAAAATCCCAACTTACTTTTCTCATATATCAACCCTATGGTAGTCAGAGGTTCCCGACTCACTACAAAGATGGGATTTTCCTCAGTAGTTTTAGGGAAATGCTGTGCCAGTCGTCCAGGTTCTATAACTAAGCGTCGTCCTTCATATATAAGTTCTTGATTTGCAGAAATAATTTTGGTTTGTTTATATACCAGTTCATGGAATACAGTAGCACTGTGTGAGAAACATTCAAAAGGACATTATTGGGATGGAGTAAGAATTTTTTTGTGTGCAGGGTAAAATGTTTCTTTCTAAGACATCAGATCATGGCCAGTATATAGAAATGCTACTTTGTTGATGTTGGTACTATAATGTCTATTAAACTGAAAACTGCACATGGCCTGTCTATACAGCAATCAATTCTAGAATACTTTTATGTCTGAATATCAATACTGGATATGTGTAAGATACAGGATTCTTCATGTTTAATAATGGGGAGCTAACAAAACAGAGCACTGTAGAGCACAGACTCTAGATCAGACTACCTGTGTTCATATCCAGTTCTACTTACTTGCTAAAATACCTTAAGTTACTTAACTGCTCTATGCTGTTTCCTCATCTAGAAAACACAAGGGATAGTACTCACCTCACAGAGCTATTGTGGGGATTAAATGACAAAGAACTGACAATGGTATCTGAGACGAGACTATAAAATATTTGTTAAATGAATAAATACAACTAGGTATTTTCAAAATGATGTTTTTGGGGAAAAGATAGATTCTCCCTATCTGTGCAAGCAAAGAGGCATTTCAGTGGAAATGCTGTGATCCGGCTCAGGCTTGGGTGGGTTTTTATGTTCACACATGCTCTTAAAATGAAATCATCGCTAACACCTAACTATGACACATACTTATTTAGGCTATTACATACCAAAATAATACGAATAATACACATTTGATCTAATGTTATATTAATATTATCTCATTCATTATATTGATGTAATATCTCATGTTTATATTATTATGCATATTAGATATTACTATCTAAAAATATTACTTTAATTTTATTTCTTTTTTTAAATGTTTTTTTTGTTTTTTTAATTTCTGAGAGAGAGAAAGAGACAGCATGAGCAGGGGAGGGTCAGAGAGAGAGGGAGATACAGAATCTGATACAGGCTCCAGGCTCTGAGCTAGCTGTCAGCACAGAGCCTGATGTGGGGCTCGAACCCACGAAACGTGAGATCATGAGCTGAGCTGAAGTCAGATGCTCAACTGACTGAGCCACCCAGGCGCCCCTGATTAATTTATTTCTTAATAAATTGCCAGTAAAGGTTTTATAAGATATCAGAACTGCTATTTGATCTTGTCAAAACAAACATTAAAGCACACAGAATGAGTGTGAAGTTTTTTCTCCTTCATTTTATCTTTATTTTTTTCAGTGCAAAAGGTGTTTTTATTATACCACAGGGACAGGACCTGTGGGCAGAAGGAGCTGCTCCCTTCATTTTAAAAAACATTTGAGGTCACTGTAGATTGACATGCAGTGGTAAGAAATAATACACAGTGATACCACGTACCCTTCACCCAGTGTCCCCCAATGGTTAACATCTCGCATAAGATATAGCATAATATTATACTATACAGATATTATATGTATCCTCTCCAGGATACGGATACTGATAGAATTCACCTATGATATTCAGATTTCCCTAGCTTTACATGTAAGTGTGAGAGTACTTAGTTAAATACAGTTCTATCACATAGGTAGATTTTTTATAATATAGGTACAATGTGTTTTTGTTTAGGTAAAATAAATGATTATTTCTCCAGCACCTAATAAAGGGTTTAAGTCACATATGCAAATAATAACTACACTAGCTATGTTTAAGACTTGAGCTTTAATGTTTTTTAAATGATAGGACAATACTCTTGAATTATTTTCTTTTTTCTTTCTCTCTTTTTTTTAAAGTCGGCTCTATGCCCAATATGGGGCTTGAACTCAGAGTCACAAGCTCTACTGAGTCAGCCATGTGACCCTGATAGAACAGTAGTCTTAATAAAACCCAGCCCATTTATTAATGGGTGTTATTTGTGGTATTGTGACTATGTAAGAGAGAAGACACAGAAACAAAAATAGCCTTATAAAAGTTGCAGTTTAATAACAAGCTATTTTACCTACATATTTTATAAAAGCAAAAAATTAATCTTTTCATTCCAAAAATAGGTGAAAAAGAATTCACTAAGCGCTCAAACATAATTTCCTAAGTGAGAAGTGGGTACCTTTGGAGAAGCTGAGATACATTCTCCCTTTCCTCTCCTAATTTAGGAAGATAATTACAAAACAAAACACAACATTATGATACAGAATGAAAATATAAAGAGGTACTTACGTATTATAGCTATGAATATAAATCTTATGAGCTGTCATTTGTTGCAGTGAAAAAACATGAATTATCATCCGATGAAGTATATCACTAGTTTCTGCAAAAAACTGGTCAAAACCCCAACACTTTTCCTGATCTGCCTCAAGGATGTTTGCAAGAACAGGGGTTAGTAGAACTTGAAGACCCCTAAAATAGTATTGAAAAAAGTTACTTGAAGAGTGAATTTAAAAGTTACGTGAAGAGTCCAGATACAAAATCATAATATTTACCAACAAATCAATGGAATTGCTATTACTTAGATTAATTTAAAATTTAAAAAAACTGCCAACTTTTCAGAATGTCAGGTAACCTTGGTTTAAAATTACCTGTCAATGCAGCAGGAGTTATGGCATTTTTTCTAAAGTTTATTTATTTATTTTAAGAGAGAGAGAGAGACAGAGAGACAGAGAGACAAGAGAGAGACAGAGACAGAAAGAGAATATTCCAAGCAGGCTATGCCACCAGCACAAAGCCCGGTGTGGGGCTTAAACTCATGAACCATGAGATCATAACCTGAACCAAAACCAAGAGTCTGATGCACCTAGGTGCTCCTGGGCTTATGGTATTTTTATGTTAACTTATCTCTTATTGATTATTCTCTTTGATTCATTCCTTCCCAAGTTTTCTCATTTTTCCAAACACAATCTATATATGTATATATACATGGCCATCCAGGTGAGATCAGTTGATCAGAACCAGGCAGTTAGGATAAGATAATTGTTTAATTTCAGGGTTTTTAATGTCCTTTTTTTTTTTAAGTTTATTTTTAAGAGAGAGAGAAAGAGTGTGTGTGTGTGAGTGAGGGGCAGAGAGAGAGAGAGGAAGACAGAAAATCCCAAGCAGGCTCCATGCTAAGAGCACAGAGTCCAACATGGAGCTCAAACTTCCAAACCATGAGACCATGACCTGAGTCCAAATCAAGAGTCAGATGCTTAATTGAGTGAGCTACTCAGGCACCACTGTACCACTTCCCACTCCCCCCCTCCCACCGCTTTTTTAAAGGTTATTTATTTTGAGAGAGAGAGAGAGAGAGAGAGAGAGAGAGAGAATGGGGAGGGGCAGAGAGAGAGGGGGCAGAGAGAGAATCGCAAGCAGGCTCTGTGTTGTCAGTGTAGAGGCTGATGCGGGGCTCGAACTCAACGAACCGTGATCATGACCTGAGCCAAAATCAAGAGTCAGATGCTTAACTGATTGAACCACCTAGGCACCCCAGGTCAGGCACCCCTTTAATGTCCTTGTATTTATTTATATTTATTTTTTACTTATTTTTGAGAGAGTGCACAGGTATGAACTGGGAAGGGACAGAGGGAGAGGGGGACAGAGGGAGGGGGGACAGAGGGAGAGGGGGACAGAGGATCCAAAATGGGAACTGTTTTCACAGCAGAGAGCCTGATGCAGGGCTCAAACTTAAGAACTGCAAGATCACAACCTGAGCCAAAGTCAGAGTCTTCACCGACTGAGCCACCCAGGCACCCCTAATGTCCTTTTAACATGGCTCTCCAATATATAACTTTTTTTTTTTTTTAATTTTTTTTAAATGTTTTATTTATTTCTAGGAGAGAGAGAGAGAGACAGCGTGAGCAGGGGAGGGTCAGAGAGAGAGGGAGACACAGACTCTGAAATAGGCTCCAGGCTCCGAGCTGGCAGTCAGCACAGAGCCCGACGCGGGGCTCGAACCCACGAACCGTGAGATCATGACCTGAGCGAAAGTCGGACGCTTAACCGACTAAGCCACCCGGGCGCCCCAATATATAACTTTTTAAAGTTATTTATTTATTTTAAGAGAGAGAGACACAGAGAGCAAGAAGGGGAGGGCCAGACAACGAGGAAGCAAGCTCCCAAACAAGCTCCTTGTGTTAGTGCAGAGCCCAACTCAGGGCTCAATCTCCCAAATCATGGGATCATGACCTGAACCAAAATCAAGAGTTGGAAGCTTAACCAACTGAGCCACCCAGGGGCTCTCTCCAATATATGATTTTTAATGTTGAATTTTTATGCCTTTTGTAGTACACTGCTATTTTTTTGGAGTATACTTCTTTAGGAAGTAAAATTAATGTAATCATCTGGCAATCAATTAGTGTCAATTCAAGTGAGATAATCTTTGACTATTAAGCTTAGGTTTTTAAAAAAATGAAAGAAAAAGAAGGAAGGAAGGACCTTTACTCATTCTCATACTTACATTGAATTATATAATATATTCAAATAGACTCTCATAATTTGAAATTATGGAATTTCAAATAGTTTTAAAAATACATTCTTTTTTTAAATGTTTTTTGTTTTTATTTCTGAGTGAGTGAGAGAGAGATAGAGAGAGACAGAGACAGCATGAGCAGGGGAGGGTCAGAGAGAGAGGGAGAGACAGAATCTGAAGCAGGCTCTAGACTCTGAGCTAGCTGTTAGCACAGAGCCCGATGCGGGGCTCGAACCCATAAACTATGAGATCATGACCTGAGCCAAAGTCAGAGACTTGAGTGACTGAGCCGCCCAGGCGCCCCTTAAAAATATATTCTTGACTATACAAGCAGATACTGGAAAAAGTCTTTTTAAGTGTTTTTAAAGTAGATAGTGGATATCTTATTTTTATTTTTTTATTTTGGGGAGAGAGAACACATACAAGTGGGAGAAGTGGGGCAGATGGTGGAGAGAGGAGTAGAGGGGGAGACAGAGAGAGACAGAGAGAGAGAAAATCTTAAACAGGCTTCATGTTCAGTGGACCCCAATGCAGGGCTCAGGGCTGTGATCTGAGCCGAAACCAAGAATCCAATGTTCAACTGATTGAGTCACTCAGGTGCCTTGGTAGTGGATATTTTAAGTTTTGACTAACAGGTATCTCTTCTCCCTCCTTTTGGAAGAGAATCCCTGCCTCTCCTCTATCTCCCAGTGCAGAGATGGGCATGACAATGACTCTTGAGGTCACAGTGTGAGTCCAAGGATTCAGCTGGGCTCTGAGTCACATACACATGTGAATTTTTAATTACAAGGTCAACATCCTTCTTCACTTAGACCAGCTGAGTTAGGTCTTTCTCCCTTGTTATCAGTCTTGGCTAATACATATAAGAAATGATGGTTGTCTTTTTTTACAGCTGCTTTATTTTTGATAGTCGTTTTCACTGCTGATTTGTGGTACTTAAAGTCCTTACTATTAAAAAAAAAAACACCTACAAGATTTGGGGCACCTGGGTGGCTCAGTCGGTTGGGCATCTGACTTTGGCTCAGGTCACAGCTTGTGAGTTTGAGCCCCATGTCAGGCTCTGTACTGTGCAGCTCAGAGCCTGGAGTCTGCTTTGTATTCTGTGTCCCTTTCCCTCGCTCTGCCCCTCCCTGCTCATTCCCTCTCTCCTTCTCTCTCTCTCTAAGAATAAACATTAAAAAAAAAAAAAAAACCAAACCCACAAGATTACATAATGTGCTTTCTGTTTCCTAAGCAATTTATATCAAAGAATTTATAACTAGGTGTGTTAAAGACTAATTAGGTAGGTTAAGACCTGCTAACCTCCTAAAATATACAATCTGTAGTTATTGATTCTAAGTTTCAGCAATTATTAAACAGCCAGTGTTCACTACCTGACCCCTTTACATTTTACGTTTTGCCTGAGATTCCAAAAATGAGTATTTTCTAAATCAAAAGTTAACATAAATCACTACAATATGCAATTTCTGCTCTCCAATAAAACAAATTTCTCTTGATAACTCTGGCTGCATGACCCAATTTCGTTTTGGAGACTTCTTTTTCAAACAACACACAAAAATGAAACTGTCAGAATAGTTTTGAAAAATGATTTTAGAATTAGAACTCTTAGTTTGAGTATCACAGACATTGAAATATAAAATGATAGGTGATATTTTATTAGCTTATGATATAAACGATTTAAATAATACTCAATATTCAAAATATTAAATATTTAAATTCATTCATTTTTATATTAGAAAATCATACAAAAGAGCACCCACAAATTATAATAGGTAGTAAGCCAATAAATCATAACCTGTATTACTTGTGGATTATATAACTACCATACTCAAGAAAAATGGAAGTTAATTCAATAACTAGAAATCCTATTTAATCATTTATTCATTCATTCTTTCAAAGAGAAGGAGAATGTGTGCATGCACGTTTGAGCAGAAGGGCAGAGAGAGAGGGAGAGAAAGAATCCCAAGCAGGCCCTGTACTGTCAGTGTGGAGTTTGATGCAAGGCTTGATCTTGTGGACTATAGGATCATGACCCAAGCCAAAATCAGGAGATGGACGCTTAAGCGACTGAGCCACCCAGGTGCCCCAGTAATCAGAAATTCTGAATATTGATGAGTGTTTCGGCTTTATTTCCAGAGTAAAACCTAAAATAATTTACTCTCTACTTTTAATTTCTTTCTCCTTAAATTTTTCTTTGTAGTTAACAGAATTCATGCCTGACAATATAACTTTTTTGAGTTCTGGGTGCTAAGTTATATAAGACCCATCTGAACATTTGAAATGCCAAAAAAAGTAGTAGAAAATTATTAATTCTCACCTTTTTAATAATTTGAGTACTTTTTAAAAATGAGAATACTACTAAACTTCTCAAGTGTTTGAGGTGCCTGGGTGGCTCAGTAGATTAAGTGTCTACTTTTTTTTTTTTTTAATTTTTTTTTTTATTTATTTCTAGGAGAGAGAGAGAGAGAGAGAGACAGCATGAGCAGGGGAGGGTCAGAGAGAGAGGGAGTCACAGACTCTGAAACAGGCTCCAGGCTCTGAGCTGGCAGTCAGCACAGGGCCCGACGCGGGGCTCGAACCCACGAACCGCGAGATCATGACCTAAGCAAAAGTCGGACGCTTAACCGACTAAGCCACCCAGGCGCCCCTAAGTGTCTACTCTTGATTTCAGCTCAGGTCATGATCTCAGGGTCATGAGATGGAGCCTCACATTGGGCTCTGCATTGAGCAAAGAGCCTGCTTAAGATTCTCTCTCTCTCTCTCTCTCTGCCTCGGCCCCTCTCTGCCACTGATGCTCCCTCTCTCCAAAATAAAAAAAAAAATGAAAAAAAAAAAAAACCTTCTCGAGTGTGTTTTTTAGAACTCTAGTTACTCCCATCTATACCACCATTTGTAGCCTGTCAATATGGATGGTCAATATAAAAGATACGAAGGTCCCTAAGCTAGATCCCTACAATGGACAGAATTCTAGGACTAATGATTAGCGATCTCAAAAATGTATGTCCTCTGCCCTAACAGAGATCTGGCAAAATTATTCATATGATCAGAATCCATCTTTACATTACCACAAAGACAAAAATCACCTATCAAAGCACATCGAAAACACAGTAAAATATTAAAAACAACGGCAAACAAAAAAACCAAACCAAAGTATACTTAAGTATTTGTGATTTTACTCAATAAAGATTCCAAACATCAAAGTGCAAAAAGAGAAAGTCACCATACTGACCGAGAAAGACTACAAGAAATAGGCATGTCTCCACTCCAGTCGATTGGTCCATTTTCTGCTTTCTGTACTCCAGATATTGCACCAGAAGGCTTTCCAGTAATGATTTTATACCTTGGGAGGAATAAATGGAGAATAAATTAAGCAGTTCATCATTGCATAGCCTATCAATGGGCTTTGCAAAAATATTTCCTCAGTTGCACCTACAATTATCTACTAGACGAAACTTTGTGACTGATGTTCACAGGATCCATAAAACAATCAAAATACTTTGAATCTGACTGACTGAAGTAGGACAGTGGCTGTACGATTATTTTTATATATGCCATAATTAATTTTCATTGGGCTCTCATAGTGCCATATAACAGCATCTTGATGTTCACAACAAAAATATTAATTTTTCCATCTGAAAAAATCGAGCAAACACAAAAAAGTTATGTTACAGACTGTCTCTAGGCCATAAAAATCCCTTTTACCCAAATTATCCAAAGGTAGCCAACTGGACTATGAAATTACTGCAGAATGCACAACAGCTTTCTTTTTTTTAAAAGAAGACAAAACTATAACAACACAGTATCACAGAGACTCGCTGCATACTGAAAACATACATACACATACAGGAATAGGTGTGTGTACCAAAACTAAAAGCCAAATTTAATGCAATCCTTGAGGTAGGTGATAAAAACAAAGATGACCGGAAGAAAGAAGACAGATGGGGAAGCAAAAGAATACTATAAAAGATGCGACAAGTCAATAAAAGCAGCCTCTCAGGTTTCAGCACTTTGCTAACCAAAGAGCTCATGCCTTTGGAATACTTTCATCCAGATAAAATTATGAAACCTAATATAGGAGTCTTACATGAATTTATTATAGATATTATTTCTGGCATAACTTTTTGTTTGTTTAATGTCTACGTAAATGTGCTCTGAGAAAAATCAAGATTTTTTTCCTCTAAAAAGCAGAACAAACCAGTAGTACCACTGACTTGGACCACGTGCCTCTTTTCTATGGGGCAGCTGGGATTTCTGCCTTAACAGAGTTTTCACAGAAGAAGAAAACTAATGAGAAAAATAAGGTACATTCACATAAGAAAGGTCTGATTGCAGAGGAGTAAGTACAGATATGTGAGGTAAATCTAAGAAAAAAGAAGTGAATAGAATGGATGCAGAACTCTTAAAGGAATGCTTAACATTCTTAGAAAAGCTTCACTAACTTGGTAAAATCCATATAAAAGTACACTGACAAGGTGTAAATGAGATGCTGAGGGAGCTGTAATTTGAGGTGGATGCATCCTCCCGATAGTAAAACAAGTAAAATAGGCTTCACGACTACTTCAAGCACCTCTCATCGTACATTAACAGCATTCCCCCAAACTGGAGGTTTCTGTGCATATAAAGAAAGAAACTCTGCTAATGGTTATACCTGTACACATGGTGACAATGTTATCAGGTTGCTGATGGGTCACATGTTTCCTTTCTTAGGGAGCATATCATGCTTTTATTTAATCCATTTTCAGGGCAGCAAGAAATGCTGCAAATGGTTTAAAATGTATGTAAGACAATAAAAACATGATTAACTGTTAGGCACAATTTATGTTTAATGAGAAAAACACGAATTTGCTCTCAGCCTTTATTAATGAAGGGATTTTATAAAATGGGCACTGCTGTAAAGCAGGCTCAAAATGGTGTTTCACCAAAGTCATCACTATAGTAATGGATGCCTTCTTCCCATGAAGAGGTGTACTGTCCTTGCTGAAAACAGGAAGATATCCAGGTTTTAGCAAAAGCCATTATATCAGCTGGCTTTACCTCCTGAAATCAACAAACAGAAAAATAGGCTTCTCCCTCAATTTCCTGAGGTGAGATTAAAGATTGTATTTTTACAGGTGCGATTATTTAAGTCATGTTTGCTTACAAAAGGTCTGGTCAAATATAAAGGTCTGAGAGAAATGTTAAGATCTAAAGTAGGACTGGATATACTGGGCTGTCAGTGAATTGCTATCCCCTAACATTCTCTAAACAACATTCATAACCTCATAATTTTATGTGTACGTGGATTGGCCATTTCTCAGGAAGCAAGGTCATTCACTAATTTCTCTTACAATAAAAAGATGTGTGGTCAGTGTACAGATGTTTATAAGAAATTTGACATCTAGAATTCCATCTCTCTTTTTCTCCATTATTTAGTTTACAATAGTGATTTTACACCAAGCAATTATTTCCTAATAGTTATGGCAAAATATAAAGGTATAATAATACTAGTAAAATGCATTCAGTCTTTGGACTGAAACCGCAACACTGGAAATAAATTTAATAGTATATTAAATATTATTTTTGAAATGGTAAAAGAGATCAGATCAGTTCAGGGTAAAAATTTTATTTCTTTTACGTCTGGTAATGGTTCTGGTACGCCACAGAAGTACTATTTTTTTCAGTTATATAAAGGAAAATCCCTGATAAGTAGGACACAAAGAGAAATAAACAGTATGTTGAAATATAATCCAGCAAGCAGTATGTATTTAATGACGGGCCAAAGACTGGATGCCACTTACACTTTGTACATAGATATTTTAACACAATAAGAAAAATTATGCCAATGCACTCTATAAGGTTGCATTCTTATTCAAAACCAAATAGCTTAAAATATCAGAAATGATAGCTACATTAATTTTCATTAGTGCACACCTCTAACATATGATGAAACAAAATAAGACAAATACACATTTGAAAAATTATTTCTAATTTTAGATGGAGAAACCACTTACATCACTTCCTTATTCCTACGTGGCCCTTCAAATGGTCTAAATGGCAATGATCCAGTAGCGGCATGGTAAAATGTTACCCCAATGCTCCAAAGATCAACTGTTGCTCCATACTTCTTCTGATGATCTTTTCTTAGCACTGCTCTCTCATACATATCAGGATGCTTAAAAAAAAGAATGAAGAAACTAACTTGTGTTCTATGGTAATACGTTACACACAAATGGGTATTTGATAATGCCTACAACGTCTATTATATTGCCCTAATAATTTCACTTCCCCAATCTGAAAAGACTATTTCATGTCTTCTCTTCTTTCCTCAAACCTCCAACACCACCTTCCTTTAACTCTCAATCTCGATGACCTCACTTCATTCTTCAATAAGGAAATGTAAGCAAAACAGATCAATTCTCCCTTATGCTTTTTACCAAATACCAACCTTCTTGAATCTGTGTCTAGACTCTGGCCTACTTTCCCTTTATGATGGAACTACTCCTATCAAGGGCTAACTTTTCCATCTGTGCTATGGAATCCATACTAATGTCTCGCTAATTCCAGAAATCAATTCCTACAATTATCCTTTTTATTTTATGCAATTTCCTCTTATTGGATCATTCCTTTTAGCTTACATACATGCTATAAGATCTCCTACTTTTAAAATCTAAATTGACCTCACGACCCTTTCTTGCTATGACCCAATTTTCTTTCCCACCATAGCAAAACTTCTCAAAGCAGCTGTCTCCACCTATAACTGCCTTATTTCCTCATCTCTCATGGAGGCCTTTGGCATTAAATATTACCCATATACTTTAACTCCCAAACTATCTCCTGCCCTGAGTTCCAGATTCATATACTCTACTGTTTTCCCAAATGTCTAAAAAGTAGCTCAAACTTGGGGCACATGGGTGGCTCAGTCAGTCAACTGAGTGAAGTTGGCTCAGGTCATGGATCTTTCAGACTGTGAGTTCAAGCCCTGCATCAGGCTTGCTGCTATCAGCACAGAGCCTGCTTTCGATCCTCTGTCTCCCTCTCTCTCTACCCCTCCCCCCACATGCTTTGTGTCTCGAAAATAAATGAACACTAAAAAAAAAAGTAGCTCAAACTTCACATGTCCAAAATAGATTCTTCTTGGTCTTTGCTCTCAACCCAGTTTCCTACTAATCTTTATCCTCTAAGCAAGCAGTACCACAATCTATCCAGTTATTTATTCCCCAGACCTATCAGGTAGCCTTGATTTCTTTTTCTCATCTCTCAAATGCAATCCATCAGAGCAAGTCATGATGACTCTGAGATAAAAATTAAATTTTTTAGAATTATTTCAGAGGACTAGCCTGACTGAGCTGATTGGGGATCTAGCAGTCCAGACAAGTAGCTGATGTGATGTTAAACACATGATTTTAAGTCAAGATGTTATACTACATTACGGAGTACAGATCAATCTTTTTTTTCTTAATTAAAAAAATTTTAATGTTTAAGAGACAGAGTGTGAGTGGGGGAGGGGCAGAGAGAGAGGGAGACAAAGAAACCAAAGCAGACTCCAGGCTCTGAGCTGTCAGCACAGAGTCCCATGCGGGGCTCGGACCCATAAACTGTGAGATCATGACTTGAGCTGAAGTCAGACACTCAACTGACTGAGCCACCCAGGCGCCCCCTCCCCCCAATTTTTTTTAATGTTCACTTATTTTTGAGAGAGAGAGAGCAGGCAGGGGAGGGACAGAGAGAGAGGGAGACACAGAATCCAAAGCAGGCTCAGGCTCTGAGCTCCCAGCACAGAGCCCAACACAGGGCTTGAACCCAGGAACCTCAAGATCATGACTTCAGCCAAAGTCAAGTGCTTAAATGACTGAGCCACCCAGGCGTCCCTGGAATACAGGTAAATCTTATATGACATGGCTTAGCAGCTTACAGGTCCAGCCAGAGATTCTGATGGACATCTAGCTATGCAGAGTACAACCAGAAGTCATACATGCTTAGCTTCCTGACATCTGCATTCACAGAAGTTATGCACTTGAAGATTCTTGAAAGATAAAGCTACAAGAGTGTACTTAGGACCAAAGCAGAGTCATCAACCAAATCAAAACGAATGCCTTATGACATTGTGGCATGTGGCTGCGGCCTAAAAGACTGGGAATGAGTGCAGGTAACACTATTGGGAGGGTGCTTCTAAATGATGCATTCTATGAATTTGACTCCCAAAGGGTCACCATCCCTGGATTTTTTGTGTGAATAGTGGGGTGGGAGGTGGGGATGGGGGACCACTCTTTTGGGAAATACCTCTTAACGAGTAATCAAGAGGTGATAAGCATGAAGGGTTTGAAGTGAGTGTCTAAACAAATGTCTTCGAGATATATGGGGTCTAAGTGGTTTTGCTGGTTCTGTGAAACAGCATATAAACTACTATCCAAAGAAGCATCAGCCGGCCCTTCGACACAGTAGCTGGTACTTAGTGTATAAATGGTACTGTGAACAGACCAAAACCCATGTATATGCCTGATATCCTCTAGCACATGAGGGTGCCAAGCTGGGAAGAGGAGATACAGTGATTCTAGAAGGAGACAAAGGGAGAAATCCCCTCAAAAGGTGCAATAAATAATATAATTCTCCCACAGAGTGACATTAGCATATGCTGGTTACTAAACATGATCTCTACTCATTGGCTCTCTCCTGAATGTGCTGCCTGCATTTGTGTAGGGCTTGGTACTGCTGGGCCTGAGCCTCCACATCTGGAACAGGAACAGGAGAAGAAAGCTACTGTAAAGCTCTCAGGTTATATTATTAAGACGTATCCATAACAGGGGCGCCGGGGTGGCTCAGTTGGTTAAGCGTCCGACTCTTGATTTTGGCTCAGGTCATGATCTCACGGTTTGTGGGATTGTACCCCACACTGGATGCTGTGCTGACGGCACGGAGTCTGCCCCAGCTCATGTGCACGCACTGTCTCTCTCAAAATAAATACATAAATATTTTTTTAAAAAGAAAAAAAGATATCCATCATATTAAAAATGGTGGAAGAAAGAATGTTGAAGTTTTCTTTGGACTTTAGCAAACAAAGAGAAGATTTAACATCTGGTCTCGGAATTCCATAATGAGAAAAATTTTCATTTAAATATAAAAACTTTTAGATTTTAGCCTGCTGAGCTGCAGGCTATTATTTATCTCTTTTTGTAAAATTTCTGGTATACTGCACATGGAAACAGGGCTGGGCATAATCTCAAATAGGAAATATATTAGAGTAAAATTTTAGCCTAGAGTACAGCATGAACTTGGAGTTAATTTAATGTTTTGCTTTTTCCATTTTGAAAGTCTGTTAAGAGGCAAAAGCTAAACAAGGATCCTAGGATATGTGAAACATTAACAGTTGATACTGGGCAATCAACCTCATGCAGGCTGGAACAGAGCGGTTGCTTGTTTTGCTCATCACAGTAACCAAGAAGGGTTATTGGTATTTAGTGGGCAGAGACTAGATAGGAAAGACATCCTGCTGACTGTGGAACAGTTCTAAAAAACAAGCTTCTGATATCCAGCAGGAGTTTTGAATATTCTGCCAGACATCTGTGGAGGTGAGAAGTCTATTACTCGCACATCTTATATATAAACATAAAAATTTTTGCACACAAAGTATTTTTGTAGCTATAAGAATGTATCTTTATGAAAATCTCCTTTGTTTAGTTGGAAACTACTAAGAATTATTCAGTGGTTTGGAAATTCATGTCCGTGACACCACCACACTTGTGATTTGTAACTCATTACCGGAACATACAAGTCATCACTATACTTGCACTGCAAGTGATAGTACGTACAAGCGTAAGCACTGGATTCTTTAATTTATTTGTCAGTGAGGTTATTCCTAAACTTTTACATATTAAATATCTCTGCTATTATTATAAATGTTTTCCTTTATAATATTATTGAGGTATTATGCCATCTCTTAATGAGGTATACAAATTGATTATATCTAAGAATTTCATTTCAAGATACTGAAGGGAACACTGCAAAACAATTATAAAAAGGGCGTGATTGGGGCGCCTGGGGGGCTCAGTTGGTTAAGTGTCCGACTCTTGATTTTGGCTCAGGTCATGATCCCAGGGTTGTGGGATTCACCCATGTTGGGCTCCAGGCTAAGCAAGGAGCCTACTTCACATTTATTCATTCATTCTCTCTTTCTCTCTCCCTCCCTCTCTCTCTGCTTCTCTATCTCTCCCCATCTCTGCTCCTCTTCCTTGCTGGTTGTACGTTCTGGCTGGCCTCTGCTTATATCTCCAACTCCTACCACCTGCCCCTTAACTCATTAAATTCCGCCAAACTGCCATCCTTTCTGTTTCTCAAACTTCCAAGGTCATTCTTATTTCTAAGCCTTTGCAGTTCCTGGTTCCCTTTGCTTGTCACGCTCTTCCCCCAAATCTTTGCACAGCTTGCTTCTTTTGAATCATTTAAGTGTCACTTAGGATGGAAAGGAGGCTTTCCCTAGCTATCTTTCTCCTGCTAGTTGTTCTTACTCTTATTACCTTATTATCTTCCCAACACTTCAATTATCTGAATTTATCTTGTCTACTTGTTTAATTAACTATTTTCCCCACTACTGTGTGGGTTCCCCTAAGAGCAGGAATCGTGTGCATCTGGGTGACTGCTGAAGGTCCAGGGCCTACAACACTGCCTGGCGCACAGCAGGCACCCCATAGATATTTGATAGATGAATCTAATCCATTTGTAGGTTTTTGTATTAAAAGATTATCAAAATATAACTACTATTAATCAATTTGGAGTTATATGCTGTTATATACAACAGTATATACAGAACAATTTGAGACACTAAATTCAGGGCAGACTTAGAATAATCTGAATAAAACTATAGGGGTGGTTAGATTTTACTCTCCATGTTACAAAATTACAATGGCAGAATCTTTTTTCTCTTTTTTTTTCTTAAGTAGTGTATTGTCAAGTTGGTTTCCATATAACACCCAGTGCTCATCCCAACAAGTGCCCTCCCCCATGCCCATCACCCCCCTTCCCTCTCTCCCACCCCCATGAGCCCTTAGTTTGTTCTCAGTATTCAAGAGTCTCTCATGGTTTGCCTCCCTCCCTCTCCCCAACTATTTTTTCCCCTTCCCCTCCCCCATGGTCCTCCATTAAGTTTCTCCTAATCCTGCTATATGTGCAAACATATGGTATCTGTCCTTCTCTGCCTGACTTATTTCGCTCAGCATAACACCCTCAAGGTCCATCCATGTTGCTACACATGGCCAGATTTCATTCTTTCTCATTGCCATGTAGTATTCCATGGTATAGATAAACCACATCTTCTTGGTCCATTCGTCCGTTGATGGACACTTAGGCTCTTTCCATGTTTTAGCTATTGTTGAGAGTGCTGCTATGAACATTGGGGTACATGTGCTCCTATGCATCAGCACTTCTGTATCCCTTGGGTAAATTCCTAGCAGTGCTATTGCTGGGTCATAGGGGAGTTCTATTGTTAGTTTCCTGAGGAACCTCCACACTGTTTTCCAGAGGGGCTGTTCCAGTTTACATTCCCACCAACAGTGTAGGAGGGTGCCCGTTTCACCACATCCTCACCATCATCTAGAGTCTCCTGATTTGTTCATTTTAGCCACTCTGACCACTGTGAGGTGGTATCTCAGTGTGGTTTCGATTTGTATTTCCCTGATGATGAGTGACCCTGAGCGTCGTTTCATGTGTCTATTGGCCATCTGGATGTCCTCTTTGGAGAAGTGTCTGTTCATGTCTTCTGCCCTACAAAGGCAGAATCTAATTGGAAAAAAGTCACAGAATCTGAGATGTCTTCTTCTTCTTTTTTTTTTTTTTTTTTTACAGTAATCTCTATACCCAAATGGGGCTCAAACTAATGACCTCAAGATCAAGAGTCAGATGCTCTACTGACTGAGCCAGTGAAGTGCTCCCATAATCTAAGACTTTTAAGATATAGTCCAGAGCTATGAGCAATTAGTGACAGTTCTATATTATAAACTTCCTGATTACATGTCAAGTGTACCTACTTTTTGTTTTAAATTTTTATTAGTGAAATATAATTGACGTATGTTGTTATATTAGTTTCAGGTGTATAACACAGTGATTCAATAATTCTATACATTACACAAAACTCACCACAATAAGTGTAGTTACCACAAAGGAAATGAAAGCAAAACTAAACACTAAAATAAAAAGCTTTGCACAACAAAGGAAACCACCAACAAAACGAAAAGGCAACCTACTGAATGGGAGAAAATATTTGCAAACGGTATCTCTGGTAAGGGGTTAATATCCAAGACATATTAAGAACTCATACGGGGGTGCCCGGGCTGGCTCAGTTGGTGGAGCATAGGACTCTTGATCTCAGGGTTGGGAGTTTGAGCCCCAGGTTGAATGTAGAGAGGTTACTTAAAATCTTAAAAACAAAAATCAAGAAACTAAAAAAACCTCCTACAACTCAACACCAAAACCCCACAAATAATCCAATTAATAAATGGGCAGAGGACCTGAAAGACATTTTTCTGAAGAAAATACACATATGGCCAATGGTCACATGAAAAGATGGTCAACATCACAAATCATCAGGGAAATGCAAATCAAAACCAGGAGACTATCACCTCATACCAGTCAGAACGGCTAGTATAAAAAGACAAGAAATAACAAAGTGCCTGGTGGCTCCATTGGTTAAGGGTCCAGCAGCTGAGGTCATGATCTCAGTTTGTGAGTGCGGAGCCTGCCTCAGATTCTGTCTCCCCCACTCCACCCTTTGCACTCATGCGCATGTGCTCTCTTGCTCTCTCTCTCCCAAAAATAAATAAACATTAAAAAAAGAAGAAGAAATAACAAATGTTGGCAAGGATGTGGAGAAAAGGGAACCCTCAGGCACTGTTGGTGGGAAAGCAAATTCGTACAAATACTGTGGAAAACAGTGTGGCAGTTCCTCAAAAAAGTAAATGTACTTACTTTGAAGTATATTTTCTTAACCGTTTCAAACGTTCACTAACTTCACAAAAACACACCTATGCAAACAGTTTCAACCACAGAGCTTTTCTAACTTTCTAGCAGTTCAAGTTAGATCTTTTCAAAAACATTTCATTTCTGTTTCTATTAATGGTCTTGCCTTTCCATAACCAATCTCCCTGACTAGAATCTTCTGCTTCAGAATTATAATGAATTTTGCCTTATAGAGGATTTTATTATAACAAGCTTGTAATATATTAACTGCTCTGATCCAAAAAAGGAGTATTTACTAGCTAGATGCTTTTTAAGTGCACATACACCTTTTTTCTTTTAAGATACATCCATAGCATTAGTAAATTAAAGAACTCAAGAGTGATATAATACTTACAAGAATTTTTTTAAGTTTATTTATTTGAGAGAGAGAATGTTCAAGTGGGGAAGGGGCAGAGAGAGAGCAAGAGAGAAAGAATCCCAAGCCAACTCTGTGCTGTCAGTGCAGAACCTGATACAGTCCTTGAACCCGTGAACTGTGAGATCATGACCTGAGCCAAAGTCAGACACTTAACCAACTGAGCCACCCAGGTGCCCCAAAAACTTATGTAAGAATTTTTAACAGAAAAATAACAGCATCCATAGAAACCAATATCTAATTCCCTCATTACACACCAAATTGATTAGAATAAAAAGTTTATTTTTTGTCATAAAAGTTACTAAGATATTTTATAGTGAACTGGTTGACCAGTTACCATATTTACAACATATTCATATATAAATAAGTTAGTGATGTGTGACTTACCAAATATTCTTCTGTGCCATACAGAGAAACAAACTGCTCATCATCTTCTAATTCTCTAGCTGCACCAAAATCTGTGAGTTTGTACACTGACTGTCCATCTTCCCCTATAACACGCATGATGTTTCCTGGCTTGATATCACGGTGCACTATGCCATTCTCTCGGAGATGATTCATTCCACCCACTTAATAAAATAAAGGAAATAATTATGTAGGAATCTATGTGTATGTGTGTGCGTATCAAATTCATTGACATCATTCACTCAATAGGTTTTTCCACAAGTTGGTCCAATGTCATTTTTATCAAAGAAGTAATAGATGGTATTTATGTTTATGTTATCTCATGTTTGAGTAATAAAGTTTTAGAATAAGGATCACTATGATCTAAAGGAGAGTCCAACCTCTTTTAGTTAAATATTATCAGGAAAATGAAACAAAATGATCTTAAGCATATGACTTCCTGAATTACTTTTGGTTATATACATGTGGGCAATATGCCTAAATTTAAGAATAATGATTCTCAAGAAAGTTACCAATCTTTCATCAGAGTTTCCTATTTCTTTACCTTGGGGAAAAAATTCCATAAAAAAGTAAACTGGATTCAAAACAGTAAAAAAGTAAGAGAGGAAAAGTATTATACTAGCTTTCATAAGAATAGTATTTCTCATATACTTAAAGCTATTCTAAAAAGGCCATTTTCCTTTTTTCTTTTTAAGGGTAAAGGTGGCTACATTGCTGAAATTAAGCTGTTTTGGGTGACAGGCAGTGTCCCTAAACACTAGTTTGAAATATTTGACAGCTGACAGATGAATGCCCAAATATAATCTATGAAAATAAGTTTAGAGGGATCACATTCAATTATGAAAACTCAGGGCTATCAGTATACTTGGGAAGTCATCGATTATCTATAATTTCTACTTGGTTAAACAGGCTATAGTATATACTGTGTCTTTCTTATTTTATCCTCACCTAAACTGCTTCCAATGTCAAGTTTGTGAATTCCCACTAACCTTCTGCCTTCTTTATCACTGGGCTTCACTCATTCCTCAAATACTGATTCATTCCTCTCCAAGAAGAAATTATTCTCTTTGGGTGCTATATATATGTATTTATATTTACATATATTTATATTTTTTAAATAGCTTTTTAAGGAAAAATTCAAGTATCATAAAATTCAGCCTTGTAAAGTATACAACTGAGTAGTCTGTAGAAGAGTCAAAGTGCACACCCATCACTAGTTTCAGAACATTTTCATCATACCAGCAAGAAACCTCATATCCATTAGCAGTTAGTCCTCAACTGTGCCATCCTCTCAAACCTCTGGCAATGACTAATCTGCTGTCTCTGTGGATTTGCCTGTTCTGGACATTTCATATAAATGAAATCATATAAATATATTGTGACCTTTGGTCATGTGGCTTCCTTCACTTAGCAAAATTACCCACATTACGGCATGTATCACTACTATATTTCTCTCTTTTTTTCAAGTAAACTCTAGGCCCAAAGGAGGCTTGAACTCACAACCCTAAGATCAAGAGTCACATGCTCTATCAACTGAGCCAGCCAGGCTCCACTATGTCTTTTTTATGAACAGATTAATATGCCATTGTATGGATATACCACATTTTTGTTAGTCATCAGGTGATGGACACGGGCCATTTCCATTTTGTGGCTATTATGAACATTGGTGTGCAAGTTTTTGTGTGGATATGTTTTTAATTCTTTTAAGTAAATATCTAACAATGGAATTGCTGAGTCATATAGCAATTCTACATTTAATCTTTGGAGGAAATGGAGGAACTGCTAGACTGTTTTCCAAAGTGGCTGCACTTTTTTTACAATCACATCAGGTGTATACAAGTGCTCCAACTTCTTCACATGCTTGCCAACACTGTTTTTGTTTTGCCTTTTTGATTTTGGCTATGCTAGTGGGTATGAAGTGGCATCACTCTGTGGTTATAATTTGTATTTCCCTACTTATTACTTACTTATTTTTCCCATTGTTCAGTTTTAAATTGGTTTATTTGTCTTTTTATTAAGTTGCCAGGATAAAAATTCCTTATCAGATATATGATTTGCAAATATTTTCTCTCATTCTACGAGTTGTCTTTTCACTTACTTGATGTTGTCCTTTGAAATACAAAGCTTTTAATGTTGATGAAGGTCCAATTTATGTATTTTTTCTTTTTGTACTTGTGTTCTTGGGGTCACATCTAAGAGAGCACTGCATAAAGGTCTTTGGTTTTGAAGAGGAGATTTCTTTTTAAAAATTCTTGTGTTGTTAAATTATATTTACACAGATCTATAAAATCATGTAAACAAACGTACCCACATCTCGCAAAACAATTAAAAATTCAGACTCTGGCAGTCCATAGGCATTAGATGGCTCTTCTAAAACAGTGTATAAACTTCCGCATGGACAAAATTCCATAATAAGTACTTTATGTCTTGTTGTCGTCTGAAAAAAAAAACAACCCACTGACTGGGACTCAACATAAAAAGTAAGTTTTTATTATATGCTAACGGTTATCTGATTTCACTTAAAAGTAGTACTACAATGATGAAGGTGCTGTAGTAAATTGCCTTACCTGGGATTTGTTAAATATTTACTGATCGTACACATATAACAATTAACATCTTCTAAATTCCTACCAGATTTGTTTTTGAAGACAATCAAAGCTCAGTGAAAGCTGGCTAAATCTAAACTAATCACTGCTATATCGTCATAATGGTTCTTTAAAACCTATCTTTAATTTCTAACACATAATAGTACATTTAGAACATTAATCTTCTAACAAATCTCTTAAAAATACTTGAAATTCTTCTCATGACGAGTACTTGTACTTCAAGGAATGGAGTTCTAGCCTTAAAAACAAAAAGATGGCAGAATGGCTGAGAAGTCCCTTGTGTAGCAAAGCTCTAGTCTGCTCATTTGTTTTAATCTTGATTCCAATGTACCACTGATTATAAGGTATACCATCAATTTCATAACAGCTTTATAGGGAAAAAGAAATACTACCAAATTACATATATACATTGATTATAAGATATATGCCCATTTCAGGAAAATGTGATTACGAGTCTTAAAATCCAGTATCTATCTCCAATTTTGTATCTTTTTCTCTTTTTTTAATGCATTAATTTAAAATTATTTTTTAATTTTATTTGTTTTTTTAAATGTTTATTTTGAGAGTGCATGAGTGAGGGAAGGGCAGAAAGAGCGGGAGAGAGACAATACCAAGCAAACTCTGTGCTGACACCTTAATCTCACAAACTGTGAGATCATTATCAGAGCCAAAATCAAGAGTTGGCACTTAACCGACTGAGCACCCCAAGACTGTTGTTTTTAAATAATGAAATGACATACACTGATTGTTTAAAATCTGGGAAATATCCATAATTCCATCAGCAGAGATAATTACGCTAATATTTTGGTGCATTTCCTTTCAGTCTTTTTCCTATATATCAAGTCACACTATACATACATAACACTATATGTACATAATGCTATATATTAAGATCATACTGCATACATATTTTAATCCTGTTTTTCTCACATTATACATAAGCATGTTCGTAGGTGATTAAAATTTTGGTAAATGTCTCTCATTACTGCTTAACTACTGTGTAGTGAAGAATAAATTCTACCCCAAGAGAGGTCAGGCCTTTGCCCTCGGCCACTGGGAGGTGATCACTAGGCCTCTGGAGTATCTTGTGTGCTAGAAGTGTCTTATCTTTGGCAGCTCTGGACACATAATGGCCTAATGATGCAATTTATGATGGGGGTTTAGGATGTGCATACCCATGTTAACTTCCAGAGGAAATGGAGACTAAAGGTGTTAGCCTGAACCTCTGGAAAGGGCTAAAGACTAGAAGTCAGCCATGCAAGCAGCATGTGATTGAGTCCCAATAAAAACTGTAGACACCAAAAGCTGAAGTGAGTTTCCAAGACTAGCAGTACTCCGTGCCTCCTGTTGTACATCAAGGCCAGGAGGGGAATGTATCCATGAGGACAAGGAAGATTCATGTTTGGAGTCCTCCTTTATCCTCTCTGTGAATTTCTTCCTGGGACCAGTTCTAAGGTGTATTCTTTTGCTACAAGAAAACTAGCACAGGGTTTTCCTGAGTTCTGTGAGTCCTTCAACGCTCTAACAAATTACCCTATCTGGGGGCAGTCACGGGGAGTTCTAAATTTGTAGCTCGCTGGTCGAAGCGATGGTAGCCCTAGGGGACTCCTGAGTTTACACCTAGTATCTGAATGATCCCCATCTTGTGGGGACTGTTCTCTCTGACTGTGCAGTATGCCAAAGTTGGCTGCAGCAGCTGGGGTCAAAATGTCTTGAACAGGAGGCAGTCTGGAGGGCTATGTTCTTCGCTCATATTGAGTGTAGCAAACTGAGGAACTACCCATCATATACTTTTTTAACCATTCTTTATTATAAACAGGGCAATAATGAATATCTTTGTGCATAAAATTGTAATTTACAATTCTGATTAGCTCCTGCCAGCTCAGAGCCCGGAGCCTGTTTCAGAGTCTGTGTCTCCCTCTCTCTCTGACCCTCCCCTGCTCACGCTGTCTCTCTCTCTCTCCTAGAAATAAATAAAAATATTAAAAAAAAAAAAGAAATATGTAGATTTAATGGGGCGCCTGGGATGCTCAGTCGGTTAAGCGTCCGACTTTGGCTCACGTCATGATCTCACGGTTTGTGGGTTCGAGTCTGCTTTGCAGTCTGTGTCTCCCTCTCTCTCTGCCCCTCCCCACACCTTGTGCTCTGTCTCTCTCTCTCTCTCAAAAACAAATAAGCATTAAAAAAAAAGAATTATGTCAATTTAACTTTACTTAGTTTGGTTTTTAGTAAAAACACTGGTAACCATATTCAATACTCTTATTTCTTATGCTACTTTTTCTTTTTATTTAAAAGTTTTTAATGTTTAATTCATTTTTTTTAATGTTTTATTTATTTCTGAGACAGAGACAGTGTGAATAGGGGAGGGTCAGAGAGAGAGAGGGAGATACAGAATCCGAAACAGGCTCCAGGCTCTAAGTTAGCTGTCAGCACAGAGCCCGACGCAGGGCTCGAACCCATGAACTGTGAGATCATGACCTGAGCCGAAGTTGGTCGCTTAACCGAGTGAGCCACTCAGGTGCCCATTTTATTTATTTTTGAGAGAGAGAGAGAGACAGTGTGAGCAGGGGAGGGTCAGAGAGAGACGGAGACAAAGAATTTGAAGACAGGCTCCGGGCTCTGAGCTCTCAGTACAGGGCCTGACATGGGGCTTGAGCCCACGAACCGACTGAACCACCTAGGCACCCCCTTATGCTACTTTTTCCGGATTCCATGATATTTTATTTCCATTGTTATATCTCGTCAAAAATATTTGAGAACAGAGTATTTGGTTATATGAACTGTAATCTCCACAATTATAAAAAATCTCATTGTTTATAAAACAAGTTTTTACATTGGGTCATTTCTCCTAAATCACAGCAACTACAATAAACATGAGAAGATTAGTGACTAAAATGTCACTACTTACCTCCTCTTCAATAGCAAATAATTTGACAATATTTTTGTGATTGAGTTTTTTTAATACTTCAAATTCTCTCATCTGAACATCCACTGGACGAAGGAAGCTTATGTTATTAAATACTTTGATAGCAAATAAGTCACCAGTTTTCTAAAAGAAATTAAAAAAAGAAAAGTTTTATTTATATTGCAAAGAAGATTAAAAGTTACCATTAGCACTAGATAGCAATATATCTTTCTTATCGAACACCTAAATATATATACATATATGTGTGTATATATATATATTAAACTTTAATGTTTTTTATTTATTTCTGAGAGAGAGAGAGACAGCGTGAGCAGGGGAGGGTCAGAGAGAGAGGGAGACACAGAATCTGAAGCAGGCTCCAGGCTCTGAGTTAGCTGTCAGCACAGAGCCCGACGCGGGGCTCGAACCCACGAACCGTGAGATCATACCTGAGCCGAAGTTGGACGCTCAACCGACTGAGCCACCCAGGTGCCCTACCTAAATATATTTTTTTAAGTTTATTTATTTTTGAGAGAGGGGAAGGCGTAGAGAGAGGGACAGAGAAAATCCCAAGCTGTCAGCAGAGAGACCAATACAGGGCTTGATCTCACGAACTGTGAGATCATGACTTGAGCCAAAACCAAGTCAGATGCTAACCAATGGAGCCACCCAGTCACCTTAGAGAACACTTAAATATTTTTAAGCATAGGTAATTATATTAGGGCTCTTCACTTGTTTTTATTTTTATTTTATTACCTTTTTTTTTATTGAGAGAGAGAGAGTAAGAGAGAGACAGCAAGTGAGCGAGGGGCAGAGAGAGAGAGAATCCCAGGAACGGCAGAGAGAGAGAGAGAGAGAAGGAGGGAAGGAGAGAGGGGGAAAGAAAGAGAGAAATTGAGAAGCGAGGCTCACCCAAGGCGTAGCTCGAGCTCACCTGATGTGGGACTCAAACTCAGGAACTGTGAGATCATGACCTGAGTCAAAGTCAGGTGCTTAACAACTGAGCTACCCAAGTGCCCCCTTCACTTGTTTTTAAAGCTAAAATCAGCCAATCAACTGCTCCAAATTTCTTTCAAATGGTATGCTTTGGAATGAAGAAAAGGCTATTTTCTTTCATATTAAAACACTTCCAGAGGTGCCTGGCTGGCCTAGTTGGTATATAGCATGGAACTCTTGATCTTGGGGTCAGGAGTTCAAGCCTGACATTAGGCCTAGAGCCCACTTATGAACTAATAAATGAATGAATATTGAAAAAAAAAAGCTTCCATTATAATAATTGAAGCAAAGATAGTCTTTCACATATAAGAGAAAAAGAGCTCTAATAATACCAAATGTGAAAGTATATTTTAGATAAAAAAGTGGAGGGGCACCTGGGTGGCTCAGTTGAGCAGCTGACTCTGGGCCATCTCATGGCTTGTGAGTTCGAGCCCCATGTCAGGCTCTGTACTGACAGCTCAGAGCCTGGAGCCTCCTTCAGATTCTGTGTCTCCCTCTCTCTCTGCCCCTCCCCTGCTCACACTCGTGTGTGTGTGTGTGTGTGTGTGTTTGTCTTTCTCTCTCTTAAAAATAAATATTAAAAAAAATTAAAAAAGAGAGTAGAACTCACAAGGGTTTCTCCAGGGCCTAATAATTTAAAAACTAAACAGAACAGAAAAAGAGAGATTGAATATTCCACATCTGAAATTTCATTTGGATCTCAAAGTAATGAAACTGATGGTTAAGAAACACCCCCTAGATGCAACACTGTGCGTGTAGACGTGCAAGTGGAGGTAGGAGTTGGAGTTGGTCGGGTTCAAGCAGACTCTCATCACTGGACTGCACCACTACTGCCTTGGAGAACCTTCTGCGACCTCACCTAGATGATTAGGGCAGATTGTTTCTCCACAGAGCTTTCTCTTAGAAGATCAAAGACATTTCCTTTTCTCTGTGGAGGTAGCTGCAGCCATGCTCACGGCGTACTTAAGTAGATTACACAAAAAATTACAAGGCACAGCCTTGGCTGGGAGGGACTCTTAGAGGTACAAATATATGCTTCATTTCAGATACATATTATCTTATGTTCTTCATATTAACCTTACTGTAAGCTCTCTTCCAGACCCTCCCATCTCCTTCCAGTCACTCTAATCTAAGCAAACCTCTCCTCGGTGGTCAGTCCGATTCTTTGAGTTTAATCTTACCTTTTCCATAATCCAACGTTGAACTTCCCTGGAGCAAGTAGAAAGATAATTTCCTCTCTGACTTTGGGGTTCAAGCACCACCTGCCTAAAGATATTTCATGGCTGTCCATCTGTCAGAATTTCTGTGCTGTTCCTGCTCTGACACCTTCTCTACAGCTTTCCACACAGATTCACTGCTTATAGCCACAATCACCTCAGAATCTCATGATTTTTTTTTTGAAGTTTATTTATTTATTTTGAGAGAGAGGGCATGGGCAGGGGAAGGGCAAAGAGACACAGAGAGAGAATCCCAAGCAGGCTCTGCATTGCCAGCACAGAGCCAATCTCACCAACCACAAGATCACGGTCTGAGCAGTAACCACGAGTCGGCCCTAGACTCAGGTGCCCTAGAGCTTCATGATCTTTTTCTCACCTTAGATTCTCATGATCTTTTTCTCACCTCAGATTCTCATGATCTTTTTCTCACCTCAGAATCTCATGATCTTTTTTCTTAAAACCATTTAACTGCTTCACAACCTCTCTTCAAGATCACTATTTGGAGACCACTATCTGTGTCTCATAATCACACCTCCCTCACCCCCCTTCACACCAAATACACATTTTTTTTCCAGAGAAAATGTCCACTGACCATTTTCAGACAATATGAAAATAGAGTAACAGCTGAACTGCAGTCGAATTACGCTGTTTTTCCATTTGTTCAACCAGAGTAAGAACACTGCCCAAATCTATACCACCCAACATTTGCCACCATGATTTTGCTTGAGCATACCTGTCTCCGACTTGGTTTAAAATTAGGAGAATCCTAACAGAGGAGCAATCAGGGAAAACAATATAATGTTGCAAAGTGCCCACTGTGTTCAAGGCTAGCATTTTTCAAACTTTTGTAGTCTACATCATACCTGTGAGATTACTGGCACAACAGGTGGAAATGTATCGTTTTCCCTTTAGCCAACTGCACAGTCATCTATCATTCACTGTCCCTAAGTCAAAAGGAATATGAATAATATTTAGAGATCTATGTGGATATATAAAGTTGACCTCTGAACGATGTGAGGGTTAGGGCGTCAACCCTACATGAGGTTGAAATTCCACATATAACTGACTCTCCAAAAACTTAGCTACTAACAGCCTACTGTTGACTGGAAGCCTTAGCAAGAACATAAAGAGTTAACATATATTTTGTATGTTATGTGTCTATAACATTCTTTGTATGTTACATTCTTACAATAAAGCAAGCTAGAGAAAAGAAAATGTTACTAAGAAATCCTAAGGAACAGAAAATATATTTACAGTACTGTACTTTATTGAAAAAAAATCCACATGTAAGTAGGCCCACAGAGTTCAAACCTATGTTGTTCACGAGTCAACTGTATCACATATGCCAATCAACATATCCTTCCCTTCCCTTTAACTTCCCCATGGTTAGCTCATGCACGCATGCACATGCGCGTGCGCGCGCGCGCACACACACGTAACTAAAAGCAACTCCATGAGAAAGAGATAAAGTAACACACTCTGAATGACAAATTCTAAAACCTGGTCTGAAATTTGGAAACCTGTTCATTCTAGGCAATAACATAAAAGGGCTTAACAAACATCATGGTTAAAAATCCTTAAACAGTTACTAAGAGTAAGTAGGAAAAACAAAAACAAAAAAACCCCAACTTCAGCTCAGGTCACGATCTCATGGTTCATGAGTTTGAGCCCCGTGTCAGGCTCTGTGCTGACAGCTCAGAGTTTGGAGCCAGCTTTGGACTGTATGTCCACCCCCCCACCCCTCCCCTGCTCGCTCACGTGCTCTCTCTCTCTCTTTAATGTTTAACCAAACATTAAAAAAACAATTTTAAAGCAAGTAGGATTTTTTTGAGTATAGTCCTAAATCTTTGTAGTTGATGTCAATGAGGACACACATGGTTTCTTAAACTATATCCCTGGGAAGAATATCAGGGACTAAATACTAAACTGAGTCTTCACAATCTTTTAAGAAAATTCCTATGTCTCTCAAATCCTTATTTTAGGCTTTCTGACTATGTTGGATAAAGTACATTTTTGTTTCCTTTGAAGAAGAATTTGGGTTGTCTTAGGGTAGTCTAATCTGTCCTCATGCATGCATGCATTCATTCATTCATTCAACATTTACAGAACGCTTACTATGTATGGGAACTTAAACGGAAGAGAGCGAGTAGGGAAAAAGGACCAGAATTGATGGAATATTTACAAGTACCAGGAACTTTAAACATGCCTCACCCAATCTCTCACTACTGACTACCTATCATTCCATCAGTTTCCAACTTACAACCCTTCTAATGCCAGCCCACCTTGCTACTAAACCCAAAACCCTCTGTGGGAAGGGACTGCACGTCATTTGCAGTTATATTCACTAGGTCCATCACAGGGCCTGTCATATACCAAGTGATTATTAAAGTTTGTTAACTTGGGTCAGAGGAAGACAATCAGATGTAGTCTCGAGGCTAAACCTTGTGTCGCCACCCACTTTTTCTTCTTCTTAGCACAGAGCACAAAACAAAAACAATTTCTAGGATAGGAATACCCAAAGTTGATCACAATGGGCTTGATAAAAGACCCAGAGACAAGAAATGTGAAAGGATTCCAAACCTGTGGATAATTCTGGAAGAGGGCAAAGGCTCAAAGTTCCCTGTATGACACTTCTGATTCATTCTCCATTAACCACAGAGACTGCTTATAGTCATAATCATTCCCCAAGGGAAACAGGCCCTCCCCTCTGAATGCTTATCTCACTGTTACTGACAGAACTGATTGGTAATCACTAAGGCTACAGGAAAATATGAAGAAACTCCTCCTCACTAAAATACTTAAAGCTCGTTTCTCAAAATAATTTAAAAGGCTCTGATCGTCACTAAGCTCAAAACAAATTCAAAGGGTTGAAAAATTAGTGGATTATTTGCATTATAAAGGAATTTTTACTCCAGCTTTCCTCCCAGAACAGAAGCTTTAATGATCTTAAATTTCTTCAATTTATTTACTTTTTAATTTTTAAAAATTAATATTTATTTATTTTTGAGAGAGAGACAGAGACAGAGAGACAGGGTGTGAGCAGCACAGGAGGGGCAGAGACGGGGAGACAGAATCGGAAGCAGGCTCCAGGCTCTGAGCTAGCTGTCAGCACAGAGCCCGACGCGGGGCTCAAACCCAGGAACTGTGAGATCATGACCTGAGCCGAGGTCGGTGCTTAACTGACTGAGCCATCCAGATGCGCCTTATATTTCCTCATTTTAAATTATGTTAATTATCTTTAATTCCATCCTCCAATATAGAATTTGACAGTAAATCTTTTTGGTTCTTGGAGTGCCTCCAAGATTAGCCCTTTTATTCTATTCTCACTTCTACTAACAAGTTCTAATTACCTCATACCTTTTAAATGTGAGCTCCTTGCTGATAACCTCACTTTATTATTTTTTTTATATTTGAGAGAAAGAGACAGAGAGAGAGAGAGAGAGAGAGCTGGAAAAGGGCAGAGAGAGAAGAAGACACAGAATCTGAAACAGGCTCCAGGCTCTGAGCTGTCAGTACAGAGCCCGATGTGGGGCTTGAACTCATGAACCGTGAGATCACGACTTGAGCTGAAATCAGACGCTTAACCGACTGAGCCACCCAGGCGCCCGTCTCACTTTATTATTAGCTGCCTTGTACGGGGCTGTGTACCGGGGCCTGAAGCTATAGGACAGCATATCAGAATCATCTGTGGATTCCCCTCCAATGGTACATCTGCCTCCCTGTATTCCTCCCTCACCCGTAGCCCGCCCCAGTACACTGACATACTGATCTTGTTAGTGAGATCACTCATGACCACAGGAGGACGAGGCTGGGCAAAGAATCCGAAGGTACAATATGAACCTTGCTAGTCTCTTTTTTTCCCCACTCTCAGCACAAAACCTCTGCCAGCACTGGGCAGATATCACTGACTCTGACACAAGCTATACTTTAAATAACCACACGAACAGGTACTCTTTTTAGACAGTATTACCAAAAACATCAAGTCTCACATTTTGGAACAAGCGTGCTTCTCACAAGAGGACATACACAGTGCTAAAAAGTCTTCAGTTTTCTCTGAACCAACCTTATGCCTTCCACGAAAGACATTTGCAGTGGCTCCTTGGCCTAAAATATCAGATAAAAGCCACAGATGATTAGAGGTGCTCTGCATCTCGGCTTGGTCAGGAGATCTTCTTATTAAACTAAGAGAGAAGAAAAAATGTGCAGGTTTGTTTTGAGGGAATAATACACTTGAAGAACAAATGTTAGCTCCTTTTAGTCTCAAGTAAGATCACCTCTTAGCTATTGCTAAGTTGAAGTGTATCGTCTAATGTAAAAATCTAAGTTTCCAACAATATTAAAGGTTAAAGTGCTGTGTGGGCTCTGAAAAAAACATTAACTGGTGACATCTTATATATTCATTTTAATTCACTCATCACAGGGCTACGGAAACATCTATTTCCCTTCCAATGTTACCTTTGCCATTGAGAGTGATACTGGCCGCTTTTCTCCTTCAAATGTTTTCAAAGACTGATCATGATGAATTACAAAGTGTTTTAAGGTAAAGTAACAACGTACAATATAACAGATACATAGCAAAGAATTACTTTGTTTCCTTAAGGGCAGGGTTACACCTATGAAAACAACTGTTGCCATGGCATAACATTTCCATTAAATGTTTCCTTTAAATTTCACCCCCAAGTGCCTGACAATCATAATGGAAAGATGCAATTTTTTGTTCCTGAAAAATTACTAACTCTCCTGAAATTAACTTAAGGATAATTTCTCCAATCTCCAAGTATATGAACAGACACATACTAAGTGCATATTACCAAGTCTTAAAAAATGAGCAAGTGGAAGCTATCTATGCATGCAGCTGGAGGCTATTATGTTTAAGTAAAAGATTTGTACCTTCTGCTCAATTTTGCCATACACCTAAAACTGCTCTAAAAAATAAGGTTGATTTAAGAAAAAAGCATCACCCCAGCCTTGTCATTTAATACTTAAAAGCTATATAACTATGAGGATATTAAAATACTTGCGCTCCATGTTGGAATAAAAATCAGGTATGCTAAGTAGCATAAACCCTAGCCTCACCATGCCACCTTAAATCTGCTGTAGTATCAGATCTTAATACCACTCTGTACTCCGAAAGAATTCGATGATAAATTAATGACTCCCAACATTCCAAGAAGGATCAGGAACATAAAGAAGGGCCAATTTTCAACAATCTTTGATATACTAAGATATATACTTTTACCACCCGCCTAATTTAGATAAGGAATTCATTGGAAATAAGCAATAAAAATAAGATTCACTTTTGGCAAGTAAGAAATACACATTTGTCAGCTGAATACACATTTAGATAAGGAATAATAAACTTCTTAACTACCTTTTCAATATTTTCAAGTATTTTTCAATAATGAAAAACCTTCCCTAATTGCTGTAACTGTGCTGAGGTAACTGTAATGGAAAACAGTGTCACTAGGTACGTGTATGTACCTAGTGAATAAATACAAACACATTTATCAGCTAAGATATCTGCTTCTCTATATGAAGATAGCAGACTAGTTTCACAATCATCAAGGGGAAATGTCTTTTGGTGACTACCTTCCAGTAAACCCACAATAACAGCATGCTAAAACATGACTCAGCACATCCACAAGGTGTGTGCTTTACAAATCTTCCCCAAATTTCGATACATCATAGGTAAGCACTCAACAAGTATGTTACTAGTGACTTTGCCTTAAGCCTACTTCCTTATACTGTCCAAAACGAAAGTTACTGTTCGTCCATCGATGAAAACAGGTTTGGTGACAGGCATACGAACAAAGTTCAAAGATTTTCCAACTCTACCACTACGTTAAGAATTTCGGCGTTCTAGAGCGAACAAAAACCTCGGGTTTTGGTTACGTACTGGGCAGTTAACGGGTAGACCTTGTTTTGAGGCCACCTACTGAAAATACCCGGGAAACGGACTGGGAAACAAACAACGTACGGAATTTCCCAAAGGAAATGTTTGGGAATTCACATTATATGTGTGTATATTCATAAACGGCTGCCTCCAGCTTCCGGTTAGTCAATCCCCGCCGTTACCATCACTAAAACCCTAACGAAACGCCTCTTTGGGATCATCTGAAATATCAACCCATTCAAACGGTGCCGATCGTGTCAACGCTCATAAAGAGGGGAGAAGCGGCCAAACTCCAAGAAAAAGGGGAATTCGTCTCTCGAGCGCGGCCAGGGCCCAGACCCGGTAACCCGCACGTCCTCTTTCTTCGTGCCCAACGTCGCTCTCCGCTGACCCGGGAGGGCCCCGGTCAGAGGGCCGGCCAGGGGGCGAGCAGGAGAGATGGAAGGGCCCGGGCCCGTGCGTCCGTTCCACCGCGTTTCGGACGCCCCGGACACCGGGGAGGCGGCGTCCGCCTAGTCGGGGTCCGGGGAGGGCTCGGCCTTGGGTCTTGCAGGGCTTCTCGGGGCGCCCGCCCCGCCCCCGCTCTGACTCAGCATCCCAGTCGCCCACAGGGGGCGGGAGCGCCCGGCGCGGGCCCGTGCCGACTTCGCGACCGGTGCCCCGCGCGGCTCGGCCCCTCCGCCCGCGCCGCCCCACTTACCGCGCCCGGTCTCCGTCGCGCCACCGCCGGCGGGCTCCCGCGGCCTCCTTGCGCCTCGGGACACTTCCGCCTTCGAGAGCCCTGGCCGCGGGCCACGTGACCGACGGCCGGCGCGCGCCGGCGCGCGTGCGCACGCCCGCCGGACCGGCCCCGGCCTCGGCCGCCTAAAGCTGCTGCCGGCTCTGCGGCGGCGGCCGGCGTCCCGAGCTTCTGTAGCGAAGGGTGGGGAGGCCGGGGGGGGGGGCTGTCTGGAGTCCGACTCGGTCCACGCCCTCTGCCCGTCCCTCCCTGGCTCTCCGGGTGGAGCCGGGGAGCCCTGCGCAGTGAGCAGTTTCAGATTCCCAGAACTGCAAATCCCACCCAGTTCTCGAGAGCCGACGACGGAGTGTGGCGTGCGGCGGTCGTAGGCAGGACGAACCTCGAACTCCTGATTGCAGACACTCAGACAGGCACAGGTGTGCAGACTGCTGGACGCGGGAGAGGCGGTCCCTGGGGAATGTCACTGTCTGGAGGGATACATCTGCAGCTGCTCTGAAGCCTGCGTTGCCCGCCGCGGAGCCCCATGATCGCCTCAGAATAATCCAGACGTGAAATTCTTAGTGTAAATGAGCTCACTTCTTATTTATTTATTTGGCGTTCTGGGGCGAGGGATCCAGGAATAAATGTCTTAATTCTCTCTTTAAGCGGTATTTTGGAAATGGGCAGTATTGGAGAACTTGATTAAAATCGGGTCCTGCAGTATTCGTGCCGCCAAGAGCCGAAGCAGCTGTTCCCTAGAAAGTGATCCCCTCTTCCCACTCACTGTGCTGCAGCCTTTCTCGACATATGGAGAGGCCACAGAGACTCTTGATGGGCCAGGGGTAAACTTCCGAGACACGGAAGAGAAGGAATTCTTCCCAGATGAGAACTACAGCAACCAGGAATGACATAAGAAACCAAGGCTGAGTGGTTAAGAACGGCGGCGTTTGAATGGAACAGATCGGGGGTGCAGCCTCAACTCTCCCCACCAAATACTGACTCTCAACACGTTTTTTCCAAGTCGGTTGTGTCCTTTGCACCGTGGAGATAACAAATGCCCACAGTAATGCGTTATTACAAAGGAAGTTACTTTGTTAGACTTTTAAACAATGTATAAGTCGTGGAGTCATTCCAAAAACCAATCTGTTTACTGCTTACTATTCCAACCAATTTCAGTTCTCCTGTATCTCATGCCAAGAAGGGGACCTGTGTAGGTTCCTTACAACAGTAAAACCCACAGCTCAAAAGTTGTCTGGGAGAAAATGTGATAAGCTGAGCCAAAGGCCTTGATTCGCATATTTTACCACAAAAGTGATGCATATTGAAATTTGACAGGATTTTCTTAAAGGCAGAGCTTCTTGTGAGCCAGTTTGCGTTAACATTTAAGACTTTAAATAATCTGTCAGGCACAGAACTAGACCAGGTGTCATGAAATCCTTGTGGTTTTGTAGTCAAGTCACCCAAATCTGTCTTTTGGCTCAGTGACCTCATCTGTTAAGATGTGAGATTCACTCTTGTGACAATTATTTGGGTGCTCGTTTTCGGAAACTACAATGCAAACAAGGTAATTCATAATGAAACAGAGGTCATTGCTATGGTACTCTGTAAATAAAGTGCTCTGGATAACCTCAAGGAAAAATGGGAATTATTCTACATTATCATAGAACATGAAGCTTAACTTCTGTTGCAGACTCTTAATTTCCGTGTCTTGATTTCAGTTGGCCCTGAACATACATGAATCTTTTGAAGGACTTTAAAGAGACAGGAAAAGCAGGTGTCACCCTCACATGTATGGAACTAATAGTACAGTGGCCACGGCTGATATGAAGCCTTCACGTGCAGGTACCGTAATAAGCTCATTTCATGCTTTTACAGATGCAAAAACCGGGGCAGGGAGAAATTATTTAATGTGCTTAAACTTCTAAAAACCAGAGACTGGCGGAACTGTTATTTGAACCTACTTAATCTGGGTCTGGAACCTGTCTTAGCTCTTAACCACTATGTGACTTGTTAATATACTTTTGAAACTTAGTGCTATTGTAACAGATGCCAGTTGTCTTTCCCACTGTTTAGGGAAACTTATCAATGAAACACCCAAGCTTTTTAATTTTTTATTAACTTTTATGTATTTTTTTTTAAAGTAATCTCTATGCCCAAAGTGGGGCTCGAACTCATGACCATGATATCAAGAGTCATATGCATGACCATGAGATCAAGAGTCGTATGCTCTACCTGACTGACCCAGTCAGGCTCCCTTCACTTATTTATGAAGACATTTTTATTGAAATATACATTTCGCTGATCTGTTCTTCCAGCTGTTAAGTTTGGAAACAAAGTTTAGTACCTTTGTCCTATGATGTAAGGAAAATGTTTGAAATCACTTACGGAATTAACCCCAGAAAAAGATATATGTGTATCATTTAGAATAGTTTAAGGGAGTTTATAGACCACTGAAGCCCATCATAGGGGGAACACATGAGCCAAAGGTTGAAAAGAAAAACCAAACTAACCCTCCCCTAAAATTTTCCTTACGTTTTTGGAATTTAAACTTTTATGCCTGCAGTAATTTAATTCTGCTGCTCAGTTTGTCGCTCCTTTTTTTGCTCTCCAATACTACTACTGATACTTTTACTCTTGCTTTCTTTCATAGTCACAAATAAAAACAGGGGTAAATACTTGTAGTAACTAGACGGGCAGCTTACTTGTAAGCATCATTAATACATAGGTATAGTGACCTACGGAAATCCAACAGGAGGGAAAAATTGGGATTTTAAATTCTAACAATAGAATGAAACAGGCTTTTCCTAGCACCTTAAAAAAAAAAAAAAGTCTAACGGGCACCTAGGTGGCTCAGTCAGTTAAGTGACCAACTCTTGATTTCAGCTCAGGGTTCATAAGTTCAAGCCCCACACTGGACTCTGACCATGCAGAGCCTGCTTGGGATTCTCTCCCTCCTTCTCTCTCTGCCCCTCCTGTACTCTTTTTCTCTCTCTCAAATAAGTAAAAGAAACAAAAACAAAAACAAAAAAGGAGTCCAACAAAACTAAGTTGCATATAACCTTCTGAGAGCATAAATAAATCATCCATAAGCCTAAATGTGTAATTCTTTAAATGGGAAATCTGGGAGAGATAAGAAAATAAGGCTATTTATAATAACAACAAGACGTGGTAGATTTCACTACGTAAAATTTATTTTTTATAAAAAGCGTGTAACACCGACACCTACTCTTAAATCAGTTAATTTATGAAACCATTCTCTTTTGTAGAACACACACTGGCATCGAAACAGTTTAAAGAAATGTAATGGCTATCTACAAAAAATTAGTTTTAATTTGCTGTATTCTCCCATTTTGAGTCTGCACACATAAAATTAAAATTTTCAAACATTTTATATTTAGCAATTGAAAAAAAGTACACTGTTTTCCTGCTATGTGGTCTTTATAAAGAATTTAATATTTCAAGTAAAAAAAAAAAGGGGGGGGAGTACTAAGATAACCGTGCTGTATCTTTTAACAGCATTTTTATATAGAACAATTTGAACTGGCATGCAAGCAACTTCTCTTGTTGTCACATACCTGTATTCAGAGAAAATTACACCCATTTTACAGAAAAATCCCAATACATATACTGCAATAAGCTTAAAGCAATGTTAAAAAGACCAGTGTGAATGGCACACAAAAACTGCTTCTTTATAAATTATTAACTGGAATTCTTGATCATAAAGTAGGCACAGGGAGATCCAGTCCTTAGGGCTTTGCTCTCTGGAAGAATACCTGGAAATAAAGTATTAGTACAATTAGTACTGGTTTCAGAAGATACCACCTGAAGAATGGCTCCAAGTCAGTAAGTGCTAGTCACTCTTTTATAAAATATAATAAAAATTCAGAACATTTCACATACTTCATAAATCCACACATGGTTCGAGAACTTTTTTCTGGACAATTTGATCAAGTCACAAGGTAACTTATGTTGACATTAGCTAGGAAACTAGTGAAGGCTATGGTATTAACTCTAATGCTATGAGAAATCAAGTGCTCAGAGGAAAACATGCTCTGGATACCTTTTGCTGATTGGCACACCGTCAAAGCTAATACTGTGAAACTAATTTAAAAAAATTTTTTTATAGTTTATTTATTTTTGAGACAGAGAGAGACAGAATATGAGTTGGGGAGGGTCAGAGAGAGAGGGAGACACAGAATCCGAAACAGGCTCCAGGCTCTGAGCTAGCGGTCAGCACAGAGCCGGATGTGGGGCTCGAACCCACGAAACACGAGATCACGACCTGAGCCGAAGTCGGACGTCAACCGACTGAGCCACCCAGGCGCCCCTGGACAACTAAATTCTGAGGAAGAAATAAACAAATCAAAGCTAAAGATAACAACTGTTATCACTTAAGGAATTTGTTTATTTGATTAAAAAATACTTGCAATTTACCATACTAACTTCCATATTTCATAGTTAAGTACATGTTAAGTGATCATTAAAAAGACTAAATAGGCACTAAACTCACTAAGGGTAAGGACTATAGTCATCATCGCATCCTTAGCATCTAGCAGATCAGGCATCAAATCTATTCTAGCAGTCAAATCTATTGACTAAGTGAAGAGAATGATTGCTATGTGAGCAAAATAGAGCCTTACAAAGAGGCCATGCTTGAGGTAAGCCCTCTCCCCCCCCCCAAAAATAGGTAGAATTCATAAAGAGGAGGGTTGCTAATAAGGCACAATTTCTGAAAAACAGCAAAAATAGCAAAGACCATTCCTGCAAGAGAAACCAGAGAGGTAGTCTGAGATCAGAATATGAAAACAAAAACAAAAACCCTGAATGTCAAACTAAGAAACATGAACTTGTTTTTTAGTCAACTCTATAGGTTTATGAAGAATGAGGGGAATAAATTTCAGAGGTCTATTCAGGGTTTTCATTTAAAAAAAATTGGGGGGGGGGCACCTGGCTGGCTCAGTTGGTTAAGTGGCTGACTTTGGCTCAGGTCATGATCTTGCAGTTCGTGGGTTCGAGCCCCATGTTGGGCTCTGTGCTGACAGCTCAGAGCCTGGAGCCTGTTTCGGATTCTGTGTCTCCCTCTTTCTCTGCCCTCTGCTCATGCACTCTCAAAAATAAATGTTAAAAAAAATTTGAAAAAAAATTTTTTTTAACATTTATTTTTGAGAGACAGAGAGAGACAGAGCATAAACAGGGGAGGGAGATACAGAATCTGAAGCAGGCTCCAGGCTCTGAGCTGTTTGTTAGCACAGAGCCTGACACGGGGCTTGAACTCACAAACTGCAAGACCATGACCCGAGCCAAAGTCATATGCTCAACCGACTAAACCATCCACGCATCCCTATTCAGGGTGTTCAAAGAGGCGGGGCTACGAGGGAAGGGAGATTAACGGGAGGTAACACAAACACGTACTAGAGAGGCAGCAGGGGAGACAAAGTGAGAGTGAGGAAAAGAGGATCTGCAAGATCCAAGAATCAATCACATCTAAAGATAGTAGGCACAAAAGAAGGAATCCAGACTTTTCCCAATGAGAAGAACATTGCTATCCCAGAGATACTGCCAGCACTGAAGAGATGTTGGGCTTGGGAGGGGACTTTTTATAAATGCAGCTGGATGAATTAGTATGTTTGGAGCAGAGACCTGGCACGCTGCACGTGCATCTGCTTACAAGATACCTATAATAAAGAGTTAGGTTTTTTTTTTAATCCTTTTCTCCAGTTTGATCAGTTACTTAGCAGAGATTACCTCCACAGGTACTTCGCTTTTACGGGGACATGGGAGTGGGGAGGGTTCCCAATGACAAACAGTAACTCCCAATATTCTTCTCACAGACTCTCGTCAGTTTAAGCTGACAGACTACTAGAGGGGAAAAAACCGCCAACAGGAGATGTTATAACCAACGTCCAAGGGTGACATACTTTCTTCCTCAACAAAGGCCTTGACTTAGGAATGTTATTGAATGTATCGGACAGAAGAACCTGGTAGCCAGCCATTTGTTCAGTCACTTGCTACCAACATATTTGGCACACTGTTTTGCCTGCCAATTTGTTGAATGAAGGTAATAAAAATAAAGAACACTTTTTCATCTGTTACCCTGGAATTTTATTTCCAGAGCATAAGCTCTTTATAGGCAAGAGAAGTCATATATATGGATATCTGCAGCAGTAAAGTCATGATGTAAAGTCACGATGTGGCACTGAATGACTATCTGGGTGACAATGAGATAGTCTGCCTTACGGATTTAAGCTGTCCATATGAATACTAAATAAACATTTGGTACTTCTTGCCAACTTGGAGAGATTTTTAAAAACTCACGAATTTTATAAACGTAAAAAGAGCCTCTGACAAGTCAGAGATTTTGTTCTGTTCGATCTACAATTCAGAAGTTTCAAAATAAGATACAACCAAGTAACTCCCACTTCTGTTTTTATATTTTTAGCTCCTTTCTTTCAATTCAGTAGGGTCACATTTTTTTTTTTTTTTAGTGTATTTATTTTGAGAGAGACAGAGAGAGAGAGACAGAGAGAGACCACGCGCGTGCACAGGAAGGACAGAGACAGAGGGAGACAGAGCATCCCAAGCAGGCTCCACACGGTCAGCGCAGAGCCCAATATGGGGCTTGAACTCGTGAAATGTGAGATCATGACCTGACCGAAATCAGGAGTTAGACACTTAACCATCTGAGCCGCCCAGGCGCCCCAGAGCACATGTTCTTAAACATTACTTGTCTCAAACCTGTAGCTCCTACCTAATTTCAACACACACTGTAAAAGGAAACTAGCATTTTCAGTGTGTTCAAGCATATACACAGTGTGCTTACCTCTCTTATGATCTTTCCTAAGAGCTTAGTTGAAAATTGACTTTATAGAAAACTCTGAAGTATTAACATCTAAAACTGCAAATTCTTAGAAGCTGGTTTTAGAGCAAAGAGATTCCCAAGTAAGTAATAACTGGTAAGATTACAGTATGACACAGTATCCTGTAATATGTACCCTCTCTCAGGTCTAAAATATTACCTAATTATATGAATATATGTAAGTTTTCCAAATACCTACCTTTAAGTAATTTTTGAAAACTTTAGCATCAGGCTGCTGAAGCGCTTGACAAAACTCCTGGTGGCCCAGCCGGGAGGGGATAGAGAGAGAGAGAGAGAGAGAGAGAGAGAGAGAGAGAGAGAGAGAGAGAGAATGAATGTTAACTGTATTAAATTCACTGTAAATCAAATCCACAGTTTTCTTTTTTAAACTGTGATTAAAAAAAACATTTAACTGACCATCTTACCACCATAATACATTAGCATTAACTATTTGCATACTGTTGAGCAACAGATCTCTGGAACTTTTCATCTTGCAAAATTGAAACTATACCCATTGGATATCAACTCTCCCTTTCCTTCCCTACCAAGCCCCTGGCCACCACCATTCTACTTCCTGTTTCTGAGAGTTGGCCTACTTTAGTTACTTCATATTAAGTGAAATTATGCAGTATTTATCTTTTCGTGACTGGCTTATTTCATTTACCGGAATGTCCTCAAGGTTCACTCAAGACTGGAGCATGTGACAGGATTTCCTTTCTTTGAGGCTGAATAATATTCAGTTGTATGTATGTACATTTTATTCATCTATTCATCTGTCAAAGGGCATTTAAGTTGCTTCCAAGCTACAATAGTCGTATAACAGTTCCTCACCAAAAAAGGTTCTATGGCATTTTCAAATGTAATACTTTTCAGTTAGACTGCTTTCCCTTTTGAGAACATGGTTCTCCTGGACAAGGTTGACTCATGCCTGAGAAGGGAGAGTGGGACAAAAACTGCATTGCTGTGGCTGTTCTCACCTAGTTAGAGCAGTAATTGAGCAGAGCTAAACCAAAAGAAAAAGAGTTAAGGCTCTCTAACAGAATTCTGCAAAAGGTTGTCACAAGACATATGGAAAAGAGAAAACGGGGGATGCTTATCTTCTACAATCAAATTATTAGACAGAAAGATAATTTTGCTTTACTTAATTTGGTATATTTCATTTTTGATGTACATTAAGGTCATTGCTTTCATTAAAACATTACTTTATATTTACATAACAAATTATAGCTAAGAAAATTCATTAATACCTCTAAAGTTTATGTTACAAAATAGAAGATTATAAATTCATTAAAAATTAGTTTTATGATTACTCTTATGTGAGATATATCCTATTTTTCATTCAAGTTTTTCAGTGCCTCTCATAAAATAGTATGATAAAAACTTTTTAAAAACACTGTGAAGAAACAATTCTTAGAATCCCTTCAAGAGATTCTAACACTAGTTGTAAAAAAAACTTTGATACCTCAATTAGATCTATGTGCTAGAGAAGTCAGGATAACTACATGCCAAGAAAATAACTGAATACCATTATGAAAATTACTTTTTAATATATAAAAATGTAAGATTGCATTCCAGATACTTCCTTCAAAACATAGTTTCAGATTTTAAAAATTCAGCATTTATAAGCTTGGCATATGTAAAAGGAACTGCTTAACACAAATCTTCAGAACAGGTTTGTGTGCTGGGGTGCCCTTTGGTAGTCTGGGGGAGCCCACTTGACTCCTTTTAGAATTTTTTTTTAAGCACTGTGTGTGTTTTTTTTAAATTCATTTTGAGTGGGGGTGAGGGGCAGAGAGAGCAAATCTCAAGCAGGCTCTGCACTGTCAGCATGGAGCCAATGTGGGGCTTGAACCCAGGAACCATGAGATCATGACCTGAGCTGAAATCAAGAATCCGACGCTTAACCAACTGAGCCATCCAGGTGCCCCTAGAATGTTTTTTAAAATATATTTGTAACACATGGGATTAGAAAGGAAACTAATTATAATGACTTCTGGTTATCAAAAATATTTTTGACATGTGGTGGAACAGTAAGAATTGCTGACTGAGACAACAAAGTCTAGTGGTAGATCTTAAGAACTTAAAATTTCACAATCTTGGAGTATACAAAGTATTTCGAGATTCCCTGGAACAATGAAAGTGACAGGAATACATCTGTGATTTCTACTGGGGACAAAGTCTTGGGCAATGAGAATGCTATTATGATCTGTCACCTACGCCATGGCAGGAAATTAAACTTTTGGCTAAAGGTTAGTGAAAATAAAAATACAGGGGCGCCTGGGTGGCTTAGTCGGTTAAGCGTCCGACTTTCGCTTAGGTCATGATCTCGCGGTTCGTGTGTTCGAGCCCCGCGTCGGGGTCTGTGCTGACTGCCAGCTCAGAGCCTGGAGCCTGTTTCAGAGTCTGTGACTCCCTCTCTCTCTGACCCTCCCCTGCTCATGCTGTCTCTCTCTCTCTCCCCCTCCTAGAAATAAATAAAAAATATTAAACAAAATTTAAAAAAATAATAAAAAGAAAATAAAAATACAATTTTTTCCCATTCGATTTCAGATACCCCTGAAGTTTAAACTCTTGCTATCCTGTATACAGTAACACATCAAGCTGAATGCAGTTTGACATTTTTGGATCAAAATTTTGAACTACACAGTCAGATGTAATTAAATGGAAAGGAATCTGCTGGGACAGCTCTTACCTGAATTATCTCTGGAGCTACTTGCAAGGAAGGCAGGTATTCTTGTTGAAGATACTGAACACATTCTGGGCCCTGAAAATTAAGATAATTAGAACTCAATTACTTTCTTCCTTGATATTAAAATAGTGCATAAAAATAAATTAGAACAACACACGTATACTTCAAGCATAATATGGCATTGTGATTTAGAATATATAGTCTGGAGCCAGATTACTTTGGTTTGAGATCTGACTCTGGCAAATTTCTGGTAACTTGAGCAGGTGACTTAAGTTCTCTGAGCCTCAGTTTCCCCATCTGAAAAATGGAAGTTACTGTGAGGAATGGATGAGTTAAGAAATATAAAGCTTTTGAACAGCGCTTAGTGGGGTGCCTGGGTGGCTCAAGTGTTCAACTCTTGATTTTAGCTCAGGTCATGATGCCAGGGTTGTGGGATCGAGCCCGGTGTTGGGCTCCACAATGAGTGTAGAACCTGCTTAAGATTCTCTCTGTCTCTTTCTCTCTCTCTCTCTCTCATTCCCCCCCTTTCTCTCCTCACTCCCTCTGTCCTCTCTCCTGCTTGTGCTTTTCTTTAAAAAAAAACAAAAACAAAAAAAAAAAACCCAAAACTGTAACAAATCTATGTGTAAGATGAAAACGAAAGGGCATGGAGTACAAAGCTCACCCGTTTGAGATGAATTGTTTTCAAAGTCACCGCACACTCAGACAGAGCCTATGGAAAACAGGTTGAGAATTTGAATACAATTTTTGGTTAGTGATCCCACTTGTCTCTTTATTTCCCTGGCCACTGCTCATTAACAACTACTTCCAAACAAGGCACAAAGGAAGGAAGGTACCATCATATGGAACAAGTGGGCTGGATAGAAAAAGGAAAAATTACAAAATTGTTGTTTTAATGCAGTAAATCAAATGATGAAATCTAACTTTTACTAGGTTTTGGGGAAATGGTTAACGGACACAGCTTGAAATTAAGTATTTTGAAAATGAGACCTAAGGAAACTATCATTTGAGCAAGAGAAAGTTACTTTTAATGGTTAGGAAAAACAACATTAAGCGCAAAGTTAGAATGAAAGCAGTAGAAAACTAATTAACTTTATCAAGCTTTAAAGAATGTTTATATAATGTACCCTTTCACTGTCCTTGAAAGAGTCTTGTTTGTTAAAGTTGAAGGAGCTGGATTATATATACTAAACTTTAGTATCACGATTCAGTAAGAATCCACAAAAGGTCCAGAAGAGATCATCAACCTTTTAAAAGTGACTCCTACTTTGAAATAAAAAAAAAAAGGGGAGGGGTGGGATGGGGGCAGTGAGACTAATACAGTCAACCTGGCATTAAGGAAACTGAGAGGGTACACGAGATGTACACAAGGTGAGCAAAGATTCCTAGGTGCTTACCAATACTGTTTGTGCATCTGCCAGGTCAAAGGTCTGTTTTAAAGGTGCCAGGAAACAGGCGGGGACAATGTGCTTATAAACAAAATCAGCAAATCCCACTGGTCCATCTTTACCTCCTGTCAAGAAAGGTCAAATGTTCATCTTGCATTAAAAGAAAGTCAACTAATTATCATGAGATTCGGAAAGTTAACTCCCAGCTCTTGTCCATGTTAGAGCTAGGGTTCCACTTCATCTCGAAGAGTCTTAGGAAACAGGTTGGGGAATGAAGTGTTTTTGTTTTTGTTTGCTTTAATCATCTTACCCCAGAGTTCTACCAACTTGGAGAGAATGATAAAACACGTTTTCTGTGCAATTGGATCTGGATATTCGACTGCTCCTTGGATAACAGTAACCAGTACCCGTTCTACATTCTCTGCACCTGAAGAGAAACAAAAACTTGAGTCTAATTTTAAAAAGACCTAGAAAGGCAACCTGAAGCTCTTACTTCGTATAGTAGAACAAGATAAAAGCACTTACAGAATTGGTAAGATCCCTCAATTTTTATTAGCTTGACTAAATTTTAAGCATAAAACATTGAAAAGTAATTATTCTCTTGTTTCTTGACCTCTGCATTTCTTATACAGCAAAATTCTCCATGTTGATCAATATAGTCCCATTTATTTTTAATTTGAAAATGGCTAACTGGCTAGTGAGACTCAATAGTCAGGTAAAGGCAGTCAAGTTGCCATGATGCTATTTATACTACAAAAGAACCAATTAAAGAACACTGCCCTAGGGGGTGTCTGGGTGGCTCAGTTGGTTAAGCATCTGACTCTTGGTTTCAGCTCAGGTCATGATCTCACCGTTTTGGGGGTTTGAGACCCGTGTCAGGGTCTGTGCTGACAGTGTGGAGTCTGAATTGGATTCTCTCCTCCCTCTCTCTGTCCTCTTCCCCCATGCTGTCTCTCAAATAAATAAACTTAAAGAAATAAAAAGAATAAAACCATAAATCTTAAAAAAGAGAAAAGAATACTGCCCTAAGAAAAAGGGAACTGAATACAAATTAATTTTAAGGTCCTCTACATGAAATTCATTTTCACCTTGATAATAATAATGAACTGTCAACCAGGAACCACCTTAGAAGTTTGGTATTTACTTCAACCAGCTCTTATACTGCCATGCAGCTGTGACAAGGCCTTGGGCAGACAATCTCAGCACCCCCACCTTGATTTGCTATGACTTCGCTCATTCCACTGCCTGTGACTGTTTGCAGGAAAGCAAAGTAACTCCTTCGTAACATTTGCTTCTCTAAAGCAGCAGACTGGTCATTTTCTTCTGCTGGTCGGAGCAACACTTCAAAAATTGCATGAAGTAGAGGCATGAACATTTGCTGTAAAAATGGAGATACCTGTATCTGAAGATAGAAAACAACTATTACTGCTTCAGTTATGAGTAAGATGATTAGTATGAAACTTATAAAAAACAGGTTTTACATAAAGCCTTTATCCAGAACTTCTATTTAATGTATTTACATAATTCCGTTAGCAAGTATCAATGTTAAGACAAAAAACTACATTAAACCTATGCATTACTGAAATCTTCAAAAATTGTTAATTCATTTCCCACAGCTCAAGATTCAGGTTAAAATGATAGGGACTCAGACGTATTTCATCATCAAATATCTCCATGGAATATATTCAAATTTAAATTCTCAAAAAATGAATTCTATTTTGCTAAATTTTCAGTGGAATTTATATGACTGAGCTTTCAAGGCTTTACATGGTTTTTGTCAAATTCCTTAACTTCTTTGTCTCAATTTCTTCATCTATAAAACACAGTCATCTCTGGGCCTATTAGGATTGAATGAATCAATGTACAAAAAAAAGGCTTAGAGCAGATTTTGAACACAGAAAGCACCATGTGTTAATCCTACTTGGGTACCCAAGTTACAATGCTTTTTATTCACCTCTAGACCCTTAGTACTCAACATTGTTTTTATTTGCTCTTCTAAAAGAGTAGACTAATAGTTTTCTTCTGCAAAGAGCAGAAAAAGTTTGTTTTTTATTAAAACATTTATTAAACATGTCGTATGTGTCAGGCAGTGTGCTAGACAGGGGGTGACAACAATACCTTTGGTCCATGTCCTAAAGTGACTTGTATTAAAAAACAACAACAAAAAAAAAACAAGCCAAGCGACAAATGCCAAAATGTGTCTAATTTGTAAATCAGGAGAATCTCTGAACTATGATGGTCTGCGGTACCTTAAATTTGGCTGTAATCTGGTTGATAAGAGGAATGAACTCCTGGAGGTCTTTTGCTTCACAATCTTTGAGCATGTGTTCCGAGGCAGATGGGATGAATGGAAGAACTTCTTCCTCTAAGCAAATAATCATGCGATGAAGGAAAGTCCGAACTCCACTTCTGAGAATATCCTTTTGTAAGGGGCAACTGAGAGCCGGCAAGAAGGTCTGTAAACAGTCCAGATAAACTTCGGAACAGCCACATTGTTTCACAGTCTGCTTGTTGCTGAAAGCTTTGCTGGTTCGACTACATAAGAAATATCAAGAACTAGTTTTAGCTTTATTCTTCAGAAGTTTTATGGAGTAATTAAAAATAATGCAAAATAAATTACACAACTGACAGAACTAAGAAGCCAATTAGTTTTCTTTTTTCTTTGAAGTTTATTTGAGAGAGAACAAGTGAGCAAATGGGAGGGGCAGAGAGAGAGGAAGAGAGAGAATACCAAGCAGGTTCTATGCTGTCAGCACAAGCCCAGTGTGGGGCTTGAACACACAAACTGCGAGATCATGACCTGAGAAGAAACCAAGAGCTGGACACTCAACCAACTGAGCCACCCAGGTGCCTCGCCAATTATTTAGTTTCTAGGTCACATTTGCTTCCATCTTCAGCTAATATAGTTATTTATATACAATCGCTTCTAGTTACCTTTACAGAATAAGCTCAGATTAAAGGAATGACAGGTCATTAATATAAACCTTCTGATGAGAATCTACCTAAACGTTTTACTGAAATCCTGATAAAGTATGCAGAAAAGGGGGGAAAATACAATTACTATGACTAGGCTGTATTAGACAATCTACAGATTACTGATTTATATTTAGAAAACAATCTTTAGAATCAAGTTATAATTCCTAACATTAGCCTTTACACTCAAGTATTCTATAGAGCAATTTCTCAGTGTAGCTCCCAATTAGCAATCACTCCAACTTTCATACTGTTACTGTCTGCCAATAAAATGTATGGGCAGAGAGGGGAAAAAAAAGGCAGCATTGGTCTTCAGGACACAATGCAAGAGCTTAACAGAAGCCTCAAGGCTTCATCGTTAAGTACCAAGACTGATCCCAGGGGTGCCTGAGTGGCTCAATTTGGTTTAAGTACCTAGAATGATCTGAACCATCTCGATATGTCATTGGTATATAAACTCTTCAGTTAAACCCCTAAATACACAATCATATAAACTCTTCAGTTAATCCCCCTAAATACACAATCAATTTATACCAAAGAAGTCAGACAAGATAAAGATCTAGATAGTTATCAAACTAAAAATACAGACTGTCATGTGACCTATTCCCTTCTTTAGCTAAACCTTCTAACTTACTGGATATAGAGAAGAAAAGTTCAGATAATTTTCTGGACAATCCAGTTTTCAAAACATGGGTATGTGTGCCCAATTATTTTGTATGTGTGCGTATGCACCCAATGCTAAAAGATCCAAGTAAATGGGTCTTCATGTATGTTCTGTGTGTTCACACTCACTTTACAATTTTAATTGCAATCACACTCACCTGGCAAATCCAACAGCATGGTTGAGACAGTCTGCTAGTGATGCCTGCCTTTCTTCATCTTGTGCCAGCATCAATTTTTCTAACAGAATTTTAAACTTCTCCATTAATGGGGTCAACAAATTTCTCATTAATGCTTGTTTCCGTTCAGCAGGATATTCACTATTAACAATCAGCACTCCAGCTGTCTCATAAATAAAGAGTTGATCATCGCTGCTCAACAAAGACTGGTAACCATTCTCCTAGAAAGAAATTTAATCCTATTGGTGATCATCATTGTTCAGTCCCTCTCATTTAAGTAGAATTAGTGTGATAGGGCCAGAAGATATCATCTGTCACATCAACTCATTACTAAAAAGTAGATCAAGTTCTTATAAAATACAAATTTCTCCCAGTACCACATAATGGAAAGAGAATGGAATTTGAGGCCAAAAGGTCATGGGTCTAATTCTATCCTTGATAAAACAGTAAATTGTCATATAGGTTAATTATTAGTGAGCCTTCTAACTTGTTCTCTTTTGAGAACAGTCTTATTTGTAAAACTGTTATGAGGCTAAAATTGAGATGTACAATGGTGTTCTGAATGTTAGTACAAAGGTCACACAGGTAAATATTTTGAAGGGTATTTAAGAATTGAGTAACAATAAAAACACACAATAAACACACACACACACACACAAACACACCAGTTGTTACTTTAGAATGTATGAAAATAAGACTGCATATAAAAGAAGTAGCTCCCCTTCAAGCACAAGTATATATCCCATACACTGGTCAATTCTTATTAATGACTTTTATTATTTTTTACATTTATGCATGGAGAAAGACCAAAAGGAGGGTGAAAATATCAGAGTGCCTTCTAGATCCAACACTAAAGCTCCCCGTTAAAAATTACATGGAGCACCTGGGTAGCTCAGTTGGTTGAGCATCCAACTTTGACTCAGATTGCGACCTCACAGTTTACGAGTCTGAGCCCTGCATCACGCTCACTGCTGTTAGTGCAGAGCTCGCTTTGGATCTTCTGTCCCCGTTACCTAATCTTCCTCCCTTCATGCTCTCTCTCTCAGAAATAAATACTTAAAATAATTAGTTAAAGGTACTTAAAAATGGGTACTCACGACCCTACTAAGCAAGCAACAGTCAGTAAAATCTGTTGATTTTTATACTGAATCTGAACGAAGACTTTTTATATACTAAAAAGGGATTATGGGTATAATTTAAGTCGTTTATATGAACAGCATAAAAAACATGAAAGATTTCTAGTATGTACAAGATAATATTGGTGAATATTGGACTTGCTGAATGCCTAAGTCTAAAAGGTCACTGTGAGCTGTCAAGGAAAACTGGCATTAATTAGGTGAAGTACTGGGGAGCCTGAGTGCCTCAGTTGGTTGGGCATCCGACTTTGGCTCAAGTCATGATCTCATGGTTCATGGGTTCGAGCCTCACACTGGGCTCTGTGCTGACAGTGAGCTCAGAGCTTGGAGCCTGTTGTGGATTCTGTGTTTTCCTCTCTCTCTCTCTGACCCTCCCCTGTTCGTGCTGTCTCTCTCTGACTCTCAAAAATAAATTTAAAAAATTAAAAAAATTAGGTGAGGAACTTTCACTTATAGGTTTTTGTAACATGTCAAAATAATTTAACCATATAATTCACTAGCAATCTTTCATTCAGTGAAATTATGTAATCACTGAACTCTAAATTCTGATATTCAATTAAAAGCACAAAAGTTACTATTTTATGTTTAACACTTCTCAAGTGGACATTTTAGTAGGAACTTTTATCAAAACGAAAAAAAATCAGTCAATGTCAGTATACAAAAACATTTAGAGGTCAAAATATACTTACAAAGTATTTCAATTTAAATCTTTCTCGTGAAATGAACACCAAAATATCAACCAGCATTTAGACATTCTTAGTCAAAGCCTTAAATCATCCCCCAAAAAAAGTCAATCTACTGGCAGCAGTCACTTAAAATGGCTAATATGATCATGTACTAAGTAGGAAATAATTTAGAAATTAAATTTTTCCTTTTCCATAAAATACTTCCATTTAGGAGAACAGACCATATCTCATTCTGCCAAATTTATCAATCAACTCCTGATTCTTTCTATCACTATTTTATTAATTCTAGTACTATGTTTTGTTTACTATCCCCAACAGAATTTTGGTAAACAGAATTAACTAACCCTTGCACACACCCTCCTCATCTGGGCTGCCCTGATCCTCCATTAAGAAAACTGCCTACATTAAAGGCTAAAGGCATGTGTGGCTTCAGTATTTGGAGAGAATCTGTAATTTGGAAACATAGATACTTACAGGTGGAGAAAGCTCTAATAAATCTTGTATCCTATTCAGAATATCCTCAATGAAAGGATTCATTTGTTTACTGAAAGAAGGCCAAAAAAAGGGTCACAATTATGTAAACAATAGTGCTCAAAATACCAAATCCCCCTTAATAAAGGGCAGAACTAAAAAAAAAAAAAGTTCAGTTCTAAGCTAGTCAGATGTAATCATTAAGACTAGCTATGATTTTTTAAAAATTACAACCTTGCAAGCCTAAGCATGAGTAGTTTTCATACCAAAAAAAAAAAAACCAATACAAAACAGACTAGGTTAGAAAATTTATTTTTAAGAAGAAGAAATATATTCTTTAGAATTTCAAAGAAGCCATACAGTTATAACAACAATAAAATTGTTGGTTAAATAAATAACTGATGCCGTTACTGGGATGCCTGGGTGGCTCAGTTGGTTAAGCTATCGACTTTGGCTCAGGTCATGATCTCAGTCTGCAGGTTTGAGCCCCATGTTGGGCTCTGTACTGACAACTCAGAACCTGGAGCCTGCTTTGGAATTCTGTCTCCCTCTCTCTCTTTCTCAATCCCCCTCCCTTGCTCATGCTCTGTCTCTCTCTCTCTCTCTCTCTCTCAAAAGTGAAAAACTTAAATAACTAAGGTCATTAGTGATGACAGCTGCCCTATGTAAGAGTATGCTTTGTTTGCAAAGTACCTGGGGCTAATGAATAGTAAGTGAAGTCATAATATTAATGATACCAAAAAAGAATATCTGATTAAAAAAAAAAAAAAAAAAAAGCCGGGGCATCTGGGTGGCTTAGTCGGTTGAGCATCCCACCCACTTCAGCTCATGTCATGATCTCATGGTTTGTGCATTCAAGCCCTGTGCTGGGATCTGTGTTGACAGCTCGGAGCCTGGAGCCTATTTTGGATTCTGTGTCTCCCTGTCTCTCTGCCCCCACCCCCCCGCCAAAATGAACATTAAAGAAAAAAAAGCCTTAGAACAAAAAGAACCAAATCTACCATAGGTTTTTAGAAAATAATTTATAGGTCTTATTTAATAATCTTAAAAACAAGAAGGACACACAACAGCATATATTTCGTACTTACTTTAGAGACTTGACAAATCTGGAAAACAGGTATGCAGCTCTGCTCCGCACTTTGGCACTAGAATGCCGCAGACCCCTATGGTCTAAGAAGGCCATCTAGGGAAACAGAGACACTTTTACTATTTCTGCACTTACTTATGGCTTTTATTGTTATTGTCACAATACAGGTTTGTTCCCATCAAATTTTATTTCTTAGCTCCCGGAAGGCAGGAACCCGGTATATTTAACAAATAATCCTTGAGGACAGCAATAGGCCCTGGCGGACTTTAGATGACTGATTAAGCCAGAAACTGTCCATTCTAAAGAAATAGAGGAAGGGTTGGTTTTAGTGTATTCAAGCGTTTCTGAGAACTTTTGGCTCTAGGAAAGTTATAAAAATAAAATACTGATTATTAGCTGAAATACATGGAACCCCCCCTCCCCAAGATATATACTTACTAGGACACATGGAATGTGTTGAGGTTCAACTGTGAAAAACTTTTCATATCTAACAACAGTTTCGAAGAACTCCAATGTCACAGATGTGTGCTGATAGGAACTAACTCCTGATGTTACCAACTGGAGCAGAAAAAAGTTAAGACATCTGTCCTTATTCATTGTAACATCAAAATGCCCCACTATTAACAGATGCTAATTTAATGAACTCCCATTAGCTTACAGTGAAAACAGAAAATTATGTTGAAAATAAATGATCTGTAGTATACTTACAGTTCGCATCATATCCTGCAAAGCACTAGCTTTTGAAACATCACCTGAGAAGTGAGCACCATGAGATACTGGAAGAGCTTCTGCCAACATATACAGCAGTCTTATTGCTACTTCAACTTCCATAAAACGTGTAGTCTGCCAGTTCCTACCATGAGAAAATATGCACATGACATCTGCACATGAACATGCTATACACCAACAAAGCCTCTTTAATTATTAAGAACTCAAGCAATGGCTAATTTTAGCAGTCAACAAAATTTACATCACAGAACTAGAAATGACTGATATGATACATTTCATAGTTTACGTTCCAAAAGCAGTGCTTCCCCACTAGAATCATCAGAAATGGAGAGGACAACAACATGGACGAAGCTGGAGAGTATAATGCTAAGTGAAATAAGCCGGTCAGAGAAAGCCCTATGATTTCACTCATATTTCAAATTTAAGAAACAAAACAGACAGTGGAAAAAGAAAGACAAAGCAAAAACACAAAAGAGAACTACAGAGTAACTGATGGTTACAGGGGCAGGGAGGATGGGTGAAATAGGTGAAGGGGATTAAGAGTACACTTATGGTGATGAGCAACAAGTAATGTGTAGAACTGAATCACTATAACGTACACCTGAAACAAATATAACGCTGTAGGTCATCTATGGTGGGATTAAAAAAATATAACTGGAGAGAAATGCATTGCTTCAGATATACACATAAGATCTTGATAAATAGCAAAGATTGATAGATTACGTGACTCATGCATTGTACACCATTATCACAGAGATAAGGAAAGAGGTAGACTACTAACAAAAACAGTCATACACTTACTGCAGTGTAGAACTAAAAACTCTGCGAACAGAAGCTAGCAGGAGCTCTGGTGAAACTTGAGCAAGCCTGTCCAACAACAACTTCAGTTGTTTTCTGTATTCTACAAACATGGCTTCATCTTCACCCTAAGACAGATTTTTAAATTCTCATTTTAAAACTTAAAAGACCTTAAAATTCATGGAAATGGTTCCTGCTCATATAGTTTTCTGCATTTGTAAATTTAATATGTACTTTTATTTTTTAACATTTATTTATATAGGAAACATTATTATCCTCCCCTGCTCACAACAAGTAGCCTTTCCTCCCCTGCTTACAAGTATTTCTGAACACAGCCCTAGCCCTCAAAAGCCTAGAGTCTGAATATATAAACAGTATATGGAGGAGGTTAAGGACAAGAACCTAGAGACAGAATGGGGTCACATTGGGCTTCATGAGAGCTTCACCACCTTATTCATACTCCTTGTATCTTGTAATATTCTATAAATAAAGATATTGTATGTAACAGGCTTTGTAGTTCTTAAGTCCGCAATTTGTAGGTTATCATCACCATAACCTTTTTATAGTCCAAAGTATTTGAATGTCTCAGGTGGGGAATTGAACACTTAGCACACTGCAAACTAGCATAAACCATGCTTGAGTTGATAGAAAGCACCTGACGACCCTTGTGTGTAAAATGACTCACTGGCAAGCCTGGACAAGACCTGTAGCTAGGATAAGTCTAGAGAGTTAAGTGCCTCTTTCCCACTTGCCTACACTTATGATCTGAGGTCCACTGACAAGGCCTCAACTCATCACTTCTATTAAATGCAAAGTGAGATATGATCACCAATGATACTGTCAATATTTTATAAAGTTCATTGCTACAAAGTGTTTTAAAAAGGGACAAAATACCAAAAAGGCATTTGTTGAAGGTATTATGAAGGATTATGAGGCTTCTATTAATTTCACCTAAGGTTGAGGTCAATATAAACAAGACTGTTAAAATACTTCTTTTATTTAAAGAACTCTGAAATAAGCAAAACTGAAAATGTTAATTTGAGGTAAGTAAATAATAAATTAAAACTGATTTTTTCCCAATGCAAAATTCTTACCTCATTTTCAAAGTTATATTCTTCATCGTAAGTCAGTTTTTTCATAACGGCCAACATGATTGCCTAAAATTAAGAACAAAATATCATTTGTCAGTTTCTTTTAATTTGATATACTTTCAAGTTAAACTGTATTTCAAGACAACTGCAGTCACAAATTCTGGTATCAGTTTATAAGAAGCAAAAATAAGTCAATTACCTCTACATTAGCTTTTTGCTGCTCCGAAAGCACTGTAAGCTGTTAAAAAGGAAGCAATAATTCATTAAGTTTCCTAAAGTTGTACTTATCAAAATATTTTTCTCATCAATTAAGACCTTTTAAAACATGCACACAACTTCTGTGGAAGGCAGTTTGGTAGTATCTTTCTAAAAATGTACATAAGATCTAGCAATTCCATTTCTAGTAAATAACTTGAAATGCAGATGAATTTCAACTTTAAGGATATTTATAATGTATTCAGCAAAGAAGTTTATAGGATAGAAAAGTATGGTCTTTACATGCTGTGAAACAAGGGAAAAAAAAATGCTAGAAACCCATTAAGAGACACACTGTGGAATTATCAGTAGTCATTTTAACTTTCTTCACTTCCTTTCCGTTACCTAAATGATCTTACGGTATGTATGCAGACATGTTACAATTCTTTTTCTTTTTTTTTTTTTTTACAAAGAGTTTATTGTCAAATTAGTTTCAGACATATTACATTTCTAACAATGCAGAAGCTAAACTCAGTTTGGAAAAAAATCATTTTAAGCTGGACTTAAATGGATTTTCAACTAATCAAATGTAAATAAAATAGCAATGTTTTTCCTATCTAATGACAAAATGAGAAGTCATTAATTTGTTCTTAATAAATCTACCCTGCTGTGTGATTTTAAAAAATATTTATTTTATTTATTTTGAGTGATAGAGAGAAAAAGAGAGGCAGAGAAAGAATACCAAGCAGGTTCTGCATTGTTAGAGCAGAGATGTGCGGTTTGATCTCAGGAACCGTGAAATCATGTCCAACTGATATAAAGAGTTGTATGCTTAATCACTGACCCACTACACACCCCAGGGCATATAGGCTTTTAAAAATTATTAACTTCTTGGGAAGCCTGGGTGGCTCAGCTGGTTAAGCGTTTGACTCTTGATTTCAGCTCAGGTCATGATCTCATGGTTCGGTTTGTGAGTTCTAGCCCCTTGACAGTGTGGAGACTGCTTGGGATTCTCTCTCTCTCCCTCTGTTTCTACCCCTGCCCTGCTCATGCTCTCTCAAAATAAACAAATTAAAAAAATCTTCAAAACATAAAATCAGTAACTTTGGAGCACCTGGGTGGCTCAGCAGATTGGGTGTCTGGACTCTTGATTTCAGCTCAGGTCATAATCTCATTTGTGGGATCGAGCCCCATGTCTTGGGCTCTGCGCTGACAGCATGGAGCCTGCTTAGGATTCTCTCCCTCTCTCTACCCTCTCTTACTTTCTATCAAAAACAAATAGGGGCGCCTGAGTGGCTGTCAGTTAAGCGTCCAACTTCCACTCTGGTCATGATTTCACGGTTTGTGAGTTTGAGTCCTGCATCGGGCCCTGTGCTGACAGCTCAGAGTCTGGAGCCTGCTTCAGATTCTGTGTCTCCTCCTCTCTCTCTGCCCCTTGTTGCACCTGTGCACTCACTCTCTCTCAAAAATAAACATTAAAAGAAACAAACAAAAATAAATAAATGGCTACGACCCTTAATATGGAGACTATTAACTATCTACATTTTAAGTCCTTATGGAAACAACTCTGTAAGGAGAAATTTTTAATTGTAAAAAATTATTTATAAGAAATAATGTATATGTAGTTAAATTAATGAATGATGTTTAACAAAATTTCTACTACGTTTAAAACCAAACACAGGGGCACCTGGGTGGCTCAGTCAGGTTAAGTGTCCAACTCGTTGCTCAGCTCAGGTCTTGATCTCAGGTTCATGAGTTCAAGCCCCGAGTTGGGCTCCATGCTTAGCATGGAGCCTACTTAAAAACAAACACACACAGATTCAAAAATGAAAAAACAACGTAAACCTACAGCTAACTTGGGAGCTTGTTAAAGTCTAGCGAATCTTAGATTCCAGCCATTCTCATTTTCCGGCTAAATAGTTGGGGGAAAAAAAGATGGAAATACTAACAGTAAATGTAGCTAGCTAGTAGAATTACGGGTATTTTCTTCTTTTCATTTTTCCTGTATTTTCCCATTCTCTGTGACTCTTCTATATTATCTACTGGACAAAAAGATTAAAACAAGGACTTACCTGTTTCAAAATATGAAGGTAATCATAACAAAATCCAATAATGTTAGAAGAGATGTCATCATCCTCATGAATTAGTAGCTGCAGCATCAGCGCCACTTTTGTTTCAATAGCTTGTAGTGCCTCCTGAGCATTCTTGATATCCCCATTCTTAATTAATTTGGTCCAACTAACTATCAAGGACTGTCCCATTCCATTTACCAGTTTAGAAAATCTGGCCAGGAAGTCAACATCTTCTTCCTACAAACAATAAAAGGAGACCTCAACTTAAAACTCCCCACCTAAGAGTAAGAAGAAAAACTCTAAACTTTAGCATGAATCAAGTGCCCAACTATTCAATTTTATTTTTTTATTTTTACTTTTTTAAATAGTTTATTGTCAAGTTGGTTTCCATATAACACCCAGTGCTCATCCTAACAAATGCATTCCTCTGTGCCCATCACCCCCCTTCCCCGCTCTCCAACCCCCATCAGACCTCAGTTTGTTCTCAGCATTCAGTCTCTCATGGTTTGTCTCCCTCCTTCTCCCCGACTATTTTTCCCCTTCTTCTCCCCCATGGTCCTCCGTTAAGTTCCTCCTAATCCACCTATATGTGCAAACATATGATATTTGTCCTTCTCTGCCTGACTTATTTTGCTCAGCATAACACCCTCAAGGTCCATCCACGTTGCTACACATGGCCAGATTTCATTGTTTCTCATTGCCAGTAGCATTCCATGGTATAGATAAACCACATCTTCTTGATCTATTCGTCCGTTGATGGACACTTAGGCTCTTTCCACTACAACTCTATTTTAAACTAACAGAAATTTAACTGTTCTACTACCTTGACTGGAAAAATCATTAGAATTTGAATTCTTCTACTCTTATCTACTTGTACTCTTTCAAGCAATTCTCTTTAATGGTTATATGCCTATAGATATTGACAACTTTATAAAAGCTTAAAAAAAGAGATCTGTGGTTTCAAAACCTTCTTCTATCTAAACTGCTTTAGTAAATATGCTGTAATAGTCAATGTCATACTACAGTATAACAATTTATAACAGTCCTTTCTCAAACCATTTAATTTGAGCCTTAACTATGCTGCAAAGAGATAGAACTGCCATTACAACCACCTGCCGAACGTCATACCAGTGTTAGAGTCAGAACTTAAACTTCAGATTACTTTCAGTAATTATCCTGATGATGTTCACCTATAGAGATTTTATACCTTCATCATTTTAGGTCTTTTACCACAGACTAAATAACACATTTATTAGCAATGTAAGAAAACACTACTATTCTTCTGTCAGCAAGGATGACACTAGAACTGTACTACTAACATATCAGCAATTCAAAGATTTCTTAGTAATTTTTTATACTGCCACAAGCAAAATAGAAAACTTCATAGGGCGCCTGGGTGGCTTAGTCAGTTGATCTCTCAGTTGAGTCAGTCCAGTTTTGGCTCAGGTCATGATCTCGCAGTTTGTGAGTTTGAGCCCCACACTGGGCTCTCTGCTGTCAGCACAGAGCCTGCTTTGTATCCTCTGTTTCCCTCTCTCTGCCCCTCCCCGACTGGCAATCTCTCAAAAATAAAAATAAAACATAAAAAATTCTTAGGAGCGCCTGGGTGGCTCAGTCGCTTAAGCATCTGACTTCAGCTCAGGTCATGAACTCGCAGTTCTTGCAGTTTGTGAGTTTGAGCCCCAGTTTGAGCCCCACGTTGGGCGTGGTGACAGCTCAGAGCCTGAAGCCTGCTTCAGATTCTGTGTCTCCTTGCTCTTACCCTCCCCTATTCATGCTATGTCTCTCTCAAAAATAAACAAACATTAAAAAAAAATTTTTTTTAATCTTAGAAAAACCAAACTAACAAAACCCATCCATATACTGTTCCTAAATTACTTACTTGCCACACTCAGAGCCCTCAATCTGTTGGGGCTCCAACATAGCTCAAATGAAACAATTTAAAAGTATGGCAACAATGTAACATGTGACAACCCGGTATAGTTTTGGTCAAAGCCCACTGCCATGTATATAGTAAAATTCCTTGCTATTTAAAGGACAGACCAATGGTATCAGAATCAACTGGAAGTTTGTTAAAACTGCACAACTGCAGGTACCACCCCAGATCTTCGACTTTAAGAACTGGTATAATCTACTGTCCAAGGCAAATGCTACAGCTAACATGGTTTTCTGGATACAGTGTTTCCTTATTTATAATCTCAGGGAATGTTTACAACATTGGAGGAAAAAAAAGGAAAAAAGAAAGCATATTTAAATTAATTCCTGTCCCAGCCAGCTCGGAGCCTGGGGCCTGCTTCAGATTCTGTATCTCCCTCTCTCTCTGACCCTCCTCTGCTCACACACACTCTCTCTCTCAGAAATAATTAAATTAGTTCCTGTCCTACTTTGTTCTAACAATTTGCAAATTTTTTTTTCCTTTCCAATTGCTTTATTTGCCCTTTCCCCTCCCTCCCAACAATTTGCAAAGCTTAATACATAAATTTACTGACCTGGTCAATGCTGAAAAACCCAGCAGACTGTAATACTTGACACAAAGATTCTACTAGTTTCATTTTATCAACAGGATCCATTCCTTTATTTACAATTTCAAATAAACAGTCACATGCTTCTTCCCGTAGAACTTCTATTGACATATGACCTAGCAGCATATTTATAAACCTGGCAACAGGAGAATAACATTGTTACAACATTTCCAAACTCATGAGTTTTACATACTGTATTTCGTAGGTTTAAATCTTGATAATATAGGTATACTTACCTATCATTGGCTATAAGGGATAAGTCTATCCAAGAGACATAAGCCCCAACTACTTCAAGGCACTGACATGTCACTTCTGAATTAGTATACTGATAATTTTGTAAGATTTGGTACCATGATTCCACTAAGTTTGGAATGCACTGCTCCCTCATGGTATCTTTTATCAGAGTATTCCTACGAGCCTCCTAAACAAAACAAAACAAAACAAAACATCTTATGCACAGAGTAAATTACTGCACAAAATAATTTTTGACATTTGAATAAACACACTAATTTCCTAATTACCAAACTTCCAGACTTGTTAACACATTCCCTGACACTGTTTCCTATTTCTCAACTCTAAAATCATATCCTGTGATTCTTTTAATTTCCTTTTTCTGTTGCAGTCCACAGTACCAGATTTCTTATTAAACACAAACTATAGGAGTGCCAGGGTAGCTCAGTCAGTTGTCTACTTTGGCTCAGGTCATAATCTCACGGTTTGTGAGTTCAAGCCCTGCACTGGGCTCTGTGTGGATAGCTCAGAGCCTGGAGCCTGCTTCAGATTCTGTGACTCCCTCTCTGCCCCTCCCTGCTCATGCTGTCTCTCTCTCTCTCTCTCTCAAAAACAAACGTTAAAAATTTTTTTAAATAAAACCCCCCACAAACTATAAATAAACATTACTTAGAAAACCAAAGCATGTGCTAAAGGGTACTTCTTAATATACAAACATGATTATTTAACCTACTTAAGAGAGTGGAAATTTGTTTTAATTAAAAGAAAAATCTTTTTATTTGAGTACAGTTGACTTATGTTACATTAGTTTCAGGTATACAACATAGTGAGAACCAACATCTTTATACATTCTGCAAGAATGGTAGTAATTTAAAATGCATAATAACCTTTAGTTTTAAGTATGTCTGACATTATATAATGACCTTAAAATATTATACACATTTGAATCAAGCAATTTCTTTTTTTTTTTTTTTTTATGTTTTATTTATTTCTAGGAGAGAGAGAGAGAGACAGCATGAGCAGGGGAGGGTCAGAGAGAGAGGGAGTCACAGACNATTTGGTATTTGATAAATAAATGAATGAATAATAAAAAGTATCTCTAAATTTCCACTATTATAAGTAATGCTACAAGGAACATCCTTTTTCATAAATGCTAGTGCATTTATACAGTTTTTCTTATATTTATTATTGAGAAACAGAGACAGAGCACGAGTGGGGGAGGGGAGGAGAGAAGGGAGACACAGAATCGGAAGCAGGCTCCAGGCTCTGAGCTGGCAGTCAGCACAGAGCCCGACGTGGGGCTCGAACCCACGAACCGCGAGATCATGACCTAAGCGAAAGTCGGATGCTTAACCGACTAAGCCACCCAGGCGCCCCAAGCAATTTCTTTTTTTAATGTGTATTTATTTTTGAGATAGAGAGAAGGGGAGGGGCAGAAAGAGAGAGGGAGGAGGAGGATTTGGTGTGGGGCTCACACTCACAAACTGTGAGATCATGACCTTAGCTGAAGTCAGACACTTAACTGACTGATCCACCCAGATACTCCTTAATCAAGCAATTTCTATTATATACTTTAAGAATAAGGTGAAGGGCGCCTGGGTGGCTTAGCTGGTTAAGTGTCCGACATTGGCTCAAGTCGTGATCTCACAGTTCATGGGTTCAAGGCCCATGTTGGGCTCTGTGCTGAGAGCTCAGAGCCTGGAGACTGCTTTGGATGCTGTGTCTCCCTCTCTATCAAAAAGAAACACACACACACACACACACACACACACACACACACACGAATAAAGAGAAAGGGGGGTGCCTCGGTGGCTCAGTTAAACATCTTACTCTTGATTTTGGCTCAGGTCATGATGTTACGATTTGTGAGATCAAGACCTGTGTCAGGCTCTACACTGGCATCACAGAGCCTGCCTGGGATTCTCTCTCTCCTTCCCTCTCTTCCCTTCCCTGCCCATGTGCTCTCTCTCACTCTCTCTCAAAATAAACAAACATTTAAAAAGTGAAAAAAAAGAATAAAGAGAAAGTAAAATCAGATAATGAAGAAATAGAGACTAAAGTGAAGGGCTACATTACTGAGAATACAGAAGAAAGGACACAGATTGATAAGCAATGATACCTCCTCACTAAATATATAGCAGGGGTAAATATAGACCACATTGCTCCAGAAATTCATAAGAGAACCAATTTGTGTAGTTCATTGGAAAAAGCACTTGCCTCATAACAAAAAAAAAAAAAAAAAAAAAAAACCAAACAAACACCAACTCTCTAAAGTAATACTCTAATTTCAACATACACTTGGGGGAAAAGAAAGCTAGTTCAAATTCCTTTGTAGAACAAAATTAAAATTTGGGTGAATTTATAATTATGAAAATCTGGGGATGCCTGGCTGGCTAAGGAAGTATGCAACTCTTGATCTTGGGGTTGTGTTTGAGCCCCATGTTGAATATAGGGATTGCTAAATAAAGAAATAAATAAACTTAAAAAAAAGAAAAAGAAGAAGAAAAGAAAATGTGTCTCTGGGGATGCCTGGGTGGCTCGGTTGGTTAAGCATTCGACTTCAGCTCAGGTCATGATCCCATAGTACGTAGGTTTAAGTCCCATGTTGGGCTCTGTGCTGAAAGCTCAGGGCCTGGAGCTTGCTTCAAATTCTGTTGTCTTCCTCTCTCTCTGCCCCTCCCCTGCTCACGCTGTGTCTCAAAAATAAACATTTAAAAAAAAGAGAAAATGTGTCTGTTAAAAAAAGAGACCTCCCACTCTTTTTATTAAGTGCCCATCACCTAAAAAATCTACATTAAAAACAAACAATTATGCACACTTGGGTGGCTCAGTTGATTGAGCATGGAACTCTTGATTTCAGCTCAGGTCATGATCTCATGGTCTTGGGACTGAGCCCTGCGTTGGGCTCAGCACGGAGCCTGCATGGGATTCTTTCTCTGTCCCTTTCAGTCTGCCCTCTTCCACTCACAAACCCACATGCTCTCTCTCAAAATGGATAAATAAACTAAAACAACAACAACAAACAATTAATGGAAAGTTACTTGCCTCTGATGTATGCACCACGTCACGATCCACCAACTCTGAATCAATTGCCATGAGAATTCGGAGATACAGATCTACGCCCCTTGGATTTAGGTCCACTACTGAGAGAATGTCAAAAAAAAACTTGGGCCATCTAGTGAGATATTCTGTAACAAAAAGCAAGGCGAAGACTTGGGCTGCTTTATTTCGTATAAAGGTCTTCTCTGGTTGGGGATTCAGCATCTGACAAACAGAGAAATTGTCCATGAAATTAAATGTAAATGGGAAACTCTCAAACATACTGTTTTCCTATTTATCATCGATAGGCAAAAGTTCACCAAACCTCAACACCGTCTAGATTAGCTGTGCAACAAATATGCTTGAAAATTACCAAAGTATTTAAGTGATTACCCAGGTGGAAAACAATCAAAGACGCTATGGATGCCTCTCTTTCTCACACTTTTAGAGAAAAGTTTTATTACTTTTTGCTTTTACCAATTGCTTTTCTTCTAGCTGTTTGCTCTTTAAGGAAAATAAAAACTCTAGCTGCATAACTGCTTTGTATGTTAAGATTAGTTAAAATTGACAAAAAAAGAACACAACATGAACAAAGAACTCTAATGGCCCTGTTGTAGATGGCTCTTTGTGAAGAGAGTGTCCAGGAGGGCTCACCTTTAGGAGGAAACAAAATATCTGTTTCTCTCAAGTAGTTAAACAACAAACCATATTAAAACCAAGATTTCAACAATGTGTCATGGAAAGCCGGACAGTTTCAGTTATTGATATAATTTTAAATTATTGCTAGGTTTTCTTTATACTTATGATCTTTGAAATCAGCACTTTCTAAAAGACTATGGGATCGAATGGAGGATACATGTTCAATATTTTTGAGGTAAAGTTCTAAACTCTTGCAAAACTAAAAATTTAACTATCTGGCAATTCAAGGTACTGAATAAAATTACTATTTTACCTGAGCTTGAAGCCAAGATATGAGCGTCTCCCTAATTAGTTGTTGTTGAACAGTAGTTAGTTCTGAATATCTGTCCAAAACAGAGAAGAAAAATAATAACGCCTATATTTGGTGCCTATGGTTTAAAAAGCAATAGCCTCATATATTTGAAAGGGAAAATTTATGTAACACTTAATTACTTAAAATTTCCTAAAATAAATTGATAATGCTGCTCATCATAGCTTTCAAGAAAAGACGGGGTGGGCCTGGTAGGGCGTATATTCATCACTGATCTTAGTTTAAGGTTCAGCTCATGTTAAAACAAAATGGCAGCTGTGGAATTTCTCATGTGGAAATGGAAATATGGCTATGTTTTAAAGTCTGTGGCTTACAAAATAAATCAATAGGCAAACTAAGGGTCCTCTGAGCAGTGATTTACTGTTTTCTGCTTAATTATGGCAGCTTTCTGAATACAAGTGGCCACACTGCCACTAACCTCTAAGAGAGTTATCATGTAGAAAACAGGTTTGGTGGCGCTAGATCTTCTGATTTTTCCAGAGAAGCTTGAAATCTGATTTGTTCTGTGCAACGTCTAGATTTTTAATTATAACCAATTAAGTCAGTATTTTTAAAACACTTTGGGATAAGTCAAAACACATCTATAAACTGGATGTGACTTGTACACTCTCAATTTACAGCTTACGATTTTCCCCGAAAAAAACTAATTTAAAAATTTTCAGTCAAAACGGTGAGGAAAGCCTTACTTGTATTTAACTTGATGTTCTAGTACTTGAAAGCAGAAAAATTTTATGTGATCATCACTGAAAAAGAAAAAAGGAAAATCAGATTAGTAGAACAAAATTTAGAGAAAACAAATCTAAAGTAAAGTACTAGTGAAACAGGTGAAAAGTTTCTCAAAGGAGGCCTTTGGCTTACTTTTTACTTCTTGATCTCAATCATTACACTTATATCTTTTTGTTTAGAACTTAAAATATTATACAATGCTGAATATTTCCATTAAATCTGATAAGCAAAATAATGAAAAAATTAAGATGCACCTTAAGTATACTGCTTTGCAAACAGAAGGCATTCCCCCTAAATTCTAGATGTTTGGATCCCTGTAACAACTCCTACATTTTATAATAGAAGGCTAGAGGTAGAATGACAAATGGTCAAATAGCCAGAGATTGAGTCAGAGACAGTAATTGAAATCATACTTAAAATTCAAGCCTAGACAGCTAGAGAGCCAAATCCAAAATGAGCAGGGTCACTCAGACTGGTAATTCAGCCTCAAAATTCAGACAAAAAAACAAGTTACAAATATACTGCCCTTATAAGAAGGGAGGAAATATCAGTATCTATCAATTTTCTACTCTCAAGTGTCTCTCTAGGGGTAATGCAGAGTTGCAGTGAACCAGCTACAATCTCTGACTAAATCCCTTTAGAGAACAACAGGGGTTCCTAGGTGGCTCAGTCGATTAAGTGTCCAACTCTTGGATTTCAGCTCAGGTCAAATGATCTTGCAGCTCGTGGGTTGGAGGCTCCTGTCCAGCTCTGCGCTAGCAGTGTGGAGCCTGCTTAGGATTCTCTCTCTCCCTCTCTCTGCCCTGATCCTGCTCTCTCTTTCTCTCAAAATAAATAAACAAAACAAAACAAAAAATCTCAACAATAACAACAATCTGTTCATCCAGTGTAGTTTGTCTGGGCCAGGCTGAGTCAGGGAACAATTTTTCATATATAAAGCTAACTGGTCAATACAAGAATAGACAATATCTTAATTTGGACTACATGAATTAACTAAAAATAATTTCACATACAAAAAGTTGAAAGTCTTTAAAAGTTTTGTTCGTTAGGTTTAATTAGCATCTCTTCAGAGAACTTAAGGCTTCTATTCTTACCATGGATGACATTGAAGCTTTAACTGAACTCTACAAGACTTAGATTTTCCAATGAAAAATATACTACAGAAATCCTTTTAAAAGCCAGATCTTATATATGCTCAGGCATATAGTAGATGTTCTCAAAATTAATTCTAAGGTGGAGCACTTGGTTCCAACCGTAAAAGTTGGTAACTCAGAGCACAACATGGTGGGTATGCCAGCTGGAAGCCATCAAGAACACCCAGGAGTATCAATTTCCACCAATGAAATTGGTTGTTTGCTTATCCTAAGTCAGCTGTGTTTCCCTAAGCCTTACTAAGTCAATTGTACCTCTTTTCTAATTAAGTAACTTAATTAACCATTATACAAACTAGCGAAATGAGTATGGAAGTTCCCATTTTTAAAAAAAAAAATTAAGTTAAATGCTTTAAAAAGACTTCATAGAAAGTGACACCGCAGAAAGGAGAAACCTTAGAACACTAATTCAAAGTGATACATTCACCCCTATGTTTAAAGCAGCACTATTTACAATAGCCAAGATATGGAAGCAGCCCCAGTGTCCACTGACAGATGAATGGACAAAGAGGTGGTATATATACACAATGGAATATTATTCAGCCATAAAAAAGAAATCTTGTCATTTGTAACAACATGGATGGAGCTAGTGTGTATAATGCTAAGTGAAATAAGTCAGTTACAGAAAGACAAATACTCTTATGATTTCACTTACATGTGGGATTTAAGAAACAAACAAATGAGCAAAGGGAAAAAAATAAAAGATAGATGAATCAAGAAACAGACTCAATTACAGAGAACAAATTGATGATCACCAGAGGGGAGGTGGGTAAGGGAGTGGGTGAAATAGGTGATGGGGATTAAGGGGTGCACTTGCCATGATGAGCACAGGCTGACATAGGGAAGTGCTGAAGCACTATATTGTACATGTGGAACTAATATAGCACTGTATGTTAACTAACTGGAGTTAAAATAAAAATTTCAAATAAAGAGGCCTCTGGGTGGCTGAGCTGGTTAAGTGTCTAACTTCAGTTCGGGTCGCAATCTCATGGTTTCTAAGTTTGGGCCCCACGTTGGGCTCTGCACTGATAGCTAGAAGTCTGCTTCAAGTCCTCTGCCTCCCTCTCTCTGCTCCTCCCCTGCTCATGCTCTTGCCTTCTCTCAAAAATAAACAAACATTAAAAAAAATTTTGTTTTAATTTTTTTAAATAATTTTTTTTTCCTTTTTAAGTTTTTAAATTTTATTTTAGAGAGAGTGTGCCAAGCCAGGGAGAGGAACAGATGGGGGTGGCAGGGAGAGAATCGTAAGCAGGCTCCACACTCAGCACAGAGCCCAGTGCAGGACTCAATCCCCCAACCCTGGGATCACGACCTGAGCTGAAATCATGAATCAGATACTCAGCTGACTGAGCCACCCAGGTGTCCCTAAAATAAAAATTTTAAAAAGGGGGCACCTGGCTGGCTCAGTTGGTTGAATGACTGACACTGGCTCAGGTCATGATCCCATGGTTTGTGAATTTGAGCCCCAGGTCAGGCTTTGTGCTGACGATGCAGAGCCTGCTTGTGATTCTTTCTCCCCCATTTATGCTGTCTCTCTCTAAGTGAATAAATAAACAAACAAAAAATTAAAAACCTTATAAATGGAAAAATCCTTCTGCATATTTAATGTGGGCTAGATAACCAGGAGACTTGGAGAGGTGGGGGCAAAGAATAAGTCTAGGAATTGGCACTCCTGTTCTTCAATCCACTAGAGGTCCAAAGTGGAAACTGTAGAGGATGGATTATAGATCTAATCAACGTAAGAATGATGTGGTGAGTGCTAGTGGCATATAAAGGAAAGATTGTGGTCCAATATAAAGAAACTGGTAATTGAATGTTTATATACTCTAAATTTTTTAATATACTTTAAATTAAATTAAAATAAAAGCTTAAGATACGCACAGTTTATGACTACCTCCTTTGCCAACTTTTTAGAAAACCATCCTTAAGAAGTTCTCACTGCACTGTATTCCTGCTGGGATCTGCCATCAGGTAGACAGCATAAGGCAAAGGGCAGATTTACTGAAAAGTCAATCCTGGAATGGCCAAATTATTAGTTTACTATTTTTCTCATTTCTACACTGAATGGTTTTCCAAAAACACAACCCATAAAATGTTTTTATGAAAATATTTTCCAAATACAGGTAAATTTAAGAGTTCTATCAGGTTCACAGAAGTTTAAATTCTTCTCAGTCATGCAAATTTTGTTTTAATTACCTGTATGTCCTTTGGGCCAGAGCTTCAGCACAAACTTGCCAGGCATCTGGGGAAATCTTTAACTGCTCAAAATAGGCCAGGGCCTGTAAGATTGCAAAGTTGAAAATGCATTTGGAATGGTCAGTCTCAGTGCCCTACTGATACTAAAATATTCTGAGTGGCAAACGAAAAAAAAAAATCAGTCACACTAAAAAAAAAAAAAATAGCTAAAACACTGAATCTGGCTTCTGAATATGTGCAACTTAGTGATCATTCCTAGAAAAAAGGCTAAGTAAAAAGCAATTCTATCAGTCAGATACTCTTGTTTCCTTACAGCAAAGACCACAACACAAAAATGCCCTGCAGACTTCCGTGAGTAAAGGAACATTAAGAGAAAAAATCACAAGTGCTTTGTCAAGTGCTATGCTCCTGGGGAATATGCAATTATAAAATGGTATATAAAGGGCATTTTTCCTATTTAATAGCAAATATACTATTAAAGAGGTGATTACAAAATTAGAGTCCAATTACATGATATGAATTTTGGAAAAGTACCAACAACTGAAAAGCTTTAGGAAATGTTTCTCATTTCTCTGCTTGTGAATTCAGGGCTTTGTTTAAGACTAAGTATAGTCAAGAATGGATGTAGCACCAAGTCCATGCGCTCTTTACTAGACTGCTGGGAAAATGGGAATGACTTCTGCCACTGTCCAATTAGCATGTCGCAACTGGCATCAATGACAGATGCAGACGGCACGTAGGACAATGGACAAACAGTAATCCTAACAGGCTGTAAAGGATCTCAAACAGCCAAGAAAGTTACACAAAAACAGTGCTAGATAATTGTAAAGCAAATGATATACTGATATAAACTCTGAAATGATGTAGAAAGAACATTAAGCATTAGAGGAACCTAATTTTTATTAGTAAATATTTTTAAAACTATGGTTTGTGCTCCAATAGTGATGAAATAAATTGTATAGGTCTTGATCAGCAATCAACAAAAATGAAAGAATATCAGCACACTGCACATAATATTGTGTAAACTGTTTCAGTTATATATATATGTACATGTGTATAAATACACATTATATATGTAAAAATATATTTACTCATAGATGTCGGTACACACACACACACACACACACACACACACACACAGAGTCAAGATGGTGTATGTCAAAATTTTTCCTTTAGAAGTTAAAAAAAGAAAAAAAAGCCAAAAAGCTACCATAGTTAGGTGATATTCCTCTACTATAATTGTATGAATGAGGGATGAAGCAATGGATTTTCATATGTGGTCTCTCTGGCTGCTCCCACAAGTATATATAATGGCCATCTTTGAAAATTAGCAACAGAAGAATCCAGGCTGCTGCAGAGAATCTACTTCAGTTGTTGTCGAACAATATTCCATGAAACATAGGGTTTCCTTTGGGAACATTTATTGTCCCATTTAAGGACAAGGTGGAAGTCAATCATGGATGTTGCTTTACCATCTAATATATCACTTACCAAAAAAAAAAAAAAAAAAAAGTGGGGGAGATTCAGCTGCTACAATTATCACTGATGTATCATTTTCTTTAAATAAGCAAGTTTTAAGCCAAAGACTGTGATTCCATTAAAAAAGTGAAAATAACCTGAAGGTTTTCAGTTTTTAACTAAAGTCCTTGCACCCTGAATCCACGCGTTCCTAGCATTTTAAAATAAAATTCTGTGGCAATGATGAACAAGTCAAAGCTCTGATCACCTATTTCTTCTGTTTTGTACCTTTCTTCTAATGCTCTACTGCCTCTAAGTGGCAACAGAGGCACTTCAGCGACTGCCCCTGTAGCAAAACAGAACTGTAGCCACACAACTAAGAATTGGGGTTGGCGGACAGTTGGTTTACAAACTGAATTAGTGTCCGAACTATTCATTTCTAGCATCAGAACTGTGAGAACTCACTTTAAGATTCCTTCTTTTTTGGGGCACCTGGGTGGCTTAGTCGGTTAAGCGTCCGACTTTCGCTTAGGTCATGATCTCGCGGTTCGTGGGTTCGAGCCCCGCATTGGGCTCTGTGCTGACTGCCAGCTCAGAGCCTGGAGCCTGTTTCAGTCTGTGACTCCCTCTCTCTCTGACCCTCCCCTGCTCATGCTGTCTCTCTCTCTCCTAGAAATAAATAAAAATATTAAAAAAAAAAAAAAAAGATTCCTTCTTTTTTATCCTAATTAATTCCATTACTCAGGTTGGCTTAATGGGATATCAAATTAAGCCTGAATGTGGATGCTTAATACATGCCCATGACTGACAGAACTCAATTTTACTGATAAAAGCATAGCTTTATATTAAAACCACTAACAATGCATTTGGTTTACTTTTCTAAAAAAGAAAATATCGCATTTAAAAAATCTGTTGGAGAGGGCACCTTGGTGGCTCAGTCAGTTAAACATCCGACTTGTGCTCAGGTCACAATCTCTCAGTGTGTGGGTTTGAGCCCTGCTTCGGGCTCTGTGCTGACAGCTCAGAGCCTGATGCCTGCTTTGGATTTTGTCTCTCTCTGTCATTCTCTCTCCCTTTCTGTCTGTCTCTCCCCTACTCACACTCCATTTCTCTTTCTCTCAAAAATAAATAAACATTAAAATTTTTTTAATCTGTTGGATTGTGGTATTTAATAAAAAAACAAATGATTTCCAAGAAGGATCATAAAAAATAACACAAAAGACTAATAACTAAACAAATAGTAAAGGGCTTTTAATCATAGCCATGCAATACCAAGGTAAACATCTATTATACTTCAACCATGTGACTAAGGGTTTGAAGGTAGGTAGCTTAAACTCCTATCGAAAGAAATTTGTCTACACAGAGAAGTCATGATTTTAAATGCCTTCTGATGTCCTAGTTTGTTAGGTATCCTGTAACTAGCCAGATAATTTAAATCTCAATTCCTGTTATTTCCCTTGATATGAAGGACTGATTACTTATTTTAAACAGCAGAGGCAGGAAATCGTATTAGAAACTACTTGAGATTTTTTTTAATACTTAAGAAAATTCTGCTTAAATAAGCACAACAAAAACTGCAATAATATTTAGTAAGATTGTTACCCTCATTTAGCTCATTTGTAAAAAATATCCTTTGCTATAAAAAGTGGAAAGAGAAAATTATTCTCCTTCCACTTAACATATACTTCAAAACACCCACATCTTTAACAAACGTAATTATAGGCTTGCTTGTTAAATTCTTCTATCATTCAGCGATAGCCATGATTACAGGTGTAGCCTACATTATGTTTAATTGTTTCTATTTGTCCAAATATCCCAGCGCCTCATGGATTCCTTGTCATCTAACCATTTCATGTAATCTAAGACATGGCATATGCTAACTGCTAATTTACATGTCTGCCTGGACTAAATAACAAGGATGTGAAGTATCACTAACATCAGACCAAGCCAGGCAATGGAAAGATAAAATATGCATGTCTGTCACTATGGAAAGTCCCTCGAAGAGTCCTTTGCATTACAACTTTTAACTAAACAGAAACAATGACTGATGTCACACAGAGAGCCGCCTTGAATCACACGGGATTTCAATACTTGCTGAGCCAACTTTTAAAACACAAATCACAATGCTGTTTCTATATTCAGAATATATTCAAGTACATCAAATTTGTTTGTCTCTGTTCATTTCTACTCAAATGAAATCTTTACCCTCAGATGTATCTTTAATTCAAGTCCTCTGATGCAAATGTGTGGTAACCTTTAAAAAATTATTAAGCTGACTTAACTTACCCTTTGTCTGAAGTCTGAATCAGCATTTGGATTTAGCCCTAAGAGAGCCTGTTCATCCATCCCTGCTGCTATTCTTGGAGTTTTCTGATTACAACAGGCGTGCCCTCTGATCCCACAGAAGAATCCACAAACATCTGCACACACACAACGTTGAAAGAAAACATTTGATAAACAAAATTGATACTTATCCAGAATATCATAATAAGCAGATAACATTATGCAAAGAACTTAAATGTTAAAAGAACTTTTTTGAAACTATCCAAAATTACAACTAAAGAAGCCTAAGTCTAAGAAACACTAAAAGTACTCCACAAATGTGTAATTTCTAAAAACCTCATGTATGTCATTAAGGTTCTCAAATTTTCTTATTCTTTAAGATCATCAGTTTAGAAAGTAATTTGATCCTCCTTTAAACAGAAGCATCTAATTTATGCAGTATTATTACCTCCGATACTTGAACGTGCAACTGTGCAACTACATTAAAAAAAAGACAGGTCTAGATTATCTTATTATACTAATTTTCATACTTCCATTTATCAATATCACAAACCTTTAAAAAAAAAAATACAAAACTTAGAATGGCTGACTGAATAGTGACCTCAGAGTTCAAAGTCCTTACCAGAGTGTCTACCAAGTACTTCAAGACAAGTCAAACGAAAGCGGAAGGAGAAGAGTGAAAAACCAGGGATTTAATTTTTAAACAGACTCTCTTGACAGCCTATTTTAGAAATGTACCTCACAAAACATTTTTTAATAGTAGCTATAAAAATTAATAAAGACCTTAATACTATTCTTAAGAATATTTAGTCTCTGGAAAGCAATGCACTTTTTCACTATCATATGGTCTAACATGCTCAAATAAGAACATGATTAAGTCCCGAAAGGCTACTTGGTTTTTGACACATATACAGTTGAGGAAACAGGGAAAAAATTCTAAATGATGCGAAAATCACATTTATTCCCTCAATACCTGTGAGGCAGAGAAACCAGGACTACTGCTCACATAAAAAGGCTCCAGGGTTTTGTTTTGTGTGTGCGTGTGTTTTAATTATCATAAACCAAAGAGAAGATCAGAGCCTAAAGAAGCCACAAGTCTAAAGGCAGGGGATGGGGGTGCATAGCCTTTTTGCAGTGGTGAGGCCAGGATCCATGAGGACCCCGCCTACAATATGCTTTTCTGGTCTCCCCCTGGACTGGGTTATGTGCAGAGAGTCCTTGGACAGTGAGGCTCAGCCCTTTCTTATTTCCATCATACTTGCAGACTACAGCAAGGCAGTGTAGCCCCCTACAGACCCTCAGGATTAAGGTGCATACTCTTTTGAATGACTCCCTATTCCACGGTCCAACCCAGCAAGGCCGGTGGTATTTGGCCTTTCATCTTTGCACTCACTGCTCTTTTCTTGTTACTTTGTTAACCCCTCCCTGTCCTTCAAAATTCCGCTTAGAGAGGTCACCTCTTTCAAGAACACTTCTTTGATCTTCATTGTCCAATTCTCCCAAACTGGATTAAATACCCCTCTTACGTGGCGAGGCGCTGCCTACTTGTTTTCTCTTCGTAATCTTGAAGGGTAAGGACTGTCTCAAATATTCATCATTATGTCTGTAAGTCATAGTACGACATACGCTTTGGTTTGGAAATTCCAATCTAGTCATTTTCAAACTTGGGGCCACATGGACTAGGGAATCTGAAAATGAGAGCCCTTTCTATGAAGTGGGAAAGAGACCATCTACCTCAAAGTTGTAAAGACCTTCATGAGATAACGTTATGTAAAGGATGCCTGGTACATAGTGGGCCCTCAATAGGTTATTTACAATTCAGTTTGTCATATGGGGGATGGGGACTACTTGGAGTAGTCTAGATATCATATACTTAAAAAAGGGCATTGGAACAGATTGAAAAACATACAAAAAAAGGAAGGTTTTCTTCCCTCCCCCATGCCAAAAATGACAAGAAAATTTAATGATGATTCCTTGGAAAAATGCACACCGAGAAAATCTGAGTTTCTGTGAATCCCATATTAAAAAGTCCTATAAAATCTTCCTTGAATTTAGGGAAAATTGCTTAAGCGGAGTCACTTTAATTCTACCAAGTGAAACAGCACTGGTCTTAAAAAAAAAAAAAAAAAAACTGGCCAGTAAATAACTAAGGAAACATAAACTTGTTACAGTTACCGGTGCAGAAAGAATCCCCCACAGGAAGGCACCTGGATAAAAATCAATACGCAGTGGAACATAAATAATCATAAAATGGTAAATTACCTACCTATGTGTGCAAACGAGAAAAGTTACAACCCGTGCGAAAAGGTAACAATTCCCTCCATTAAGGGTTGTGCATGAACACTTAATGTTCTAACCAAGGCACAGACGTGCAGGCTTAAACATTTGTTACAATGCAACAAACATATCAGTTATGAATCTAGCAAATGTTGTTGGGGGGGAACGCAAACATACTGAAAAATACTGAACCCTAACTTTTCCTCGACAGCCATTAAATAAAAGATCAAACAAACTGGGAAGGTTCCTCCACACCTACTAAAGACTGTTCAAAAGACCAGGGCTGAATCTTTCCAGTCTTTTAACACCACGCTGACAAGTCGCTTTAATAAAACGTAACTTCCCCCAGTAACAACTAATTAGCACTTTCAAAAAGTCCTTGTTTCTTCTGGTTACAGGGAAACACCACGCTTGACTACTCCCGCAGAACTGTGAAGAAGGGAAGAGAAGAAATGGCGTGTCTGTGCTGGCAAAATTACTACACCGAAATAACACTTTTCTCTTTGATGTCCTGGGGCGGGGGGGTGGGTAGCGAAGCAAGTTTGAGGTCTCTGCAGTTGAAACTGGTGGGACACGCTGCTATTACAAATGAGGCTAGCCACCTTTACTACATTCGGGGCCACAGATGAAGCCGACCCTCCTCCCTCGGCGGTGCCCCCTCCACCCCCCGCCCTGCCCCTCCCCGAAAGGAAGCCTCGTGGCAATTCGGGTGATGAAACACCAGGCAACCGGCGGCCACGCACTCCGCGGCGACGGCCGCAGTTCGTACCCACCCCCCACCCAGTCCGCCCAGCCTTGGGGCGCACCGCCCCGGGCGGCCCCCGGCCCGCATCCCAACCCCGGCGTGGGGGCTCCCCGGGCCAGTCCGCCCAGACAACTTCCCCGCGTTCTCGGGCGGACCGAGGCGGACCCGAGTCCCGCCGCCCCCAAGCTCCGAGTCACCTTCCCTATCACTCCATCCCGCCTCCCCGCCTGCACTCCCGAGGGCTGGTCAGCGGAGCGGAGCGACGCCGCACGCAGGGAGCGGGGAGAGCGGCCCTGGTCCTTGTCGCCGTCGTCCTCCGCCACGGCCGCAGCGCTCACGCCGGAGACAGAGCTGGCTGGGGCCGCGCGCCGCTCCGCGTCCCCTGGCGCCTTCTCTTGCGTGGCGCCGGACCGGCAACCTAGCAAGCAGGCGGGCGGGGTCGGCGCCCCAGGAAGGGAAAGAGCGCGAGGGGCCGGCTAACGCCGCCGCCGCCTCCGTCGCCGCTGAGTCAGCGCGAAGCGCGCTCCCCGCGTCGGCGCCGCGCGGGCCAGCACCAGCAGCCTCATGGAGTGTGCAGACGGCAGCCCGCGGGCCCAGGCCGGGAGCCTACAACTCCCGGCATGCAAGAGGCAGGCGGCGCTTCCGGGCGCTCGCCGGGGCCTGTGGTGCATGCCGGGAGGGGGTGTCCCGCGCCGAGTCCCACCCCTGCCGCCTACTCCCGGTGGTCACACCGCTGCCTAGCACGCTCCATAAAGGCTTCATCAGGTTAGCTGGTGGATTGGGGTGCCGAGCTCCTGAGATCCAGATGACGTGATCCAAACCACATGTGATTCGGTTGTTTAATTGCTTTTCTAGGGACCCACGTGTTTAGAGTCTAGGAGCGTGAGGATCCACTCAGGAGCGCTGAAAATTCTTAAAAATTTCACTTGGAACGTACTAACATATTGTCATTCATGAAAAGGAGAGCATTCTTAGGGAGTTCTACTCGTAGGTTACTTTTCTGGTAGTTGCTTCGTTTATTCAGAGGCAGTATTGGCTCAAGCCAATAGATTTGAATCCCACCCCAAACCCATCTCTCCACACCACATGCTTGCTGACCTCAGTTTCAGGCACTATACATGATCTGTGTTTCAGTTTACTCATTTGTGAAATGGAGACAATAATAATACCGACCTCCAAGGGTTCTTGTGAGGATTGAGTTAATATATGCTTTTGCACACAAATGCTCAATATTTAGGTTTCATTGTTGATTATTCACTACTGAAAACAGATTAGGTAATAGTCATGCAGACCAGTGACAAACAATTTGGGAGGGAAATTCAGAAGAGATGTAGAATAAAATTAACGTAACAATTTAACAGCTACATTTAGTGACTCACTACCTGCAAGACACTATACCACTCATATATACAATATTTTCAATCACTGTTGCATCACATTTGTAACTTTAAAATGTCAGGCAAATACTCCTGCCCTACTTCAGTGTATATCTGGAGTTTAGCACATAGAACAGCGCCAGGCTGTAATTCAAGCTCAATTAAATAGATAATTGCATTGATTCTTACATTACCTGTTAGGTCAACTATGGACTATGGGAACCCAATACTAATTCTAGTCTGAGTGGCTCCAGAGCTTTAATATGTTCAGTTTATTCACCTTACCATCTACAGCTTATCTAGTTTATCTAGAAATATTGGCCTTTTATGGTAGTTCAATAACCTAGAATTTTAAAAATCAATTTTGAAAACACATTATTTTGAAACCTTATATGGGGCAGTTGGCTGGCTCAGCTGGTAGTGTATGTGACTTGGAGCCCCACACAGGGGGTAGAGATTACTTAAAAATAAAATAATAATAAAGATGAAACACTTGGTGGACTCTAATTGAGGAGGACCCAAAAGGGTTTTTAAATATAAAATTTATTTTATTTTTTTAAATGTTTTATTTATTTCTAAGAGAGAGAGAGACAGTGAGTGTGAACAGGGGAGGGTCAGAGAGAGAGGGAGACACAGAATCCGAAACAGGCTCCAGGCTCTGAGCTGGCAGCACAGGGCCCGACATGGGGCTCGAACCCATGAACCGTGAGATCATGACCTCAGCTGAAGTCGGACGCTGAACTGACTGAGCCACCCAGGCGCCCCTAAAATTTATTTTATTAAAAAAAATTTTAGTATTTATTTTGAGAGAAAGCACAAATGGGGGAAGGGAAAGGGCAGAGAGAGAGAAAGAGAAAGAGAATCTGAAGCAACCTCCAGGCTCTGACCTGTCAACAGAGAGCCTAATGTGGGGCTCAAACTCACAGACCAGGAGATCATGACCTGAGCTACCCAAGTGCCCCTAAATCTTACCACTTTATAGTCTAGCTTTCTCATTTCAGACTAACATAAAATACCAGTAATCAAAATGTTGCTGAATAGGGTCACCTGTGGCTCAGTACATCAAACAACTGACTCTTGATTTTGGCTTAGGTCATGATCTCACAGTTCATAAATTCAAGCTCCACGTTGGGCTCTGAGCTAACGGCAAGGAGCCTGCTTGGGATTCTCTGTCTCCCTCTCTCTCTCTGGCCCTCCTCACTTGCATGCACTCTCTCTCTCAGAAATAAATATGTATTTTTAAACGTTGATAACACTGTCATTATTTTAATTTAAAGCATGTATGCTTAAATTTAAAAAATTTAAAGCATGTATGCTTGCATATAGCAATGTTTTTACATATTAATTGCCAACATTTTGGAGCATTATGTGGCAGAAACAGTTTTTTTTTTTTTAAGTTTATTTATCTTGAGAGGAAGAGAGAGTGCATGTGAGCAAGAGAAGGGAGAGACAGAGAGAGGAAGAGACAGAATTCCAAGCAGTTTCTGAGCTGTCAGTGCAGAATTGGGGCTCCATCTCATGAATGATGAGATCATGCCCTGAGCCAAGGTCAAGAGTCGGATTCTTAACTGACTGAGCCACCCAGGTGCCACTGTGCCTATAACAGTTTTAAGTGTTCATATGTTAATCCTCACAACAACTCTATGAGGTAGGTACTATCATTATCCCTATTTTATAGATGAGGAAACTGAAGTACATAAAAAGTAGCAGAGCTAGGATTCAAACCCCCTTAATATGTACTGGAAGGTTATCACTAGGTGGTGAGATTGCAGATGATTTTTTTTCTTCCTTGTACATTTTTGGATTTTTAAGAATCCTCCACAGTGACCAGGTAGTATTTTCATAATCAGAAAAATATTTTAAAAACATGACTCTAAAGGAAAAATGAAATTGTTTCATTCACTCTTTGAGCATTTAATGAATGCTGTCCCTTATGAAATAGTTCCAGATTTTTATCAACAGGTTTGTTCAATCATTTCTTTGATGTTGCTTTTTCTTTACTTCTTTTATGTCATGAATATATTTTAATATGATTTTGTTTTGTATTAAAATTGTGTGGTTGTCTTACCTATGAGTAAGTTCTTGAAGACTGAAAAGTCTTATCTTGATTCTGTATATGGATAGTAATTCCTCAGTAAATATCTGTGAAATGTATTGAACTGAATAAAAAATAATACAATTGTGAGCGGCTAACCACGGAGTTCTGTGTCAAATTCTCTTCTTCATCTGCTTCATCTCGATGCTTGTTAAGCCCAGTGCCATTGTCATCAAAAGCTCATTCATTCATGATGGGTTTCCTGGCAAAGAAGTTGGAAAATAGGTCAGGCAAGCCATCTTTACTGCTCCTGGTCCAATCATTGGTTTCTTTTAGAGGAAGTGGGTATGTAGCAGGAAGCCTGAGGCAGAATGGAGCATTATAGCATTATTTAGTAAAAGAAACAGTTTAAAAAATTTTTAATCCAAAGCACTGCATAGTCCATTAGGCTTCATTATAATGACATCTCTCCTCCATGTCAGTTCATTGCTAATTGTTAATAGATATTTACATGGTCAGTATCCATTGATACTGAGCAGAAACACCAATTCCTAAATGACACCTTTAAAAATTCAGGTTTTATATGCCTCCTACAGATTTCAAGTATCTTCCTATGCATACTGTCTATTTAGTTTCAAACCTGGAGATGGGGACACTTGGGATCCCTATATTGAAGTGTATTTCTAGTTTGAAATCCTTATAGGATTCTTATGACCTTTGGCCCGCTGATCACTTATCCATCAAAAACACAACTAAAAAAAAATGGCATTCTTTTTTTGTATGTATATATGTAGATTAGATTTTTTTGTCTTGAGCATTAATCTAAAGTTTAAAAAGTTAGGCTAGCATCCAACAGAGAAGAATTTGGTGTTATCTTGTATATGGGGAACCAGATGACCATATATATATATATACCAAGAAATTACACACTAGTTCATTTATTTATTTAAAGTTTGTTTACTTTTAAGAGAGAGCTAGCATGCTTGCCCGAGTGGGGGAGGGGCAGAGAGAGGAGAACAGGGGATCTGAGGCATGCTCTGTGCTGACAGCAGAGCCCAATATGGGGCTCCAACTCACAGACCATGAGATCATGACCTGAGCCAAAGTCGGATGCTCAACTGACTGAGCCACCCAGGTGCCCCTCAATTTATTTTGAAAACACTTGTATAGTGTTTACTCTGTTCTAGGTACCTGTTATAAAGTACTTCAGAAACATTGTTAGCCCTTAAAATAACCCTATGGGGTTGGTACTATTACCCCCTTTTCATAGATGGGGAAATTAACGTGTGAAGAAATTAAAGTAACTTGTCCAAGATCATTTAGCTACTGAATGTGAGAGATGAAAATGGAACCCAGGTCATCTGGCTCTACAGTCTTGTGCTCCTAAACTACTGTCCTTTCAAACTAATTGAATTGACCATCCCTCAACCTAAGGCTACTCTGTTCTGGTGAAAGTACTTCTGGTTAAGAAGAGTGCCTCTTGGGATTAGTTCTGGGCAAGTAATGTTCTATTACTTTTGATAGCTTCATCAAGAAACATCTATTAAGTGCCTGATTGCACTGGAACTGTATTAAATGCTTCTTGAGTTTAGATGGACTTAAAAGAGAAATAGTAATTGCCTATCTCAGATGTATTTATGTTAATTATCCACAGAAATCTTACCAAAAGATAAGACAATACAAATATGAATACATGTCTAGAGGGCTTTTAGAATTCATAATTAATTGCATTTGATCCTCACACCAACTCAGTGGTTGGCCAGGCAAGTATTGATAGTTTCATTTTATGGATGATAAAACTGAGGTCCAAAATGGCTAAGACTTTCCAGAAATGTCACAGATACTGAACAACAGGGTTCGTGCTATAATCCAGTTCTCCTGACTCCAAATCTAGTGATCTTTCCCCTATCTTAACCCCCCTTTCTACAATCTGATCTTTGTTGTTACCTTGGCAACAGTATAGAACACTAAGTGCCTGGAAACCAGGATGCTGCCTTTTCACTGAAGTCACCTTAACCCTTAATCCTTTTGTTAAATTCCTTTCTTCATGTGCTTCACTTAATGGTTGTTAAGTCTGTGCCCTTGTCACCAAAAGCGCATTTATGACGGGTTTCTCGACAGACAGATCAGGTATGCTGTCTTTTCTAGTCCCGGTGTGGTCATTCTGTTTCTGTTAGTCCTGAGGACAGAGCAAAAGCCTGACAAACACCAAACAGCAGCTCGCAGGGAGGTCTTTTCCCTACTTGGGCCTCACATTTCACTTGCGAGGTAGTCACTTGCCTCTGAACACTTGTGAGGCAACTATTTGGCAAAGGTAAAAGGCCTTTGCCTTCTACTGGTTTAAGGCAACAAATTGTTTAGATAGGGAATAGTCTTTATTTTAGACGAAACAGCCATGCCTCTGGGGTTCCCTTTTTCGAAACAGCCATGCTTCTGGGGTTCCCTTTTTATCCAGCTATGAAGTTACGAAGCGTCAGACAGATGTATGATCAGATTCTAAGAAAACTTGGAATGCGAGCTAGGTCATTTAAGATTTTGTCAGCAGGTGGCACTTCTCTCCTTAGGCACTAAACACATTCTCTCCAATAAAAAAATACTGTTGTTTTTGTTTTTGTTTTTTGCCATTCTTGAGTTCCTCAGACTTGGCTAGCCACTCAAACATTTCTCCTCCATTCCTTTTTGCAGTGATTTAGTCTACAATATCTGTGCATTTTAATTTGCTTATACTTTTTCCATAAAAGAGATGAAATTGCTTACAGCGTACAGTATACAACAGTAAAATATGACGAGGAGAATATGAACTGCAATAAAGGACATACAGTTTCATTCTGAGTTGTCGGTAGCTGTAGCAAAAATACATATAAATATGTGTCATTTCTTTTAGTTAATGGGCAGCGAGAGAGAATGACTTTTCTAGAATTTTAAATTAAAATGAAAGTTACTACCTAGGGTTATTAGAGGCAGGTTTCTGCTATGCCCTTCTCATTTCACTAACCGACACTGACAACAGTGATCTGTAAAAACTAATCAGTACTTTTACCGTCATGCAGCGTCAAGGCTGGGCAATCAGCATTCCTCAACCCATAGTCTTCCCATCATTTATCCTACACAGATCGAGTTCTGCAGGTCTACGGGGCTTGGTCTTTGGACACGGGGAATACAAGCATTGCCATTAGGCTTGGGCGTCCAAATTACTGTATAAGATCTACTTCAGAGAGAGAGCTTTCAATTAGTTGGGCAGAAAAGATGCACGTTTATACTCATGAAAAACTAGAGGGCTATATCAGGCACTGTTACAAGCAAATGCTAAATCTGTGTGATTGATCTTAATAGCGTTCCAGGGGTGTTCTGCCTGCTTAAAAAAAATCGGTACATTTCCTCTTGTTTCTAACAGACAACCAGTTTAAGCCTGTGGATTCCCTCATCCGCGAGGAACGGCGTGGTCCTCAATAGCTGGGGCAGGCGGGGGTTAGGGCTGCTGCGAGGCGAGGGCGAAGAGAGCCGCCAAATATCCGCCCCGCAGCCCAGGGATGCGTGATGATCTACCTGAAGGACCAGCGTCTCGCCCGGTCCATTGTTGTTTGAGGTTGGGGCGAGGGTGGGCGGGAGGCGGGGCCGGGGACGATGCTCCCGGGAGTCAGGCCCCGCAGCCGGGGGCGCTGCGCCCTGCGCGCGCGGGAGGCGGCCGCTGCGGGGCGGGCGGCTTTGTGGCGCGCGCGGGTTCCACCGCCGGCGGCGCGGAGGCGGGGCGGGGCCCGGGCGTCCGCCGCCCCCCGCACATGGCCGGCCCCGGCCCCGCCAGGCCCGGCTTCCCTGCGCACACCAACAGCCGCCTGGACGCGTTCCTGCGGAGGCGGCTGCCGCCGGAGGTCTACGACGCCGTCCGCGCCTACGAGCCGTGCGTCGTGGTGTCCGAGTCGGAGAAGCACACCTTGAAGTACGTGGTCCTCAGCGATCGGCTCATCTACCTGACCGAGAACCCGCCCAAGTCCATCCGGCGAGCCGTGGCCCTGCGGGACGTCGTGGCCATTGACCTGGTGAGGAGCGCGGTGGGCAGGCGGGATTCCCTTCTTAGGTACCCCCTCCCCCCGCCCCAGCGTCCCAGGCCTCCCGCACGCGGGCAGAGGGAGGGGAACGCAGACCTTCCCCATCTCTCTCCGCACTCCCGTACTTTCTGTAACTTACGGACTAGCAGCCACATACGAAAACGGTGGATTGCTGTATGGACTCTGAATAAAAATGCCCTGCCCATTCTCATCATGTGTACGGGTCCGCCTTGTACCCCGACTTAGGGCTACAGGCTTAAGAACATAGCCCCCTGTCAAAAGTACGCTTTAAAGTCTTTCTTTTCCCCCTTGTTCATTAGGAACCTAGCCTCTGCCAGGCACTTTTCTAGACACTGAGGATGCAAAAATGAAATAGGGTCCCTCCCTAGAAGCCGCTGTGGGAGACACAAAAAGCCAAAACCAATGCAAATAAATATAAACAGTGCTAAGTACTGTTATGCCTTGTTTGTTTATTTATTCATTTATTTTTATGTATGTATGTATTTATTTATTTATCAGCATTGCTTAGAGTGTGTTAGGTGCTCAATATAAATAAGTTAATGGATGAATGAATGAACGAATGAATGAAGAGAGATGTGCACAGGAGGCCTGGCAATCTCAGGCAGTTCACTTGATCCAAGCTGGGCCCAGGCCATGCTGGGAAAACTTCTTGCAAAAGGTACAATCTGGCACAGCCACCCCTTGTCCCAGTTTTTAGTGTACTGCTACTGTATCCCTTTCTTCCAGGAATAGATTTACCTTATAAACCAGCAACAGATTGTAAGCAGTCTCCTCTCCAATTACTGTTTTTCCCCCTTGGCTCCCTTTATCTGAGCTGCTCTCCAGGTGTGTTCCTTTCTCCACTGGGGACAGGTGTCTAGCCTAGTTTTTTTTTTTTTTCCCCCTTGTCTGAGTCTCTGCATCACCCAAGGGAGAAGCTGGTGAGACTCCTAATGGGGCTGTTTTGCAAAGACAACCCTAGTTTGTTTGGTACACATCTGTTAAAAAAAGGATAAAATTAAGTCGAGAAGAAAAGCTCCCCCACCCCCGCCTTCTTCTTAAAATACCCTGTGGACTAATATCACTGTGCAAATTTATTTGCTTTTTTTTTTTTTTTTTGAGTAGAAGTTTGAAGCAACACTGCCTTCTTCCTCACTACCACTATTTTCATTCTCTTGAACTAAAATTAAAAAAAAATTAATTTCCTTTACCAAATGTTTTTGACATTAAATGTTCAGCTTTGTCTACTGTCTGCAGTGTAAACATTTATTGTTTTGACAAAATGTAATGATTTTAGGATACTGTTATTCTTCCCAACAAAATGTAATGACTTTAGAATATTGTTACTCTCCCCAACAAGAAATATAGTATATGTATTTCAGTAGTTGTTATAGACCTTTCTTTTTGAGCTGTTAGAATCTGAAAAGTGCAGTAAAGCTCCCTAGGCCTCCAAGCCAAGAGTCCTACAAAAGGGCCTACCAATTTATTTGGTCATGCTTTATGTGCAGAATTGAACTTTCAGGCATATAGAAGAATGTGTAATGTTCATAAAGGCACTGAACAAATGGAAGATTTTAGCATTGTTGATAGATTGAAGGTCCATCTGGCACAATATGGCTTAATTTTGGTTAAAGTTGTGGTAGGCAGAATAACGGCCTCCCAACAGATATCCCTGGAACCCGGGAATATGTTACATTACATGGCAAAGAGGAGCTAAAGTTGCAGATGCAGTTAAGGTTGTTTGCTAATCAGATGACTTAAAAATAAGGAGATTGAGACATCTGGGTTGCTCAGTCAGTTGGGGATCTGACTTCAGCTCTGGTCCTGGTCTCATGGTTCGGGAGTTCAACTGACATCGGGCTCTCTGCTGTCAGCGCAGGGCCTGCTTCGGATCCTCTGTCTCCCCCTTCGCCCCTCCCCAACTTTCCCTCTCTCTATAAATAAATAAATAAATAAATGATAAAAAAAGAGATTAAAAAAACCCCAAACGTGTCCAATAAAAAAAGAAAGAAGTCTAAACAAATAAGTAAAATAGGGAGATTATTTTGGATTATCTGAGGGGGTCCAATGTAATTACAAATCCTTCAAAGTGGAAAAGGGAGGAGAAGAGGCAAGCCGAGTGCTCGTGCCTCTGAAGGGGGAAGGGGCCAGGAGACCAGGAAACGTGGACAGCCTCTAGAAGCTGGAAAGGGCCTGGAAACAGGTTTTCTCATAGAGCCTCCAAAAGGAATGTGGTCCTTCCAACACCTTGATTTTAGCCCAGTGAGACCCATTTTGGACCTCTGCCTTCCAGAACTATCAGAGACTCAGTCTGTGGTGTTTAACGCCACGGAGTTCATGGTAATGTTATAATAGCAAATGAATACAGAACTATTTTCCTCTTAGTGTTTATATTTAAAAACGGGTAATCATTTAAAAAAATATTGTTTCAGTGAGAAATAAATATAATCATGCCAAGAACAAATGCCTTAATGATCTCTTTTTCTGAGGTTTTATAAAATGATTCTAGGGTTATTATAGTTCAGTGGCTTTGCACAGCTTTCACAGGGTGTGAGAAAAACGGATGTCACAGAATTGCTTTATCTAACACTAATTAATAGCCACAGATGTAGATGACTAATCATCCCTCTAAGAACATTAATTCCTAACTTAATACCACAATAGAGAGAATTTTCCTGATTTCTGTGTTGTGTATCATATAGTTGTCTCCTATCCCTGCTAACTCAATAGTCTCTTACGTTACATGATTTCAGTGCCAGGCAGCTTTGTTTTTTAGAACTGGCTTCTTCTTCCTTGAAAGATAAACTGCTTAATCTCCTTTTTTTTTTACTAGGGTGCTGTCCTCTTTCTAAGGCCAACTCTTTAGATATCCTTTTCCATTCTCAGAGGTTTTCTCATTTTACTGTACAAGTTGGTCTTTGTGTTATTTAACTTTCAGCTGGCTCAGGTTTCCATTCTGCCTTTGTTCTAGCTGTCACAGTGGTAAAGTCCTAAGCAAACCAGTCCTTTATGCCTCTGGGCCCCAGCCCTCTTGGTGCCATGTTCAGCCAGATTCCTTATTTAGTTCATGTCTCATGTTACAGTTACACCTCAGAAAAAAATTGCAAATATGCAGATAAAATTCCACTCTCTCCCCTAAGGAAAAATATTGGAGGGGCACATGGGTAGCTTAGTCGGTTGTGCTTCATTTCAGCTAAGATCATGATCTCATGGTCCGTGAGTTTGAGCCGTGCATCAGGCTCTAAGCTGATAGTGTGGAGCCTGCTTAGGATTCTTTGTCTCTCTCTCTCTGCTCCTCCCCCCTGCGCCCCCCCCCCTTCTCTCAGAAATAAATAAATAAACATTAAAAAAGTTTGAAGGTAACAGCAACAAAAAGTTACACCAGAACTTGGATTGGATACAAATGAGATTTCTCTTCCAGCAAAGATGAGCTTAAAAAGCCACTCAGAGATCTCAGGTGTTTTGATATGTTCATCTCCTAAAAGAAAGAGTTTCTAAGGTTGCTTGGGTGGAGATTTTATAAAAAGGCTGACATTTTCTTTGAAAGTTCCTTTGGGGAGGGAGCACCTGGGTGGCCAGTTGGTTGAGCTGCCGACTTCAGCTCAGGTCATGATCTCACGGTTTGTGAGTTCGAGCCCCACGTCAGGCTCTGTGGTGACAAACAGCTCAGAACTTGGAGCCTGTTTCAGACTCTCTCTCTCTCTGCCTCTCCCCTGCTAATGCTCTTTTCTCTCAAAAATAAATAAATGTCAAAAATTAAAAAAAAAAAAGAAAGTTCTTTTTGGGGGACACCTGGGTGGCTCAGTTGGTTAAGCAACCAACTTCGGATCAGGTCATGATCTCGCGGTTCATGAGTTTGAGCCCCATGTCGGGCTCTATGCTGACAGCTCAGAGCATGGAGCCTGCTTCGGATTCTATGTCTACCTCTCTCTCTCTCTGCCCCTCCCCTGCTCTTCCAAAAGTTGCTTTTGGAAGAATACTTGAGAGTTCTGCTCTTGTTGTGGGCATCAAAACACTTCTTCAATCTCTCCCGAGATTAAGCACATATTTTTCAAGTGTGAGAAGCAGTTTTCCAGAAGTGAATTTCCTATGAATTCACTCTCCTTCAATGCTATCCCATCTTCTACAGAGAAAAAAAGAATCCATCAACTCTGGCAGCCTTGCCTGTAACCTCTGTCTCTGTCATTGTCTTTTCACCACTCTTCCCAGTGCATATTGGCTCTCCAGTCATCCCAGGCTCCATGTAGCTTCCTGAACAGGCAACCTTTTACAGCCTGGCCTGTTTGCTTGTCTTGAACATTTTCTCCTCCTTCAAGGTTGTTCAGATCACCATATTTATAATTCTTCTCTTCCCCTCCTCCTTCTCTCTCTCCTTTTAAAAGACGTAAAAACAGGGGCGCCTGGGTGGCTCAGTCCATTAAGCGATCGACCTCGGCTCAGGTCATGATTTCATGGTGAGTGGGTTCGAGCCTTGCAGAGGGCTCTGTGCTGACTGTCAGCTCAGAGCCTGGAGCCTGTTTCAGATTCTGTATCTCCCTCTCCCTCTGACCCTTCCCTGCTTACACTGTCTTTCTCTCAATCTCTCTCTCAGAAATTTAAAAAAAAAAAAAAAAAAAGGACATAAAAACAGGGACACCTGGCTGGCTCAGTCAGTAGAGGATGCAACTCTTGATCTCAGGGTAGTGAGTTTGAGCCTCATGTTGGGCATAGAGTTTACTTAAAAAAAAATGTAAAACATTCTTAACTTGAAAAGAAACAGGTCACAGGCTGGGCTGTAGGGGCCACAATAGTTTGCCAACTAATCCCTGTTTTCCCCACTTCCATATTCAGAGCTGACACGTTTTCTAGGCTAAGCCCAAGTCATTCTTTCTCTGAGTTGGTTTTTTCCTGGCTGAGCTGATGAGGGCAGGCCTTGTGGTCTGTTCTGTTCACTGCTGTATTTCTTTCTGGTTCCTAGACAGACCAGATAGTCAATACATATTTGTTATTTA